TATAACACTTTATGTCATTCCATAGATAAAAGTCATATTAGAACGGTCAAATTCCATAATGGGAGTAAAAAAAATAATTTATGTTACTGTCAAATTGTAGCAATAATGCATTTAGTCTGTAATGAAGAACGCAACAATACTAACGCGTGTAATACTACACCCCAAGTTTGTGTATTTTTGGTACGTCGTTGTGGTAAACTTATTCGCAAGTTGTGTGAAAAATGTGTGCAAGTGTGGTAGTTTTAAATCAAGTTGTTTATAGTAAAAAAAAATCCTTCTCTGATTGGTTGATTCAAGGTTATTAATTTGTTTTGTCTTGGCATACCAAAACAACGTCCCTCTGGCCGGTGTACTGTATAAAAATATAATTACAGTTGAGTCGTAACTATTTACCCTAGTTGTAAACAAGAAAAAATTCACGGAAAAATAATTTGTATTGTGTGCGAAAAGAGCAATGGATCAGTTTCCAAGTACAAGATACCTTGTATAAATGCATTTTTGCTTGAAAAATCTAAAAACAACACTGCATTTTTACTTTTCATAAAAACCATTTATAAAATAGAAAAACTAGAAAAGGGTTCATTCCACTCAAAAATATATGAACAAAAAAATGAAAAATTCCCTTTATTACAAAAAAGTTACCTACAGGTTTTTTTTGACAACCCACACAGAGCTGGGAGTATTTTGAAAAAAAATATATTTAAAAGTAACTAAGATACTTAAAGTATCTGAGATACTTTATCTTAGATACTTTTTATATTGGACAGAAAGTATCTTTAACTTAGAAATTACTTAATCTACAACTCGCTGAATTTTCTTAATTTTATATTATTTATTTATACTTAAAAGTAACTTAGTTACTCAAGAGTATCTTAGTTACTTAAAAGTATCTTAGTTACTCAAAAGTTTCTTAGATACTTTCTAAAGTATCTTGTAACTAAATATACTTTCAACTCAAAGTATCTAGTTACCCGAGGTAACTAAGTTATTTTGTTTAAAGTATCTTAGAAAAGTAACTAGATACTTTTTAGAAGTAACTTTCCCAGCTCTGACCCTATATAATAATTCTTTTAGGAAATCGAAGCAGCTGCAAGTGAACCAATAGTATTTGAACATGTCGGAACCAAAACAATGGAGTATCGCGTTCATGAAATATTATATACTTTCCAAAACACCAATATGTGTAATTTTTATTTATTCGTCAGTGAAATAGGTATTTATTTTAAAGCTGTAAGGCAATTGCCTTAAGTACACTGCATTTTTAGCATTAAGTTTATTTTTAATACTCAGCCATTCCACGTTACTCGGGAATTTTTGTAGCGTCCGTTACAATCAAAAATTGTGAGTAAAACTACCGTAATTATTATGCTTATAAGCTTAAGACTAATTATTACAAGCAAAATAAACATGTTTGCAATAGTAACTATTGTAATAGTATTTAATTTAATTACGGTAGGTTTTACTCACAATTTTTTATTGTAACGGACGCTACAAAAGTTTCCGAGTAGCGTGGAATGGCTGTACTAATATGTTGATTTTTATACCAGTCAGTAATAAAACTAGTATTATTTTACAGTGCTATTGGCGTTTTTATCTCCTCATCCAACCCCCCAAAAATATATCGACGATCTGCTACAATTTGTGTGAACAAAATTTGGTTGCATTAAAAAATGCTACAATTTGCAAAAGTGAATTTTGGTCCTTAAATAATTACTACAATATTGTGTCATTTTTAACGACAATTTGGAGAAATACTTTTTTAGTAATTGTTGTAAAAAATTATTATATTTACATTTACATTTTTTGGATCCAGATTGAAGTGACAAACGCAACAATTACATGACAAAAATGCACATATAAAAATATGTGTAGCAACTACAAATTGATGTTCTGGGTTTATAGTAGGTTATAGTAATAAATTTGTTTTAATTTTGTTTGAATGTGTATTACAATTTATTATTATCCGTATTTTCAACGCAATTTGTAAAGAAGATTCATATATTTTTATTGGTTTTGGATAATAAAATGGGACAGTTTATTTGTTAAAAAAAACTATCAAAGGTTGTGCTATCTCTGTAGCGAAATTAACATTAAAATCTCCACTCAAGACGATAGGCAGTTGAGAAATCTCTTGTCGCGGTTAATTCGCAAAACTTATTAAAAACACGTAAATGCATAATAGATAAAGACATTTTTCTTTGCAGTAATGAAACTTTTTATATACTTTTTTATGCATCCAAAGTAGTTTAACCGAAGAAAAATATTGCCTGCAGACCTCATAAACTGAAATGAAAGTTTTTAGCTGGAAATATAAATTCGGAAAAGTTCGTCTCGCTAACTACCGCGGTAGCATTCATGCAGGTTGCGAATGTTCAAACAAACTATTTCGGTGGAAGGTCGTAAGTTTAGGACTCCTCAATCATTTATCTCTCTCTCTCTCTCTCTCTCTCTCTTTCTCCTGGATCTGGATATTTACATGCATACAAATTCCGATAGTAGGTAAATTAGCTTGCTTGGAGTTTATCTGTACAGCTTGTTTTTTAAGCGCTGTGTTTATTGCGTTTTGAGGAGTTGGAAGTTTAAAGCTTTAACATTGTTTTAAAGCAAATCAACAAATTGTGTTGTGCTCGATTTTTTACAAAGACAATGTGGTTCCACAATGGATATTTTTTAAATACTCTAAACTAATTTTTAATTTCTATTAGAAACATTTCCGAATAATTCAACTTTTTATATTTTTAATTTCTATTATATATTATATTAGAAATTATTATATTAGAAACATTTTTGAATAATTTAACTTTTAAGGTTCATAGCGCCATCTATACATGTTCGCCGTAACCATGTTATACACTATAACAGAAATCCAATAGTATTTTTTAACTGAAAATTCCTGTTTTTGAGTAACATTCAGGAAATTGACTTTTTATGTTTCAAAATAAATAAAAATAAGAGTTTCTTTGTTACCTATAACCTATTCAGCCCACGCCCAAGCTATAATTCCTGATATATCCTATCAATTCCTCTTAAAAAAATTGCTGTTTATTTTCATTGTAAATGAAATAAAGGAGATTTACGTCAGCACCTTACAAAAGGTAATTCTTAAAAACGAAGCAGTATAGGTAATTTTACTGCCGATCGTCAACTATAATCAATAGCGTTACCAAACTTGCAGCAAACATTAAAAAGGAGGTTTAATAACAAGTCAACAAATAATTTTTAATTTCTTTTTTAAACTGGGTTTTTTATGGTTTTTAATTGACGGGGTAATTGAGTTGTAAATCAATTAATTTAATTTATTAATATTGATAACTAAAATTTTTCATTAATATTTTTTTATTTAAAACATACCTATTAATTTTACTAATTATCATGTTTTGTTGAATTTTAAAATCTCTGTATAATATAGTTTTTTTTAGTATAGAAAAATATTGCACTATTTCGTATATTTCATTAAACTGATTTCTACTTTAAAAGCTTGAAAAATTAATGTAGAGATTATAAGTATTATTATTATTTTTATAATAAGTTTTTTATTTTTTTTTTGTTCCCAATGTAACTACTGTTATGTAATGTAATGTTTATAAATAAATTAAAATTTAGTCAAATTACTCAAAATTCTCACAACAAACAACCCGGGCCACAGCGCACTATGGTCAAAAAGCAACTTTTTTATTACAAATAAATATTATTTTTTTTTTTTGAATGTGTTAAATAGGATTTATTACGTATAATTAACTATATTTTAATCGATAATTTTTAAGGTTTTTATTTTTTAAATCCGTTTTTAGATTATCATAAAGCATTGTTTTGCAGAAATAATTAACAAATTTTTTTATTTAACATTAATATCAATTTTTTTCTTTTTTACTGTATAATATAAGGATTATTACGTATAATTAACTATATTTTTTTAATTTTTAAATCCGCTTTTAGATGTTCATAGAGCGTCAAATGTGGAAATAACCCAATAATTTTTTTATTGCAAAAAATATTAAATTTTTTATTTTTTACTTTGCTAAAGAAGACTTATTACGTATAAATAACTATATTTTAATCGAAAAACATAACGGTTTTTATTTTTTAAATGCGTTTGGTCCTATAGCAAAAAAATATTTATTTTTTACTTTGTTAAATAAGACTTAACAGGTATAATTAACTTTATTTTAATAAAAAAAATTAAGGTCTTTATTTTTAAATGCCTTTTTTGATGTTCCCGGTGAAACGATTGCGAAAATAATTTAATAACTTTTTTATTGTATATAAATACATATTTTTTTAAGAATCTTAACTAAGCACACAAAAAAATAAACATAATTTGAATTCAAACATTTATTTCATTAATAATTCCTTAACTTCTTCTTCAAGCTCATATTTAACAAATTTAGTAACGTTATTAGGGGGTCAGATGATATTAAAATACGATGAAATATATCCTCGTTTGTTGATTTTCAATTTGTTTTTCTCGAAAACATAGAATATCAAATTTTTTTAAATCCTTATTTCTACAAAGTCTTCTTTTCCATGGATTAATAATTTATGCACTGTCACTGCTATTAGGGAAAGTAAGTACTTTTGAACAAGGTATGAAGAAAATGTATTTTTTCCGCCGATAAACCATAGTTAAGCGGTGCCAAGACACTTATTTAGCATGAAACTTTATCAATCAAAAGCAAAAATGCGGTGTAGAAAGGGGTGTAGCACGTGCCGCAAGCGTGACAGAACGCCGAGGATGTTTGGGCGTTGGCGCACCTAGCAAAGCGGCAACGCTGTCAACGTAGACTTTTGCGCCATTATTTGGAAAGTTAATCGTTTGCGGATCCACAGTGCTGGATCCAGCAGGATTGCTGGATGAGGGATCCAGCAATTGCAATTCCTAATGGGAATTGTTATTTTTTATAGTATGTTGTTTCCGCTTGTGCTTCTTTTATGCACACTTCCGTTGTTGCATCACTAAACTTCTAAAATTTAGAAAAAATTCCATAATAAAAATAACTTACCTTCTTTTCCTCTTATCAATATGCTGCGATCGCCTGCGGGGCTGGTAAAGTATCCGGCCCCTTTGGAGTCCCAGAAAAGCCTGTCCTGCTGCTCCTGCAACGTTTCCGCCCACTGCAGCCAATCGGCGTCCAGCGAGGCTTCGTACAAGTCCAAGAGACCGCGGATCAGAAAGGCGTAGTCGTCCAGGAACCCGACGATGGGCGTCGCGCTAAAATTGTCGTCGTTGAAAAATGATTTTCGCTTTTAAAATCGCGCCTTACGTTTGCACCACCTGTTCGTCGTCGCCCTTGTAGCAGCAGCGCAACAGGGTCTTCTCCTGCTCGTCGTAGAGATGCTCGCGGATGAAATTGGCCGCCTGTGTGGCGCGATCTATGTACGATTGATCTTTCAGAACGAAGCCGGCCTTCGCGTACCCGGAAATCATCAGTCCGTTCCAGCTCGTGACGATTTTCGTGTCGACGTGCGGTTTCGGCCTCTTCTGCCTCTCGTCGTACAAGATTTCGTGCGATTTTTTCAGTATTTCCTTCACTGTTTCCACGGTTGTGTTGAATTGCCTCGACGTGTCTTCGTAGGAACCGAAACAGACTAAAACGTTCTTGTTTAGGAGCTCGCCATGCGGGTCTTGCCGCGGATTGACGTTCCCTTCTTTTTTGACGTTGTAGTGATAGGCAACCACGTCGGCGTGCGATACCCCCTCGGTGATATCGTCTTGCAACAAATTGTAAATCTCGTCGTACTCCCACACGCAAAAGGCGCCCTCTTGCTTGTGTTTGACGCCCTCGAACGCGTAAGAATCCGCGTCTTCTGCGCCGTAGAAACCGCCTTTGGCATGGCTGAGGTCCCTCGAAACGTAGGTGAGAATATCGCGTACTATATCCGCGTAAAACTCGTCCTTTGTCAAGACGAAGGCATCGCAGTACGATACCGCCAACTGCGCCTGATCGTAGAGCATTTTTTCGAAGTGCGGTACGTGCCAGCGCGAATCCACTGAGTACCTAGCGAACCCGCAGTTGACGTGGTCGTGTATGCCGCCGTACGCCATCTTCTGCAGCGTCTTCAAGCACATCTGCAGACATTGAAACCCGCGTTCCGATTTTTTATCCCGCGAGTACATGTGGAAGAGGAAGTTGAAGTTGCTGGGTTGCGGGAACTTGGGCGCGGTGGAAAAACCCCCGAAATCGTCCTCGTAAGAGGTGGACAGCTGCAGTAAGCACTTCTGCGCCGCCTCCACTCCGGGCACCTCGATTTTCTGACCGCCGGACAGCTCCTTCTCGGCCACCTTCCGCAATACATCCAAACTGTACTTCCCCGAGTGCAAAACGGCGGACTGCTTCGTCCGCCACTCCTCCGCGATGTTTTTCAGTACGGTTTTGAACCCCGGACGGCCGTACTTGTCTTCCGGGGGGAAGTACGTGCCGCCGGCGAGCGGTTCCAGCTCCGGGGTCAGGAACACGCTCATTGGCCAGCCGCCGCCCCCCACCGTAGCCTGTATGAACGACATGTAAAGTTTGTCTACGTCGGGGCGCTCCTCTCGGTCCACTTTCACGTTTACGTAGTAAGTGTTCATTATTTCCGCGACCGAGGGGTCCTCGAAGGATTCTTTCTCCATCACGTGACACCTTTCGGGTAGAACAAAGAACACGATTTACTATTTCGTCGTTGATACTGCAAAATTTCGTGTTACAAAAACCTACAAGCATGAACATTTTTTGTACTATATTTCTGCATGCTTCTAGTTTTTTGAAGAACTTCACAGTAACGTTTTTCGTCCTCCTGAAAAGTTACATACGAAACACATTTTGCAGTATAAACGACGATTTAAATGCCAGAAAAATAGAATAAGAAGAAAAAAAACAAGATAATAAAATAAAATCCACAATCCACACAACATCTCGTTTCACGCATACTAAAAATCACGAAGTTAGGCAACCCACTGCACAGACTCTAACGGCGGCCATTTTTAAGCTGTTTACAATTCTTGTGCTTCGGGTTTGTGCTGTTAATACAGATTAATAATCGTTTTAAACGTTGTGTTTCTTGCAGATGCACTTGTAAGCCTTCAAAGAGGCCTTAAAGTGCTAAGGCCAACCATTACTCCCCTTTTGTGGGTACTAATTTGTGGGTATGGTAAATTTGTAGGTTATGGTAAATTAATCTTAAAATTGATAGAATTAAATTATTTTTTTTCATAAAAGGAGTAAATTGGTTGTCCACTCATTTGAGGCTTACAAGTTCCTCTGTAAGAAACACAACGTTTAAAACGATTTTTAATCTGTTTAAACAGCACAAGAATTGTAAACAACATAAAAATGGCCGCCGTTAGAGTCTTTGCAGTGGGTTGCCTAACAGACCTTGTTTTGTGAATTGTGAATTAAACGTTAAAAATATTTTTATTATTTGAATCCATATAAAATGTTTATAATAAATATATAAAAATAATTGGTTAAAATGAATAATAACAAAGTTGGTTTGTTTTTTTATTCGAAATTTTTGTCAAAAATTTGAGGGTTTAGTTGTCAAATTCTAGGAAGTAAAGGGTCATTCCACGATACTCGGGGATTTTTGTCCCGCCCGTCGCAATTAAAAATTATGAGTAAAAACTACACGTTATAAAATTTAATAAATTTAATTTATTTTAAAATATTGTTTATTATGCTTGTAATAAGCTTATAAGCACAATAAAAATAACATTACAAGATATTAATTTAATAACTTGTGCTTTTTACTCACAATTTTAAATTGTGACGGGCGGGACAAAAATTACCGAGTAAAGTGGAATACCCCTAAAACAAAATTATTATTATTATTTTATCAAAATGCTGTTTTTTTTTTAATTTTTGTTTAGAATTTTTTGTTATCTTGGTAATGTTAATTATAGTTCTACCATTTAAATGAAAATACCAAAGTAAAATTAAGACATTAAACAGGAGTACCAATTTTAAATATTAATAATACCAAATATAAATATACAAAGTACCAACATAATCAAATGTGTCAAATTCCGAATAAAAACTTTATAATGATTTGATTTGATTTGAGAGATTTGATTTTAGCCATGGTTTTGGACATGATGTCAAAAATTATTGTGAAACTACTTCTATTTTAGGGATTAGTCATAAAAAACAATTATACCATTGAAAAAAAAAATCTTGTGACTGAAAATTAATAAATTACCATGATGTCACTACCTATATTATAAAATAAATGGTATATTGATAGGTAGGGGTCGAGTTTTATGAATGAAGTATATTGAAAAATAAAAAATCCGAACATAACCAAATTTATTGACAGTTATAATTAATAACGTACTTTAGTATAAAATTAATAAAATATAAAATTCTTTTTGTCATTTTTTAAACGATTTAAATACTTTAGAGCATCCAACATAACCTAGAAACCATGCTAGAAACAGATGTTTGATTTATTCGTAAATCTTGACACAATTGACAATTCTTGAAACACTCTTTTCAAGGTCATCTTAAATGCTTAACTTGAAATCAAAAAAATAACCAAAATGTCAAGATAAATCATTAAAATTAAAATTAAAAATTGTCTTATAAGAAATTGTAGTTAATAAAAAATAAATTCTATAAAAACTATAGGTATTGAATAAAAAGTTTATAAATTAAACAAACTAATTCTTATTATTTACTTATTAAATAACCATGTGGCTGATATCAGCCCAATAAACACTTAAAATTCAGTTCAATGGCTGACAATGACCTTCAGCAGCAAATAACTATTGCAATACTTAAAAATCTTACAGGAAGTAAATAAAAAAACACTATTAATTAACTCACATGTTCTGCGCAAATTTACTCACCAATGACATGTGGAATAACCGACAGAGAGAAAAATTAGTTTGTTCTCCGATTTAGCTTTCTCAAAGGCCTCATTGCCCCATGGAAACCAATCCACAGGGTTCGTAGCATGTTGCAGTAAATACGGAGATTTTTCCAGACTTAATCTGTTTTTTACTGTTTCCTTACTATCTGAGGTTGTTTTGCTTGCCATTTTTCTTATTGAACTGTTAAAGAGTGGTATGGAGCCAAATGAACGAGATCTATAAACAATAATAAAAGAATTAATGACAGCTGTCAAGTTGACAGAAGTCAAAAGATTTAGGTTAAGTTTGTATGTCACCTTGTCCATGTTTTGCGAAAGTGTGTCTAAATTTGCATATATGCGAAATATAACGCAAATTTATGCAATTATTTAATATAAATATGTATTACCTTATTCTGCCAGTAGACTCGTTTTCTATGAACTTATTCGCCAAAACGCTTGTAGTGTAAAAATTATTGGAAATACGTATATCCCCATTGGATATGGAAATTCTTCTGAAAATACCCTGTATTACCGAAGAATTTTGCACGAAACGAGTGGCAATCATTATAAATATGAACGGCGCACAACGCACATTTCACCAGACTTTTATGTAACGCAAAAATCACTATTTAAAAAGTTATTTTTATCTGAAAGTGAAAGTAAACACAAACACATCTAGTAAACAAGTGTGTATCTGTGACAGACTTCACGAATGTTCAGTCAGCAGGGTTGCCAGTCTTACGGTTTTACAGTAGATCTACCGTTTTTGACCTATGCCAACTTGGCATTGCCAAGGTGATATTTTTTCACACCAACTTTTAGAAAATACATCTGTCAATGATGTTAACCTCAGCCAACTGCAAAATGTATCAAAACTCAATAAAAATAAGCTAAAATCTAAACTTAGCAGGAAAAATTTAATAGGTAGGTATCCTACTGTTTTTCTACAAAACTCTGACTGAACTCAAAACTGATCCGGCAACGCTGCTTCAGCCGGCAGCCTTGATAGGATTTTTTTATTTATTTAATACTATTTACGCATCCAGACAATAATGCGCCCGATAAAACTATAGGTTTTGGTGTAATATTAAAAATAAACACGATAACTTGCTCGAAATTATTTGTTTTAATTTAAATTTGCGTCATTTTTGACAAATATTGACTTTTAGCAGGGTTGCCTCTTCGAACACTTTTTTGGTTGATTTCTAGGAAAATTTAGGTAAGTAGAAAAAATTCGGTAGATTTAAATGTGTGTCTATTTTTGTTACAAAAGCCATAAAAATAAAATATTTAGTAGAAATGATAACAAAATTCAAATAAAATAATAATAAGTATATAAAAACTACACGGCTTAAAGCCGGGTCTACAATTGTCGCAGGTCGCAGATCGCAGAACATAATAAAATATTTAGTAGAAATGATAACAAAATTCAAATAAAATAATAATAAGTATATAAAAACTACACGGCTTTAAGCCGGGTCTACAATTGTCGCAGGGGTCCGATCGCAGAATATAAGCTTGCGCAAAGCACCCAGCGACGCACTATGGTCAAAAAGCAGCGTTTTGAGGAAAAAATTCAATAACTTTTTTATTACAAATAAATATTCATTTTTTAATGTGTTAAATAGGAGTTATTGCATATAATTAACTATATTTTAATCAAAAATTTTTTAAATGAGTATTTAGATTATCATAATTATGATAAAGCACTGTTTTGCAAAAATAATTCACAAACTTTTTTATTAAAAATAAATATCAATTTTTTCGTTTTTGAATGTATTATAATACAGTCAAAAAGAAAATAATTGGATTATTGTGTGTAATTAACTATATTTCAATAAAAATGCATAAAGGTTTTTATTTTTAAATGCGTTTTTAGATGTTCATAGAGCGGAAATAACTCAATTAATTTTTTAATGCAAAAAAATTATCATTTTTTTTTACTTTGTGAAATATGACCTATAACGTATAAATTATAATTAACTATATTTTAATCGAAAAACATAACGGTTTTTATTTTTAAAATGCGTTTTAGATGGCCCTAGAGCATCAATTGAGGAAAAACAAGAGCAAATACCTATACTTTTTTATTGCAAAGAAATATTTAATTTTTTATTTTTTACTTTGTTAAAAGATAAAATTTATTAAATGTGTGCGTAGTTTTTAAAACATGTTCTTAAAACATGTCATAAAATCAAAACATAATTATCTAAAAATATTTCTTTGGATTAATTTTTGGGAAATATCGCAGGATTCACAATTTTGGTAGAATATGGAAGTCTATCGGCAGAATTATTTATAAATCGGAGATTTCGGTAGTGTTGGCAATCCTGCACGCTGAGTGCAGTGTTTCTATAGGTATATAGTATTTTATACAAATAAGCATATTGACAATAATTGATTTTTATATAAAACAATATTATATTACGCAATATTTAAATTGAATGTGTTTTTAAGCAATTTACAGGATTCTCTCATTATACCTAGCCAGTGTTGCCAGATGTAAAAGTTGAAATTATCGAATTGGGTTAATAAAATTATCGAATTTTCGAAAAATTATGTTACAATAGTTGTAATAATTATGTTTCAATAATTATTATAATTTAATCATAAAAAAGTGAAAGAAGCAGGGTTGAAAATATTATCGAATTTTTAGAAAATTATAAAATTTGTTAATAATAGTATAAAGCTGGATTTATAGTTCAGAAAGTAGCGGTAGCGGTAATGGCGGCCCCTCGCATAAACACTAAACTTACAAGTCGAGGCTGTCAACTAAAAACTGCCGTGTTATTGGCTGGAGTAGCGGTTGAGGTAAGAAAAGATGAAAGTTGGTCATCTCTTGCCGCTACGTTCTTGCCTCTACTTTCCTTACCACTACCTCTGAGAACTATAAATTGTTTCATATAATATTCAATGCCCAACTTGGCTAGCGCCCTAGACCAAACCATGGTTTGGTTTAGGGCTAGCGCTACCGCTGCCTCTACCGTTACCTTTAGAACTATAAATACCTTACGGGAATCTATAAACAGCACTACGGTATTGTTGATCTTTTACGGGAGAAAGGAAGGAAATCTATAAATCAGCCTTTATGCTTAATTAAATTAATTAATCTGGATAAAATTAAGTTGATTTTGCCCAGATACTTGAATTAAAAATTATGTTACAATTATCGATTATGTTACATGAAATTTTCAAGCTTTGTTTTTAGAAAAAATTATGTTACAATTCAATAATTATGTTACAAGTGGCAACACTGTACCTAGCTATAATATTTTTCCTTATGTTGGCAATGTTGTGTCTTTTGACTAACGCAGTATCGTGCCTTCTCACTCTTGATTATTAAAATAGCATTTCCCATCTCTTTTCATTTTGTTCGGAAGGGATATATTTCGGAAAGCGCATGAAAAATCATTCTTTCTGTGAACGACATTCAAGTTGACGGGTTCGGTAAGTTTTCTCTCCACTTTTTCTTAATATTTTAGTGAGTTAAATGGAAAATATTCATACATTCAACAAATATAACGGTCATTCCAACGTTTTGTCAAAATTATTTGCAAAAATCGCGTGGGATGTTAAAAATATCAGCGGATGAAAATTTTCCACGGTATTACGCCTGGTATTTTGGGCAAGGTGCTTTGCGTGTACTGCAAACGTTCCTAATCTTACGAGGCCATATAATAACCCTGTTTAATCCCAGAAAGTAGATTATTACTTGTTTGATTCATGGCAGGGTTACAAATTATCCAGAAATATTGAATATTGTCCACCACGTGTCAAGAATTTCGAGGTTATGTACCATTTGTCAAAAATTAATTTTGTTCGATGGCTTTCTGTTTACTTTTTTAGTAATTTTTGTTAATCGATTTTGTTAAATCTGTCCACGTGTTTATAAAATGGGGTAATGTTTATTATAAACATGACCTTATTGATTGTTTTAAAAACGTTTACTTACTTTCAATGTTAATTACAGTAAAAAGGCATTTTTTCGTACATAACTTCACTTTATTTGACCGCGTTTTTCCACCATTAACATTTCATTCTTCTTTTTTAGATATAGCTCGTCAAGATGGTGAACGGTAGGATACCTACGGTATGTTCGAAGACATACGTGACCCCAAGGCGCCCCTATGAAAAGGCGCGTTTGGATCAGGAATTAAAAATAATCGGAGCTTTCGGTCTCCGCAACAAACGCGAAGTATGGAGGGTAAAATACACTTTGGCTAAAATCCGTAAAGCTGCCCGTGAGTTGCTTACTTTGGAAGAGAAAGAGCCCAAAAGATTGTTCGAAGGTAGGTGATTTTTTGTTTTAATTAATAAATGAAATATTTGTTCCCCATCGCCACGCTCCAATGCCTTTATTTGGGTATTAGGAGTGCCAGAATTTATTCTATAAAGGGGTATACAAATAATCCCGCTAGGAAACAGTCAAAGGTCCATTCAATGATTTTGCCTGTGCCGAAAGTTGTGGAGACATGTTTTCATGATATAACCAACAAGTATTTTGCGTTAAGTTTTTCATATCCTAATATTGCTCCATTAAAAAGAGTTTTAAGATTTTCTTTTATTTCCTTTGAAAAATGCGATGTTTCTAGCCTTGCAGCAATTTTTATTTCAAATTTGATATTTTTTTACACCAAATCACAATGTTAAGCACTGACTCTAACGGCGGCCATTTTATGTTGTTTACAATTCTTGTGCTTTAGGTGTGTGCTGTTAAACAGATTAAAAATTGTTTTAAACGTTGTGTTTCTTACAGAGGCACTTGTAAGCCCTTAATGAGGGCCTACGGGCCACCATTTTACTTAATTTTTTTGTAAAAATTAAACCTTTTTTATCAGGGCTGACATTAAACAGTCAAATGTCAACTTTATGGTAAATTAACCTTAAAATTCACATTTGACATTTTGATGACAGCCCTGAGAAAATAAGGTTTATTTTTTACAAAAGAGGAGTAAAACGGTTGTTCTTGGCACTTTAGGGCTTCATTTGAGGCTTCACTTTAAGGCCTCATTTGACGCTTACAAGTCTCTTTGTAAGAAATCGTTTAAAACGAATATTTTGTGCTGTAGGTACCTATAAACAGCACAAACCCAAAGCACAAGTTTTTAAAAAACAAAAAATGACTGCTGTGGGTTGCCTAACTTCGTGATTTTTATTATTTAGTAGTGTGGATTGTGCATAAAATTGTAATTGTCATTTTTTTCAAATAATTGAGGTTATGTATTTGTCAGTTTACACCAATTTCGTCTTATTTTCTGAAAAAATACGATTTATGTAAGTTTTTGTGACATAATCCAAGAAGTTTGTACACAAATTTGTATATTATATTATTTTCAGTAAATAAGACTAAATCCACTCCACAACCCTCCCAACACCCTCCTTTATGAAAAATTTAAAATCAGCCCAATTTCTGCGAGATTAATAAAACTATCCACCAACTTTGCCCAGAGAGAAGCCGCTTACCAGTTTCTGGCACCAGTACTGATTCCAAGAGACCTAGAGAGAGCTCCCACCCGAATTAAACATCCTACAAGATCCCTGGTTGAGGAAATGCAAGCTCTAGCTGACGAATGAACACATATACATATATATATCTAATTTATTCTTTACATACACAATACGATGTACTTTTTTTTTTTTGCACTCTATCTAATATCAATTTCGGTTTCTAACACATGCAAATACATTACATTTATATTTTAATTAACCTTGGCTGAAGGACCTAGGTCAATGGCCTTTTGATTGTTGTTATTTTTATAATTATGATGATCAATAAATAACTATTATTATTATTATTAAGACTAAATTGACCTTAATTATTTAGAAAAAATTCATTACAATGACTTATTTAATGCATTTAAACAAAAAAGAACCCTATCGTGAAAATGATATTTTTATGGGAAAAAATATTAACTTTTAAATAAAAGTTGCCGCAAGGTCAGAAAAATCGCATTTTTTCACTTGAATTGAATTTATTTCATAAAGATTGGTAAAAGCGTTTTAGAGTTAGAATTTTTTACTTATTATGCGTTAATTTTAGGTAACGCGCTTTTGCGTCGTCTTGTACGCATTGGTGTGTTGGACGAGAACAGGATGAAGCTCGATTACGTTTTGGGCTTGAAGATCGAAGATTTCTTGGAGCGCCGTCTGCAAACGCAGGTTTTCAAATTGGGGTTGGCCAAGTCCATCCATCACGCTCGCGTGCTCATCAGACAAAGACACATCCGGTAATGACCAAAAAAAAATCATCGATTTTTTATTTCTAAAAGGCCACTTAGTTGAACTAACTAACGCCTTGAAATTCATGCATACTCTGTATGTCGAGAGAGGTAATGTTGGTTGAATATTGCTCGAAATTAAGTCCGAGTCTAGAGTCACTAGGCAAACCAATCGGTGTTTGATCTAGTGCTAAAGAAACTCGAAGAGGAATGATACCAGCTCTTATGCCCCGATCGGATTATTTCATAATCTTTTTGGGTACCTGTGAGGCGACAATGCGAATCTTCAGTGCTTCAACCAAGCCACCAAAGTTGGGAGCTTTGTTGAAGCACGTGAAAAAAATGGGGGGAAATGTCAAGTTCTTGTACAATTTTATATCTTTTGCAGCGTCCGCAAGCAAGTGGTGAACATTCCCTCGTTCATTGTAAGGTTGGACTCGCAGAAGCACATCGATTTCTCCCTGAAATCGCCCTTCGGCGGTGGCAGGCCTGGACGCGTTAAGAGGAAGAACCTTCGTAAAGGAACTAGCGGCGGTGCTGTAGAAGAAGACGAAGAATAAACTGTAAAATAACACAATAAAAATTGTTATTTATACACAACACGTTTTTTTAATTTTATTTTCCTTTAGGTTTTTTGTTTTACACCATTTTCAGGTACAAAATACTAAAAGGTAAGCTATAAAAACTTCTAATTTTACTGAAAAACGGTAAGAAAAAAAAATGAAATATTACTACAATTTTTGTCATTGGGTCGATGGTCTAGGACGAAAAATTACGCCGCTTAGAGAAATGACATGTAACATGGTAATGTAAAATTACCAGAGGAGTGTAAATATGGACCAACCATTACAATCGGCTGTCAAACGAGTTTTTTTAGAATAAGGCCGGAAAATTTTGAAAATATCGAGACAATTTTGTTGTGTTGGCTGTGTTTTGAGAGAAAATCCTGGGTTGAGTTTTTACCGGTTTCCCAATAAACAGTGGAAATCCGAATGAAAAAATAAAGCTCAACTATGTAAAAATCATAAAACACAACAAAGTCGTCCAAATTCAAACAGCGGTGTGCATTATTAAAAGCGTTGATTAATAAAGTCTACTCAACAGTAAAAAAACATTATTTGCAAAACTGCTATTTGGTTACTTTTCAGGATCAACAAAAAACTTTTTTGAACGCAATCTAATTTTTCTATAAATCTGCTAGTTTTTCAAAAAAAAAAATATTGCAAATAGTTTTGAAAAGAAAAAGGTAAACACAGTTAATTTATTAACCAACCTGTAACATTAAAAACATTTAGTACGAAAACGAAAAAAAATTCAGTGTCGTTTACTTTTTGACACTTCTTGATCATCTTCACTTTTTTCAAAACTTTGCAGCTTCATCTTGAATAATTTTGTAGAAGGCTTATTCTTGTATAATGGTTAACCAGCAAACCAATAATGGGAGTTTTATCGCCTATACGTTTCTTGCTTAGCGACTTTTGCAAATAACCGCGGTTTTATTTAGGTAGCAATACATTCCTTATAAAAAATCTAATGAAATTAGCAAACAAAATAGTGAATTTTGATTATTTTGTCCATTAGAGACTTGCAAATAATGGCTTCGTATATAATTTTATGTTGCCACGAATTCGTAGATATATTTTTTCGTTTACTTTTTTAAAATGCACTTGGCGTTTTTTAGAAGACTCAAATATAAAAATGTCCAAACTTAAATATAAATTATATTAGGGAAAGTTATCGTTATAACGAAAGAAATAACTATAGTTATTTCTAGTGATGCAGATATTCGGATGATTTAGATATTCGGATTATCCGGAATCGGAATATTTCAATATTCGGATTAATCATCCTATTCCGAATTCACATTTTTTAATTCCGAGTAAGCCAGTAGCAGTGACACTCGCGGCATTTTAACAAAGAGGGCGCTAATACCTTTAAACTCGAAACCGAATTGATTTAATTAACTATTTTTAAATTAAAACTGTCATTTTATTATAAATTATTAAAAATTAAGTAAATAATATTAGGCAATAAATATATTTAATATCTAATATAATTTTAAATGGTGTTCCGTATTGGTAGTTGACATTAAACTATTTAGTTTTCATTTTTTTAACGTATGAGTTGTCATCGAATTCGGTTGGTAAAAACTAGAGGGCTACGGTATAAACAATAAATTTTGATACCGAATGCAATTCATCCGAGTTTCGGATTCCGAAACCGGATTTTTCATAGGAGGATACGAAATTATTCCGATTCCGATTCCATAAAATATTTCATTATTCGGATGCATCCGAATATCTCAAAACTCGGATAAAACGAATATTTTAATTCGAAATATGACATCACTATATATATATATATATATATATATATTTGTTGGTGCAGAAATAACTTATTTCTGCACCAACAAATATATATATATATATATATAGGTACAACCGGCGATACCAGACCCGATATATCTAAAAGGCTACCTCAGACCCACTAGAAATAATGAAGTAAAGGGAGTGTATTTTATATTTTTATAAATAAATTTATGCAAATAACATGAGCAAACCATGAGGGGAAACTATTTCTCAAAAAAAAAATTTTTGGTATGTTCCGTGTACTTTCACAAACCCCACATCTCCAACCGACTTCCTGAGCCCGTTTTTACACAAATTAAATGGTCGACCGTCGTTGCCAGGCCCTGCTGCGTTGCCACATTTTTATAATATGTTTCGGTTAAATTAATTTTATTTTCAAATCTCTAGAAAGCGCGTTTACCGGTCTTCTTATTACGCATTAGGTGATAAAAAAAAGTGTCCACAATGTTTCGCGGAAAATTATTAGTGCAATTGGCTAGAAAAAGTGCGGTTACAGGTATGTAATTTTAATTAAACATGTAAAAATTATCCAAGCTTGGTAGTAGTTAAAAATATTTCAAACTGAAAGAAATATGAAGTTTGTAGCAAATTGTAGATGCAAAAATCCCTATATAGGTATTTTTGCATCTACAATTTGCATAATTTGTGTTTGTAATTATAATTACAAATTAATTTTCATTTAATATATTAAATTGAAATTCTTATAAGCATATTAAACACATATTGTCCCAATTATCACATAATTACGAAGGCGTAGAAGGGACAATTACACTAAATTCCTTTTTATTATTTAATTCTGCGTTAGCTAACACAGAATTAAATCCGCCATATTTAATTCTGCGTTAGCTAACACAGAATTAAATCCGCCATATTTAATTCTGCGTTAACTAATACAGAATTAAATCCGCCATATTTAATTCTGCGTTAGCTAACACAGAATTAAATCCGACATATTTAATTCTGCGTTACCTAACACAGAATTAAATGCAATTAATTCCGTGTTAGCTAACCCAGAATTAAATATGGTGGATTTAATTCTGTGTTAGCTAACGCAGAACTAAATATGGCGGATTTAATTCTGTGTTAGCTAACGCAGAATTAAATATGGCGGATTTAATTCTGTGTTAGCTAACGCAGAATTAAATAGTACAAATGAATTTAGTGTAATTGTCCCTTCTACGCCTTCGTACATAATGGCGTATTTCATATTTAACAATTTTACAGAGCATTTCAAAGATTGAAAGTTTTAGCTAATTAAATTATTTTTTGGAAAACACATGTACTACTATAGGTATTACATTAAATGTCCTCCTGGTTTAAATTAGCTAAAACTATTCAATCTTTAAAATTCTCTGTAAAATTTTAAAATATGAGATACGCCCTTATGTGATAATTGGGACGATATTATAGACATGTCATGAACATTACTAGTATTTACAATAACCAGAATATTTTTTTATTTTAACAGCATTTGTGACAATTAGGTAGTGTTGACACAGAATAGAGGAAGACAGAAGTCGCATTCAAATCATTTGAATAGTTTGAATATTTGCTGTGATTCGAACACTATTCGCTCATTTGTAATTTAAACCTTTATTTTCACATTAGGTTGACGGAAGATACTTACCAAACAGCTAAGGTAGCGAAAATTTTGTTATTACTAAATGCTGGAAAAGGAAAGGAATTCAAGGGAAAATGTCTGATGGACATTGAGACCTGGTCGACTTTAATGACATGGTATTTGAAAATGAATCTGAAGAGGAATCTGAAAGAGAATCTGAAAATGAATCAAAAAAGGAATCTGAAAAGAGGTCTGAAAAGGAATCTGATAAGAATTCTTAAGACTTAAGTCTGAAAAGGAATTTGATAAGAAGTCTGAAAAGGAATCTAAAAAAAACCTGAAAAGGAATCCAAAAAAAACCTGAAAAAAAAATATGAAAAGAAATCTAAAAATGAACCCGAAAAGGAATCTGGTCATAATGCCTTTCTGTCCGAGCAGCCTCGGAATCAAAATGTTAAATCCTTAAGTTTTGGAACGCACAACCGCCTACGTTGGTCTAAAAAAGAAAAAGCGTTGGTTTTAAAATTTTTTAAGAAAAATATAGACCAAAAGCTAGCTCCAAAAAAACAAGACTATATTAATTTTATCCAACAAAATAATAATTCTTTTACTGAAAGTGATTGGGTACGAATTAAGACTTTGGTGTATAACACTTACTGATTTAATAATTATATATTTTAATAACTTAAATAACTATATCTTTTAATATTTGTTTCGTTTAAAATAATAATATGTTTTTAAGTGTCATGTAACAACAGTTGTTATAAACCAATAAAGATTGTATTTTAAAATATTTTTTTATAATTAAAAACCAGCATTTCATACTTGTGTTTGAAAAACACATTATCATAGGTAGGCATGTAAATCAATAAATAAAAACAGAAATTGGCAAATTAAATACAGGGTGCTTAATAATAATAGTTAAAATTCAAAAAATCTATAAAATAATCTCAATAATTTTATTAAATAAATTAACTTAATATAAAAAATAAAACAATAAAGTTAAATTTTTATCAGGTTTAAAAATAAAATAAATTAAATAAAAATGTTCCAAAGTAATAATAGTGTAAATTAATAGTATATTATAGTGTATTATTTGTTTGTTTATTAATTTACATGCAACAGGCGCAGGGCTAATTATAGTATTACGTATTATACATAATTAATTTTTTTTATCCCAATCTAATTAACTTCAATATCCATATCCTACTAATTAATTAACCATATTTTATGTTTCCATAATCATAATAGTTAATATTTTCTTTTAAAACGAGAGTTAATGCGCATTATCTCGAGTGTAATACTATGTTTTTTCTACTCCAATTAAGTAATATTCTTTAATAACACAACTTATTATAACGCCAATTTCTTCCGATTTTAATGATCATTATAGTAGCCCCTCGTATATATAAAAATCTGACATCTGATAGAAAGTTCCAAACTCACTTTCTTCCAATTTAAAATCCTATTGGTTTAAACCACAGTAAATATTGAAATCAGCCAATCACTAATGCCTAACAACGTGAATAATGTGTTCAATATTCCCGTTGTTAGGATTTAATGGTTAAACCTAAGTAATGTCAATAATATGCAATTTTTTTAAAATTGTGTAGGGTATTTTTCAAGAACTACATATTTAAAATTGGAATAAGTAAAAATAAAAATTTTACATTTTTTTTATTTTTTTATACAAATAAAATAGGCTAATTTATTTTGATATTTTATAAATTATTTAATTAAAAAAATTGTTCTTATTAAATAAAATAAAATTTATTGCAGAAAAATTAATGTAGGTAGGTACCTACATAATAAAATTTGGTCTCATATTACTTTAGTTTTTATGTTTCTTCTGTGTAATTTAGCGATTTTTTAGTAAATATAAATTTAATTTGTTCTATTAAATTTATGCACATAATTATAAATTACAAAATTTTTCTTGTCATTCTGACCAGGGCAGAAGTAAACATTGGTCATCACGTTAAAGTCCACTCCTAATTTATTTTTTAATGTTTCATTTTATTCATATACTTACACACAAATTACGCCACATTAAAAAAATATACCCAAATGGTGTAATTTAAAAATAACATTTTCCCCAAACAAATTTAATTTCAAGATATAACTTTGGTTCTAATAAAATTTATTGTTATTAATAAATATGGAAGAAGTTTTTTTATTAATTTTGTTTTCAGTACAATATTATTTTGCTTCAATCATAATAATTATTTTAATACATTTTAATTTAAATAAAAGTACTGGTTAAATATTTTGGGACCTATTTTTATGTTATTTATTTTTATTTTCTATTTAAAAGTAAAACGGCCTGCCATACCTTTAAGTTATTCATAATTAAATGCAGGGACGTAGCGTGGGGGGTGTAAGTTTTTCGGAGTCTGCATTTTTCGAGCTCCGATAATATATAATATATTATATTTCAATATTTCCAATCAATGGGAACGTCATTTTAGATGATTCCGAAAATTATTTAGTTAAAGATTGTTAAATATACTTAGGATCCTCATTTTATTGTAAATTCAGTATTCGGCATTTTCGAAAGTTTTAATAACTGCCGACTAATGCGAACTGTAGCTCCAGCTAATGCCGATTTTCAAAAAACTATTTGCACTAAGTATAATTCTTCCTCAATCTTAAACATTGCTGCTGTAGTCGGCAAAATCTTCTAAAAAGTCTGAATTTCTCACCTCCACATGGAACATTTGCTACGTCCTTAATTAATAATAATTTGTTACATATTTTTTTCATATACATATTTTGTTAGCAGTAAATAAAATAAAAATATATAATACATATAAGTTAAACAATAAAAATTTAATATGATAACATAAAACATAGATTATGATTATAGATTATATAATTATAATTATTCATGAAAATGAAAATGAAAATCTGAAAAATATAAAAAAACAGTAATAGTCACTAAAAATTGGACATGTTCACTTGGTGATTTATAGGTAGTATCAGTTTGCACCATGCATGAAAAATGCAATTTTTATTTTTTTAAAACTTATAATGAAGTATCTTTATTGGTGTATTCTTAATACATTACATATTACTATGTTACGGGTTTAAGTATATATAGTGAAAAGTAAAAACAATAAAAATATAACATTTTTTAAGGTTTATTTTGTAAGTTTGGACATACAATTCCCTAAAAACAAGATCTAGGTATATGTTAAACAATACAATTTTCATGATATGATAAATACTTATAAAACCTACATAATTATTTAAAGTAAACTTTAAAATTTGAAAAAATATATAAAAACAAGAAAGTTAGTAGTACCAAGTTTTTTTTTGTTATAACTTTGTTATTATTTATTAGAATTATTATTTAACTATTAATTTGATTATTAATAATTATAATAATTGTCATTAAAACTATGGGTTTAGAATAACTCCATTTATTTTAATAAAATCCCTCAGATGTACTAAAAAAATGTGTGCATTTGACTATTATTAACAAAGTTACAACTATTTAAAATGGCTGGAAATACCGTTATAGCCCGCGCACCAACGGAGAGTTAATTGTCGAACCTTATTACATTTAAATCCATAAATCTATTTTTAAAATGATTTTAAGTATAAATTAATACACAGTTGCCAAATTTCGGGACCGTAAACGTCAGCACCGTATGGTCTTCATATAATCGTGTATAAGTCTGGTTTGTGTATAACAGTCCTGCCCTCTAGGCGGAATAAGCGTGAACTAATTCCATATAAAAAAAAATGTTTTACCGATTTTTCAAGCCCTCCCAATTTTTGTTTCCTCTAACCCCTCTTTCCCTTCTGAACACAACTGTATAGCTAAACGTTGTCGAACCCGAAGCCGGGTCTGAAAACGTCGATTTTGGTCTGGAAAGTCGGTACTCTATAGCGTTTTGGGTCCGTATAAGCGGTCGTACAAATGTATATATATATATACGTACCGTACGGTACGTATTGTATCCTTTGGCAAAACGATTTAGTTCTTGAATTACATTTACAATTAAAAACAGTAATTCACCATGATCACTTAAATAAAATACACACACTAACGTAACTATATAAGCACATAAGCGTACGCAACGTTGCGTTTCTTAATAAATGATATAGGTAATGATCATTATTCGAATAATAAATCAAAATTGAATACAAAGTTTTTTAGTTTTTACTTGCAACGCCAAGCACAAATAAAATTGCGAGCTAATTTTGTGAAATAAATACTTATTTGGGGTCTACTCAATATTGTAATTTGTACAAAATGACGAATTACCTTTTGTATTTTTCGCCATAGAGCTTCGACCCAATGACAAATTGTAGATGGCAATTGCAAATTGCCATTAATATTAATTGCCATATTAATACCCCCATTTTTTTCTAAAACTGACTGTTTTCCAGAAAAATACGATTTTCTTGGAATTTATTAAAATTTTATTCACATGTGTAGGTATACCTATATATATATATAAAACATCATTCATTTTTTATATTTTTATGGACATCACTGGCAGCCTTTTCGATCTCCCTTTTGACGTTTTTTGCCTCGACTTTTACCTCCCCCTCTATAATTTTAATGTCCTTACTGGTTTTAGCAACAAAAGTCTGCAGCGATTTTTTTAAATCTTTCGTCTTGTTGGTTTCAAATTGCTCCAAAACGACCATGAACGTATTGCAATTTTCCACCAGCTTGTCTTCAAGTTCTTTTAAAGCCGTTATTATACCGTCGATTATGCCGTCTATCCTTGTATAAGCCGTCTTGGTGCAATCTTTTACGTCTTCTTGTTTGCTGCCAGAGTCAAATGCCTTTAATGTGGCCATAGTCTCATCTTTTACTTTGTCCATTTGGGTTTTGGCCATTTTCGACGTTTCCTTAAGACACTCCACGGCTTCATCTTTCAACGAATCCAAATTGGTTTGAATAGTGTCCCATGTAGGTTGCATTTTACAGATTTAATTTTGACGTTGACAAAAATCGCCGTCAAAACAATATTACATACAGTTCATTTTTTTATTAAGTTGGTAGCTTATGCCAGTTTGATTTAATATTTTTTCTACTCCCACCTTTAAAACGCCCTTTATCGTACATGTTTTCATGACACTAAGTGACTTTTAAATACACATTGACAAGTTGTGGCTTTATGGCGCTTTAGTCAATATTGCGTTTAATTATGCACGAGCGAGTGTTTAATAAAAACGAGTGTCTAGAAAAGTTTATAAAACGATTTGCATACCATACATTATCTACGACGAACGCAAAATAACTAAATAATGTTTTTTTCAGAATTTAGTTTTATTTGACATTTTATATTACAAATGCCTAGCGGTTTTACCAATCTGACATCAGATTCTGTCAGACGTGTTTAACCTCACTTTTTAGTAAGTGATGAATAAAAACGACTCGTTTTAAAATATTTGATTAAAAATAAAAAATAAATATTAAGTTGTTTACCTTTATAGGTTTATATTTATTATTTTAAATCTGGGATTTTTGTTTTGTGCGGTGTTGCCAGTCATATTTCACTATTACCCAAATTTGGCTAATACTTCTCATAAATACTCGTAGAAAAAATAAGTAAACTTAAGGAAGTAACAAGAATATATTTAGACATGTTTCTGATGTGTCCTGTCCATGGGCTTGGAATGGTCGTATAGCTTTTTCAAAAATCCTTTATAAAATATATTTTTATTAATTCCACAAACCATTCAAGAACTTTTTAAATAAATAAAACAAAAAGGTAGGTAAAACTTATTTATTTCGGATTTAAAATAACAAAAATATTTGGTCGTGCATAACAACTAAATTTCTTTGGGACACAAACATAAGTTATAATAATTATTAAACAAAAAACTTTTATAAAAGTGTTAAATATTGTTACATTATTAACCTAGAACTAAAATTTTAGAACAGAAACCTTTTTTTGTAGCTTAAAACTATAATAACCAAATAACAATTTGGGAAAATTATTATAATAAGTGTTTATTAATACATTTTCATACTACCATGGAATCTTGTGATCTTTGTAGATTTTAGCCATTATAGTAAAACGTTAACAAAATAAATAAAAACAAAATAGTAAAATTAACTGAACACAAACGAATAAAACCTAAATATTAATAAATAGTGTAAGTGGACAATGGTCAGACCCAAAGACGTTTTTGTGTGTTATGATGTCACAAACATTATCCATAAGACTTTCATGGACTAGAAAATAGTCAAGACGCCTGAAAACACAATAAAAAATTGTTTATAAACACATTTTACTTATTAAATGTCCAAACAAAAACTAATGAAAACTGTCCGTACATGCATAAATAAGCACAGTAGCTTAAATTTTTAAAAATGGTAGGACAAATTCGCACAGTGGCATAAATTTAAAAAATGGGAAGACATATTCGCACAATAGGATAAATATTTCAAAATTTTCCCAGATGTTTCAAAATTTTCAAAAATCCGAAATTTTAAAAATCTTTAAATTTTTAGATTTATTAAATACTTTAAACTTTATTAAATACTATAAAATATTAAAATTATACAAAAATTTCCAAAATGTTCAAATCGTTCAAAACGATATTTTTATAAATTCCAAAATTTTAAGTTTTAATTTTTACAAATCTTAAAATTTTATAAATAAGATTGTTTTTTTTACAAAATTTTTAAATTTACAAAATTTGATGTTTTAAATGTTTCCTTTAAAAAAATTAAAATTTTCAAAAATTTCAATTTTTTTTAAATTTTCAGAACTTCAAAATATCAGAAATTTTCATAATTTCCAAATTTTTGAAAACTTCCAGTTTAATTTAAATTATAAAAAAATTTAAAAACTTTCAGACTTTTTAAAATGTAAAGAATTTCCGAAATTTTCCATTTTTTTAAAATTTTACCAATATTTAAATTATCCAGTTTTAAAAATTTCCAACATTTTTGAAAACATTTGGATTTTATCATTACAAAATTTCTCATATTTTCCCCATATTTTAGACGTTTTAGATGTTCAAAAATTTTCAATGCAAACTTTAAATTAAACAAATTTTCAAAATGTTCAAAATTTCCGAAATTTTAAAATTTTTAAAAAGTTCAAACTTCAGATTCAGATTTTTGTATTCCAGAATTTCCGAAATTTTTTATCCTAGTTTTATTCAGATGTTTCAAAATTTTCAAATTTTCCAAAAATTTTAATACAAAATCTTTAAATTATCCAATTATCCAAAAAAAATTCGGATTCAGATTTTTTTATTTTTCAAAATTATGGACGTTTCAATGTTTCAGATGTTTTAAATTACACAAAAATCATTAAATTATAGTTTTTTAAATCATAAAATTTTCAAATTTTACAAAATCTTTTAATTAGCCATAAATTTCAAATTTTTGTAAATTTTTCAGATTTAAATTTTTTTATTCCAAAATTTTCAAATTTTACAAAATCTTAAAATTAAAGTTTTCCATAATTCCGAAATTTTCATAATTTTCAAAATTTTTGAAAACTTCCAGATTCAAATGTCTCAAAACTTTCAAATTTACCAAATTTCCCAAATTTTCCCAATTTCCCAAATTTTTTAAGATTTTACAAATTATTCAAAGTTTTTGAAGATTCAGATTTTATTATTTCAAAAATTTTCACTTTAATAATGTTAATACAAAATATTTATATTATTCAAAAATTTTAAAAACTTTCAGACTTTTTATTTCAAAAAAATTTCCGAAATTTTACCAATATTTAAATTTCAAAATTTTATAATTTTTAAAAACTTCAAGCTTCTGATTCAGGTTTTTGTATTTCAAAATTTCAAATTTAATAAAAAAAATTAGATTTAGTTTTTTGTATTACAAAATTTGCAAAAATTTCCGACATTTCCGAAATTTTCCAAAATTATAGACGTTTCACTGTTCCAGATGTTTTAAATTACACAAAAATCATTAAATTTTCCAAAAATTTCAAATTTTTAATGCTTCAATTTCTAAAATTGTCCAGATTTTACAAAATCTTTAAATTATCCAAAAATTTCAAATTTTTAGATTCAGATTTTTTTATTCCAAAATTTTGAAATTTTCCAAAATTATGGACGTTTCGAATGTTTTAAATTACACAAAAATTATTAAATTAATTTTCAAATTTTACAAAATCTTTAATTATCCAAAACTTCAAATTTTTGTAAATTTTTCAGATTCAAAGTTTTTTAGTTAAAATTTTTGAAAAGATTTTAAAATTTTAATACAAAATCTTTAAATTAGTCAAGTCTTAAAATTTTAATAAAAAATCTTTTCCAACATTTTTATAATTTTAAAAATTCAGATTCAGATTTTTTTACTTCCAAAATTTTTCATAACTTCCGGTTTCAGATGTTTCAGAATATTCAAATTTTAAAAAATCTTCTAATTTTAAAACAAAACCTTTAAATTATATTTCAGATTCAGATTTTTTTATCCAAAAATGTTCACAATTTGCGAAATTTTGATTCGATTCCAACCGCAGCTAAAAATCTAATTTTGCATCAGGATTTGTACTCACCATCCGACATTCTTAGCCCTGGAATTGCTCAAGTAAGTCCAGAAGGTGTAGACGTCCCTCTGGTCGGGGTACAAACTTCTGTGGACGTCCACGTAACCCCCGGCCAACAAGTCCGTCATCCCGTCTCGCTCCTCCTGCGTGAACCCCGCGTTCTTCTTGTTAGTCTTCGGATTAGCAAGGTCCACCTCCTGGTGCGCCACGTTCATGTCCCCGCACACGATAACCGGCTTCTTCTTGTTCAGCTCGAGGACTCGCGACTTGAACGCCTCGTTCCACTCGAGCCTTCGGGGCAGCGTCACCAGCTTGCGACCTGAGAATTTGTCACGAAAAAAGGTCTTCGTCTTCGGAGAAAAAGAAAACAAGGTATGCTCTTGCGGGTTGTTTCCACCACAGTCGCCGCCATTACGACTATTATTTACATTTTGATGCGAGTTTTTTAAGCTATTTTAAAGTTTTTTAAGTATAAAAAATGTCTACCTGCCAAGTGAAAATCTGTAAAAACAATGCCAAAAGAAAACAACCTGCAAATCCAATACATTTCCTTAGTATGGGCTTGAAAAAATTGATGTTAAGAATGGGTGACGTTCATAATATCGAAATTCACTTTATCGAATTCAAAATATCGAAAATCAAAATATCGAAAATACAAAATGTCGAAAATCAAAATATCGAAAATTAAAATGTCGAAAATGATAATATCGAAATTTTATTTAATCGAATTTTCAATTTATCGAAAATAAAATATCGACGTTCATAATATCGAAATTCACTTTATCGAATTCAAAATATCGAACACTTTTTATCGAAAATCAAAATATCGAAAATACAAAATGTCGAAAATTAAAATGTCGAAAATACAAAATTATACAAATATTATTTTAATCCGAAGTGTATATGTACAGAGGCGCCTCTGATATAGAAATGTACTCAAACTCAACAACACAACCCAACCGACCCCGCCCCATTGCCCCCCCCCCCGCCCCATTGAGCAAAAAACCCAACTAAAATGGGCTAATTTATGTAATTAAAAAGTGTTTTATTTTTATCGTAACATGAATTTGCCCATTTTAGTTGGGTTTTTTGCTCAATGGGGCGGGGGGGGCCAATGGGGCGGGGTCGGTTGGGTTGTGTTGTTGAGTTTGAGTACATTTCTATAAAACGCGCATCTCTAGGAGCCAGGGAGCCAAGATAATTCGGTGCATAACCGTAACTTTATCTACAGAGGCGCCTCTGTACATATACACTTCGATTTTAATCATACATTTTAATTTTCGATATTTTTAAATCGATATTTTAATTTTCGAAATTTTAATTATTCGACATTTTCAAATCGACATTTTAATTTTCGATATTATCATTTTCGACATTTTAATTTTCGAAATTTTAATTATTCGACATTTTCAAATCGACATTTTAATTTTCGATATTATCATTTTCGACATTTTAATTTTCGATATTTTGATTTTCGACATTTTGTATTTTCGATATTTTGATTTTCGATAAAAAGTGTTCCGATATTTTGAATTCGATATAATGAATTTCGATATTGTGAACGTCACCCGTTAAGAATAGTAAGTAGATTTATTTTAAAAACAATTAAATAGCAGTAGCTTTTTTAGAGGTACTTTCCTTTTGTATACAGATTATCTGTGACGGATATATAAATAAAAAAATAATTTAGGTTAATATTTTTGTTTGTTTTGTAGCCATTAACTTCAAAATCAAAAAAATATACCACTACATTACCATAAAAAAGTCTTTAAAAGTGGATACGGTTCCAACTGTACACTTAACAGCTGATCTATCAAAAGAGAAATAAAGTACTTTGTTGGAATCCAAAATAAAATCTGAAAAACAAAATTAAACCTTTATTTTTGAATTGTGCAGGAAATGTGCCAAGACAAGGAAGCTAATGATCTTCAAGGACAGTCCAGAACAGAAAATCAAACTGCAGCATGCTGCTAATAATGAAATGGCCCGGGATTGAAACATCCCAAAAGCATTGGAAAACCATACCATAATATTATATTTTTTACAGGTTTAGTTTGTTTTATTCAATGTTGGCTCCATGGTGTAATAAATAAATTTAGAAAAAATATGTTTACATTTTTGGTGCAATGTTAATGTTGTAACTTGACACTTTTCATTTAGTTCTTTATATTTGCTTTAAAACAGGATATTTTATTTTATTGAAATCATTTGACTTATAAATGGCTTTAAAACAAGATATTTTATTTGAAAACCCATTATCTAAAACATTAATCTAAAAACTAAAATTAATTTTTATATATTTTATTTGGTATTTAGTAAATATTATTTACTTTAAAACAATAGGTATATTTTACTTGATTGAAAAACCATATAAAATATTTTTTTTTTCATTAATAATATTTTATTGAAATGTTAATATTTAAATTATTAAAATCGAATAATTTGATAGGAATTTGGATGAATGATACTTAAATCAAAAATATCGTTTAAATTGATAGGCGGGAATGAACTAAGATGGCGGTAACTGGGTGATGCGCAAAGCGAACCAAAATTCGTCTTACCGAACATACCTTGTTTTCTTGTGCCATGGAAGCAGGGTTGCCAACTCTACCAACTTTTCGGTATATCTACCTACTTTTAGTGTCTTGCTCAAATCTACTACTTTGCAAGAAAAATCTACCAACTTTTTAAGTTTTTAAATTTAATTTCCGTGAAAATGGTAATAATTCGTTGATTTTTATACTTTTCATATTCGAACATTTACTGAATTTCATAGAGTATACTATAGTATAGTAGCGCGTTACTGTAACGCCCTCTATTATCTACAGTGTGACCCATTTGTTTATTTATTGTGCGATTGTAACCAGATTTGTTTTTAAGTGTAGATCTTGATAAACTGTATTTTTGAAGCAAAAAACGCCATATTTTTACAAAATAAAAGGCCTACTATGTCAGTTCTTAAGAGTAAATTTTTAAGAATTCATATTAGCGATTTTTTTAAACAAATTCTAAGCACGGCACTAGATTCACCACCCCTCAAAACTACCTTTTACTAAATTTTATTGAAAAATGCACAATAATAACTACAAAAATTTATTCTGTCAAGTTATTAATGAAAAAAACATTGAAATAAAATTAAACTATTAGTACTTAACATGGTACTATTACTATAAGTTAATTTATTTCAATATTTTTTTCATGGATTACAGGGGTGAGTCGCAAACAAATGGGTCACACTGTATTACATTTATCAATAAAAGTGCTAAGCAACCTACACCTACTGAAGAACATAATAAATTATTCAATCAAAATATGTATTTTTTTAAAGAATAAAAAAATGCATTTGTACCCTTTTGCTTCTAATCCCTTTAATTATAAATAGGCACTTGGGTTGTTTACTATTAAATTACGATATGGTCTACCATATCGTAATTTAATAATTCCAGATTATAAATATTTGCTCCCGTGTACGAGTTTTGGTTCGTCCCGCGCATGACGTCACTTGATGAGTAGTTGCCGTGAGAATACACGAATAATAGTAATATTATCAAAGAAAATAGAGAAATATCTGGACATAGTGCGTTTTTATTAAACCTAATATTGAAGAAAGTGTTATAATATGGATAATAGATGCTTTCAGTCCTTGATAACATTTAGGGCTATAGTTTAAGCGTTGGTGTTTTAAATTAAACTTATAGTCACTTATAGGAAACAGAAGCAGTCTTAACGTTAATATTGTCTATTATTTTTGTGGCATTTGAACACTGTTTCCACAAATCAAAGTTTTTCGGTAATCGATTAAATTTAATGTTTTTATTTAAAGGGTTTTTCTTGGACTGGTTGTCCGAATTGCATCCAAATATGCCAGACCGCATTTTAGTAAATGCAAATGGCACTACACAATCTAAAACACAAACAAAACAAGTTAACGCAACACAAAAACAATAATTAACAAACAGAACAGTAATTTGAACACTGAAAAGTAATTTGAACCTTACCGAACACAAAAACAACAAGTTAAACAAAAAATAGATCAAGTTAACATCCAAAAGCATCGCAAAAACAAAAATTTTATCAGCAGATAATTAAAAAGCACGTTCAAGATTTAAAAACACTCATCAAGTGACGTATTTAAGCCCCGCCCAACATGCGCACCATCCTATCTTAAGGTGTATGTATCTTGACAACCCAAGTGCAAATTTATAATTTGAAAATTATCGTAATTCGTTCTTTAATTTTTGACTTTTTTCTATTCTTATTTTGAATATTGGCAATCTGTAATTTTGCTTCATTATTGTTTTTTATATGAAAATACGTGAAATATTTTTTATCCATCAAAAATTAAATTCAGAGTGCCAGATTTCTTACTTTAGAGTCTCTAGAATACTTGTTGGAAACTACCAACTTTAAAAATCATATACAGACTGTATAGAATCAAGTAAGTAAGGCTGGAGACAAGGATGACAAATTATATTCTGATCAGAGAAAAAGAAACAAACTTTAATTGAGCGTGGTTTAAACCAAGCCATTCGTAACTACGAACCATAGTTGCCAGGTTGTTTTAAATCAGAAGAGAACGATTATAATTATTTAATAGTTCAATTTTAATTGTTTGAAACTTTAAAAATAACAAAAAAATTTATAATATGTCAAAAATAATTTGATTTAGTTAATTTTAATATTAAAAAATGAGAAAAACAACCCTTTTAGGAAACAATAATAGCATATGGCAACAGCGCGGCATGCAGTTTGATCTACTGTGTTTGTTCAGTAGTTCCGACGCTGTCGTAGGGAAATGTGTATAGTTTTTAAGAAATACATTTTCACCATTAACTGGAATTTAATGGATTTTAAACAATACTTAGTTTTTATTTGCAGAAATGCATTAAAACAAAACAAACGAATTCGATAAAAATAAAACCTATAAATTCTCAATCCCTACCACAGTGGGCGGGGTTTGGCACTTGTTTTATTTAAGTGTATCTATTCGTTTTAATACACACTGTATACCTCCTGGACGGATTTTGGGTTGGCAACACTGCATGTAAGTACGAAACAAAAAAACTCACCGGCATTGGGGACGTAGACGGCGACGACGTAGAACCCCTCGAACTCGGCGATGATGCAGCGGCCGTCCTCGTCCTGCTCCTCGTCTCCGATGCCGTAGCAGCAGGAGATCGGCTTTTCGCGCGTGAGCAGCCCCACGCCCGCGTAGCCGGTCTTCTGGCTCGCGCACCAGTGCGTATGGTAGCCGGCCACGTTTTTCACCTCTTCCGGAAGCTTGTCGTCGCCGACCTTCGTCTCCTGCAGGCACAGGATGTCCGGCTTGCAGGCGTCCAGGATCGACAGCCCGCCCTTTTTCAGCCACGCCCTTAAACCGTCCACGTTCCACGTGGTTATGGTCAAGTTGGCGCTTTCACCTGCGCACACAGAACGATCCGTTTTTGTTTTTTTACACATTAAATTAATTCAGGTTGTAAATGTCGCGTCTGCGAAACTTTGAATACGTTTTTGGCGCCTTGGTGTATTCACGTTCCAATAAAAATATTACTTTTTTCATCTATTTTACGTAAAAAAACTAAAATCAAATTTTGTGCAGAAACGTTTTTTTTCAGTTATTTAATAAAATCGAAAAAGAAATTCCAACTTTGTATCTTGTTTCTTATTATTTTTAAAGACTTAATAAATAACACCTATGTCATTATAATACATATTAATTTCAGAGACGACATTTTATTTAACTTTAACTAAATAGTTAAAAAAGTAAAACAAACCAGGAAGTTTAATTTACCACACTTATTACAAAATAACGTTCATTAAACGAGTTGTACTAACATATTGCGAATATTTTGGTCAAAAAATTGACCAAATATTTTTTCACGAAAATTTATTAAAAATAAATACAAGTAAAGAATTTAAAAATTATTATGTTAACTATTACAAAAAAATGGCAATGTTGGTGGTATGAAAAGAAATTAAAATTTCGATATTTCACGTAATTATAAATTTTTTTTAGATTTTTGTAAAAATGTTTAAACCGTTTTAGAAGAAAAACGATTTAAATTTATAAGGGTCCTAAGAACAAATTTTTGAAAACTTTAAAAGTAACAGATTTTAATAATCTTCGGTTTTTAAATTCTTTAAATTTTCAGAATTTTCGAATTTTTCCAAATTTACCCAATAATTTTCGATTTTTTAAAAATTCTTTATTTTGAACATTTTGAAAATTAACGAATCCTTATTTTTCCGAAATTTACAATATTTCCAGATTTTTCAAAATGTTTAAAGTTTTTCAAAAATTTTGTTTGATTTTTCAAATTTTCCAAGATTACCAAAATATTGGAAATCTCCAAAATTTTCAGATTATGAATTTTTTTTAATCTATCGTCACCTGAGAATTATAGTGTTCTATCTGCATTTTCTTTTTTTTATTTAGGTTAGTCTTGTTTTAAGTCTTAAAGATGATATTGATCTATCTATATATAATTGGGGTAGAAATTGTAAAGTTTAAGGCTTAAACTGTACAATTTCTACCCCAATTATATATAGATAGAACAAAATGCATCTTTAATACTTAAAACAAGACTAACCTGAATAAAAAAAAGAAAATGCAGATAGAACACTATAATTCTCAGGTGACACTATGTTAATTTTTTTCAAAATTTCAGAAAATTCTCCTTAATTTTTAAATTTCACAATATTTTTTATTTTTACATTTTGACTAATTTTGGAAATCTTCCAGATTTCAGATTTTTCAATTTATTTAATATCCATAAAATTTTAGAAATCTTTCTAAAGATTTCTAAAATTTTAAAGGTAGGTACTCTTAGATTTTGAAAATTCAGAATTTTTTTGAAAATTTTCCCATATTTCCAAAATCTTTTTAAAAATTCCAAATTTAAAAAACTTGAAAATTTTCAAATTTTTTAGTATTTTGAACATTTTCAAAAAATACGAAATATTTGTTTTCCAATATTTACATACATTTTCCAATTTTTTTTAATTCTTCAAAATTTACAGAAATTTGTGAACTCTTTTAGGTTTGATTTTTCAAATTTCCCAAAATTATCAAAATATTGGAAATCTCCAAATGCATCAAATTTTCCAACATTCTTACAAATTTTAAAAATCTTCAGTTTTCAGATTCAAAATTTCCAAAAAATAAATCTTCAAAATTTAGTTTTCTGAAATTTCCAATATTTACATTTTTCAAAAATTGCGAAACTTTCCAAAATTATAATTTTTGTTAATATTTCCAACATTTTATACCTACATTGTTCATAAACTTCAAAAATATTTTACATAATTATGCAAATTTCTTGTATTTCCGTAGAAATTTCCAAAAGGTTTTAGAAGAAAAAAGGCCCTATAAGAACAAATATTTACCTACCTTTATTATTTTTTTTATTAGTTGTAAATTTGACTTCATCCCAGTGAGTTTCAGTTTTATTTTTTAACTCATCACTTGCTTCTTTCGGTTCGGCAGCATTTTTAATTTTTTTGTCTACCTTAGCCACCTTTTCCTTTACAACCTTTTTTGGCTTTTCCTCTGCCTCATTATAGCTAACAGGTTTTTTGGTGGCCCTTGATGAAGTTTTAACTGGTTCTGCAATGATGAACAAAATGTATCAATGTTACCAACAATAAGAACAAAATATTCACCTTTTTTTTCTTTTGGTTCAGCAGCCTTTTTGTTTTTTTTTGTGTCTTTGGCATTAGTTTTATTTGTTGCCTCTTCACTTGCTTCCTCTGGTTCTGCAGCCTTTTTGGTTTTTTTTATATCTTTATCATCAGTTTTACTCGTTTCATCAGTTGTTTCTTTTGGTTTGTCAGCCTTTTTAGTTTTTTTTGTGTCCTTAGCCACCTTTTCTTTTACATCCTTTATTGGCATTTCCTCTGGCTCATCATGGCTAACAGTTTTTTTGGTTGCTCTTGATGTTTTAGCCGGTTCTGCAACTAAGGGGTGATATTTATATTACAATAAAAAGTATATTAATCCAACCAAAATTGCTTTTTATTCAGCTGAAATTTGCGACTTCACTCTATAGAAAGTGGTATATGTATCAGATCACAGCATTCTTCATCTCATCTAGTGACACTAGATGAGACTAGTGTGCTGAGGAGAATGCCATGCTCTGATTTGTTTACTGCTTTCTCTAGAGAATTTTCTATAGAAAATATTGTTTTGTGTTTTACCTGCGCCCCGTTTAGTTGTTTTTGTTTTTTTGGCATCGCCACTGCCATCAATTTCCTCAACTTTTTCCACCTAACAAAAAAACTACAATTACCCCAAAAACAAGTTAAAAATTAAAACTTACTGTTACTACTGCTGCTTTTCGTTTTGGGGGCATTTTTGCTACACAACCGCGACTAATAACACTATTTAAAAGCTTTAAATTAAAACGCAGCCTTTTACCGGTAAAATGCACGATGCAAAGATAAAATGAAGGTTGATATGGCGGGAAACTGACATAACCTGACAACAGTGTTGCCAATGTCAAATGTTCTGTGGTCAAATTGTAATAATAATAATAATAATAATAATAATCAAGTATTTGGCAGAACAAGTTCAAACTTTGAACTTCAAAGCTAAAAAGAATTTATAACATTGGTATAATCTGCTTAAATATGGCCCTAAAATTAACGTTTTAATTAACAATAATACCACTTCGACATTAAAACGCAAAGGTTGCTATTGATATGATTCTTGGTTTAGTAAACCTCTGACCAAGATATGATTAGTGTACCAATTTAATGTCAACTAGTGATGTCGTATTTCGAATTAAAATATTCGTTTAATCCGAGTTTTGAGATATTCGGATGCATCCGAATAATGAAATATTTTATGGAATAGGAATCGGATTCGGAATAATTTTGTATCCTCCTATGAAAAATCCGGTTTCGGAATCCGAAATTCGGATGAATTGCATTCGGTATCAAAATTTATTGTTTATACCGTAGCCCTCTAGTTTTTACCAACCGAACTCGATGACGACTCATACGTAAAAAAATGAAAACTAAATAGTTTAATGTCAATTACCAATACGGAACACCATTTAAAATTATATTAGATATTATTTATTGCCTAATATTATTTACTTAATTTTTGATATATTTATAATAAAATGACAGTTTTAATTTAAAATTAGTTAATTAAATCAAATCGGTTTCGAGTTTAAAGGTATTAGCGCCCTCTTTGTTGAAATGCCGCGAGTGTCACTGCTACTGTCTTACTCGGAATTAAAAAATGTGAATTCGGAATAGGATGATTAATCCGAATATTGAAATATTCCGATTCCGGATAATCCGAATATCTAAATCATCCGAATATCTGCATCACTAATGTCAACTAATAAATCCGAAATTTTACCATCAGCTGTTATGGAAACACGCATGCGCACAGACTTTTAATGCCCGTACTCCCGGTGTACTTCTAGTCACGGCGTTATTTTAAACAAAAAAATTAAATAACTTATTGTTGATATTTCAATAATACATTTAAAGATCGTAAGATATCAATGGACCCTAATTGTGCGATGCTTCTTAAGGGCCATCACTATGTTTTTTATAGCAAAATCAGGCAGTGCATGTTTTTAAAATGCAGTGCTAGATTTTAAGTGGCAATATCAAATTTTAAGTAGCATTGCCAGATTTTAAGTGCCAGTGTCAGATTTTATGTCACACTGCCAGATTTTAAGTCGCACTGCCAGATTTTAAGTCGCACTGTCAGATTTTAAGTTGCACTGCCAGATTTTAAGTCGCATTGCCAGATTTAAGTCGCACTGCCACATTTTAAGTTGCACTGCCAGATGAATTTTCCGGCTGTTGCTTTCGGTTTTTCCTAATGTATTTTTTATTCAAATCAAACCTGTATTGAGGCGAAAAAACAAAAAAAAATATTTAAATCGGTTGAGCCATTTCCGACTTTAATAGCAATTTAATTTGAAGCGCAGCTACTAACGCCATCTATTCAAATTAATTCAAATTTGTACAAATTTCGATTTTCCGGCTGTTCCTTTCGGTTTTTCCTAATTTATTTTTATTTAAATCACCCCTGTATTGAGGCGAACAAAAAAAAATATTTATCGATTGAGCCATTTCCGAGTTTTTGCAGGACTAACACAAGGCGATTCATATATTTAGAGTGACTTAAAATCTGGCTGTGCTACTTAAAATCTGGCTGTGCTACTTAAAATCTGGCAGTGCGACTTAAAATCTGGCAGTGCGACTAAAAATCTGGCAGTGCGACTTAAAATCTGGCAGTGCATTTTAAAAAACATGCACTGCCTGATTTTGCTAAAAAAAACATAGTGATGGCCCTTAAAGCCTAAATTATAGATTGCCTTCCTTCCTTCCTCCCGTAGTCGTGCCCGTATGATTTGTGCGTCTTGTAAAAAGTCAATTTATAGATTTCCGTGTAAAATTCCGTAACCATGCGCGATGACATCTAAAATTGTTGACATTTGTTTTTGTTTATATTCTGCGTTTTACCCATTGTGTGTAAATATGAAAGATAATCATTTATATATTAGTGCAGTGATCACAATTTTAATTGCCCAGGCAGCTTGTTGTATACTGCCCAACTATGGAGAAAGGCAGTAACTGCTAAACAAGAAATTTGTGGGAAATTAGTATAAACTACATTTTTATAAAAAGCAGTAGGTATTTAACTGATTTATTTAACTTAAAAGATAGTTTAGGTACTGCATTTCTTTGTTGAATTACGATACAAAATGTCCATAGCTTTATCATAGCACAAGAAAACGCATTTGTAGTTACTGCCTTTTTCCATAGTAGGGCAGTACCTATAATGAAAAAAAAAACATCAAACAAGACGTTGGAAGATTCGCCCACTTTACCAAGACCGGGAAACTAGGGGGTTTTACAAAGCAACGTTTCTAAAAATGAAAGACATTGATCATAAACAATATCTAAATATCCTATTTAGAGACACAAATTATTTAATAAACTAAAGAATCATGTATTTTAAATAATGTAATTACGCCTGTCACCCTACAGCGCATGTCAATAACAAGCACTGTGATTGGTCATGTCAAAGACCTTTACGGTGAAAGATAAAACTTAAAAATTTCGACGGGAGGAAGGAATGCCGTCCTCACGGTACGGGAATCTATAACTGGCACTACGATTTAAATAAACATTTTTGACGTAATTGTCACCATTAACATTGCCCGTTATTAATTTTAATTAAACTTAACAATTATTGATACTTTAAAATATTAAAGTAACTTCAAAATATGATTTTGTTAAGAAAATATTTTATTCTTTGATTTTTTTTATTACTATAATTGCAAAATATTATCACAAAGTATTAAAAATTCCTACACGGGAAATGTTAATGGTGACAATTACGTTATGTTCATCTTCTACGGGAGGAAGGAAGGAAGGAAGGAAGGCAATCTATAACTCAGGCTTAAGAACCATCGTATAATTGCAAGTTGCCAACCAAAAAAATAATTTTCGTTTTGTGGTGTTGGCAGCTCGTTCATTTCAACTACAGCGTTGTTCGTGCATGTGTCTACCTTTATAATCTGTGTGGCTTATTTAACAAATATTTACAAAAATGGGTTCAGAAAGTGACGAAAACGACCGCACAGACAACGAAAACGAAGAGGAACCCCTTAAAGAAGAAACCCCAGCAGAATCGGAAAAACCTGTAACTTGGCAAGACTTGGTAACGTAAACACGTGTTCGTCATAACCTCAAAAATTATTAATTTAATTTAGGGCCTTGTAGATGCGTTGTGCAAGGCGTGCGAGCAATTAAAATGGAAGGAACCATCGAAAATACAAAAGGAAGCTATTCCCGTAGCTATACAGGGGAAAGATATCATAGGTTTGGCAGAAACTGGTTCGGGAAAAACTGCTGCATTTGCCTTGCCTATTTTGCAGGCTTTACTTGAAAATCCACAGAGATATTTCGCTTTAATATTGACCCCTACCAGAGAGTTGGCTTTTCAGATATCAGAACAGTTTGAAGCATTGGGTTAGTGTTTTTTTTTTAAGTTTATGTTCCATATTACCACCTTCATTTCTTTTCTTATGATGCATACCTTGTGGTTGATTATATAATGAAAATACACTATTTTTATCGTCACTACCTCTGAAGTAATTAAAATATCAAATAACTCATTGAAAATTATGTTTTGGTGGTTTTTGGCATTGTTTTATTTTTTAGGTTCAAGTATTGGTGTTAAATGTGCAGTAATTGTGGGTGGAATGGACATGATGTCGCAAGCTTTAATTTTGGCCAAAAAACCACACATTTTAATTGCAACACCCGGTAGATTAATAGATCACCTGGAAAATACCAAGGGATTCAGTTTAAGGTATGAACATTATTATTAAAATGAAATAGCTATAAAAAATAAAATTAAACTCTTATGATGCATATCTTGTGGTTGATACATAATGAAAATACTATATTTTTATCGTCACTACCTCTGAAGAAAAATTTCTATGAAACAAACAATTTTTTAACAATTCCCACTTCATTAAGCCAACATCTTTGGAACTTGCAGGGCTCTAAAATTTTTGGTGATGGATGAAGCCGACAGAATTCTGAACATGGATTTCGAAGTGGAAGTGGACAAAATTTTAAAAGTGATACCCAGAGAACGGAGAACGTATTTGTTTTCTGCTACGATGACCAAAAAGGTTAACAAATTACAAAGGGCATGTCTTAAAAATCCTGTCAAAGTTGAGGTGTCCACAAAGTATCAGACAGTCGAAAAGTTGCAGCAGTATTACATTTTTATTCCAGTCAAGTTTAAGGTTAGTGTTAATTTTATGTTAATTAGGTTTTCAGATTTTGGTAAATAGAAAGAGTTTTATGGTATTTTAGACAATGTTTTTTCAAATGTATAGTTTTATAATGGTTTTTACATTGTTAAGCACATTTAAAAGTTTTGATATTTTGGGACATTTTTAAATAGTTCTATGATATTTTTAGACAATAACTAATAGAAAATAATAAGACAAATAATAATAATAAAATAACAATTTTTAATGGTTAGAACATTTTTTGAGAATATTTAAGTAATTGTAGGAAACTTTAAGCGGGCTTACCGGTTTTAGAACAATTTTAAGACTGTTTTAAAACTAATCTGATATTTTTACAGTAATAAAGTAATAAGAAGTAATTTTTTGGACAGTTCCACAATCCACACAAGGTCTGTTCAATCTTGTACTAAAAATCACTGCACATCACATAATGGCGGCCATTTTTGTGGTTAACAATTCTTGTGCTTTGGGTTTGTACAGATTAATAATCGTTTTAAACGTTGAGTGTCTTACAGAGAGACTTGCAAGCCTTAAAAGAGACCTCAAAGTGCTAAGAACAATCATTTCACTCCTCTTTTGTAAAAAATAAACCTTATTCTATCAGGCATGTCAAATGTAAATTTTAAGGTTATTTTATAACCCACAAATTAACCTTTTAATTGACATTTGACAGCCCTGATAGAAAAAGGTTTATTTTTTACAAAAGAGGAGTAAAATGATTGTTCTTACCGCTTTGAGGTCTCTTTTAAGACTTGCAAGTCTCTCTGTAAGAAACACAATGTTTAAAACGATTATTAATCTGTACAAACCCAAACCACAAGAATTGTAAACAACAAAAATGGCCGCCATTAAATGATGTGCAGTGTTGCAGTGATTTTTAGTATGAGATTGAACAGGCCTTGTTGTGTGGATTGTGGACAGTTCTAAGACATTTGTACACACTACATTTTAGACAATATTAACGGTTTTAGAACATTTTAGACAGTATTAAAGTAATTGTTTTATAACATTTTTAAGACAGTTTTAAAAACAAATCTGACAGTTTTAACGAGATTTTTATTTAGACAATTCTGGGAATATTTCGTTTAAACATTTTTAGACAATATTAAAGCAGTTAATAGAAAAAATTAAAGCAGTTATAAGATTTATAGAACAATTTTAACAGTGCTAGAACATTCTAGACAGTTTTAAAATAGTTCTGATAGTTGTAAGATATTCATTTTTAAATATAGAAACCGTTTTAACAATTTACAAACAGGTCTAGCAATTTTAGAACGGTTTGAACATTTTTAGACAGTTTTAAAGTAATTGTAGGAAACAGTATTTAAGCAGTTCTGGCAGTTCTAAGATGTTCTACAGACATTTTTTATATTTTAAAACATTTTTACAGTATTCAAACAATTCTGGCAGTTCTAAGATGTTATGGACATTATTTTTGAAATTTTAGAACAATTTTAGACCTTAAGAAAACAATTTGAACAGTTCTAGGACATTCCCGACAGTCTTAAAATAGTTCTCACAGTGTTAAGATAATTTTAGACCATATTAATAAAGTAGTTTATGGGCATCTTTAGACAGTTTTATAACACTTTTAACAGTTTTAAGATATTATAGTACAATAGTCAATCTGTATTTTGGCGTCGAAAAAATTGTTTCCTATTGGTTAGACAAAAAATGTAAAGCCGGTTTTCCACCAAACGGACAAAACAAAAACAAAACACAAACTCGTGTCGAATAAAACAAAACTGCAACTTTTTGCAAACTTTTTGAAGACTGGCGTGTTTTGCGACAGTTTGAGTTTTGTTTTTCGAAAATTGACTATTTTTTTTTTTGAAAAATATATCGAGAATGTCATTCAGAATGACAAAAAAAAATTTGGTGAAAATTTGACCCCTTAATATTAATTTTAAGAGGTCTATCATCGCTATTTTTGATTTTTAGTCATAATTTGATGTTTTACGATAGAACTGTGAAAAAAATTTCTTTTCACTTATTTTTATATAAAATTAAATTCTCTACAAAAAAGGTCTGATTGAACATTTTCGTCAGACGAGCCGTTTCCGAGTAATTGAGCTTAATAAATCGATGTGTTTTTTCGATTTGCCCTTTTTACTTTGAAATTTTGTAACTAATGAATCAATGAATATTTAAAAAAGCTCACGTCGGATTCTTAAAGGAAATTTAATGTTCTACAAAAAAGGTCTCTTAACATTTTTGCCTAAATTTAATTCTTCAAAAGTTATTCACGAAGAAGTATAAACCAGCCACAACTAAGAATAAGAAAATCTTTTTCTCCAAACATGTTGGTTGATACTGAAAAAGTGTGTTCTGACATAATCACGACAACTAGTGGAAAAGGACCGAAAACAAAAACAAAACTCGAACAAAACTTAGTTTGCTTGATGGAAACAAGAGTTTCGGGTTTGTTTCAGTTTTGTTTTTGATTTGCAAGTTTTTAAAAGCACAAACAAAACCCAAACTCAACTGTTCGTTTAGTGGAAAACCGGCATAAAGCTTGAAAGTTTGAAAGATAGAGGGTGTCAAAATAAAATTATTTTTTTACATTTACCAATATAAAAATAAAAAAGTAACCATGATGCCAAAACCACTGGTTGATTCACAATGATTTATCACCAAATTATTCTATCTCTGACGAAAAACGCACATCAAATTTATATTTTCGCGCGCCCAAAAACACGTTTTCACGCGTTCCGCGTTCGATTTTCCAGGACGTGTACCTGGTGCACATCCTGAACGAGATGGCCGGCAACAGCTTCATGATCTTCTGCTCGACGTGCAACAACACGATGCGCACCGCGCTGATGATGAGGAACTTGGGGCTGACCGCGGTGCCCTTGCACGGCCAGATGTCGCAGAACAAGCGCCTGGCGGCCCTCACCAAATTCAAGGCCAAAAACCGGTCCATACTCATATCCACCGACGTCGCCAGCAGGTTTTTGTCCACCTCGGGCAAAAAAGTCCTCCGCTTCTACTTTTTCAATTTTTTTCAGAGGTCTGGACATACCGCACGTCGACGTGGTGATAAACTTCGACATTCCCACGCACAGCAAAGACTACATACACAGGGTGGGCAGGACGGCCAGGGCCGGCCGTTCCGGCAAATCCATCACATTTGTCACACAGGTGATTTTTTTGTCACTGCATAAATTTATGTAAATATAAAAGAAATGGTTTTAATTTCAGTACGACGTCGAGTTGTATCAGAGGATTGAACAGTTGATAGGTAAAAAATTACCCTTGTACAAAACAGAAGAGGAAGAGGTTATGGTGCTGCAGGAAAGGGTAGCAGAATCCCAAAGGATGGCAAAAATGGTGTTATTTTTTTTTACAAAATACATATTTGTTGTACTTATAGGGGAACTTTTCAGGAAATGAAGGATTTGTCGGACAAAAAGGGCGGGAAACGGAAGAAGGGGGGAGGTGACGACGAAGACGACACAGAGGGCGCTACAGGCGTGAGAAAGAGAATTAAAAACGGCGGCGGACAGAAAAACAGCAGAAGAAAAAAATAAATGTTAATAAAAAAAATTATAAAAAAGAAAAAACGAGATTTTTAATTTCCTTGCTGCTGAATTTTGAATGTAAAACAAAAAGGTAAGTTTTATTTATAAATTTTAGATTTTATGGCATATTTTCCGGTATGAATTGCGGTAAGAGAAATATTTTTTTAACATTTTTAGACAATATTGAAGCAGTTCCTGGACAACAATCGGGATTTCCTGGTGAAGTCATGATGGTATCACAACGTGATTTTTTTTTATTACGCTGTGATATCCTGAGTGCATACACATGCTTCATCACAGTGATATCATGTAGAACTCACGGTGTGTTATTTGCAAAATTTGAACATGCGTATGAGCCCTGCGAACTGCGAATTTAAAACCTAGTTTGTTATTCACATTACACCGTTATAATTTATAAAACGTTGTTTGAATATCACGAATGTTGTCCGGGTTCAATTAAAAAAGATATTCATCTATTCATACGAACATCATGTGATTTTCACTAATTTTATTTATACTGATATCATACGGAAGAAACCGCGTGATAAATGAAAATCATACGAACGTCACGTCGTGATTTTCACAAATTTTATTCATACGGACATCATCAGGTTGTCACTGCGTGAGAAATGAAAATCATGTCGTGATTTTTATGCCATCGCTGTTTGCGATTGACCGATGCATCGGTCATGGCCTAAAAAATCATTTCGTGATTTTTTATTCCAACGGTGTTTGGATAATCATTTTTGCGCCACGTTCGTACATTGTGAGAAAATGTATGTTAACAATTGAATTAACAGTTTTTGCGGTTAAATACATTTAATATTTTCTTGGATGTAAATTAGCTATTAATTTAAATCCAAAAAAATATTGAATGTGTTTAACCACAAAAACTGTTGATTCAATATAATATATTATATGTAAGTTTACTTTTTCTCTCAATGTACGTACGAATGTGGCGCAAAAATAAATATCCAAACACCGATGGATGATTTTTTATGCTATCGGTGCACCGACAAGTTTGGATATTTATTTTTGCGCCACATTCGTACATTGAAAGAAAAAGTATGTTAACAATTGAATTAACAGTTTTTTGCGGTTAAATACATTTAATATTTTTTTGGATGTAAATTAACTATTAATTTAAATCCAAAAAAAATATTGTATGCATTTAACTATAAAAACTGTTCATTCAATATACCTATGTAGTATATGTAGGTATACTTTTTCTCTCAATGTACAAATGTGGCGCAAAAATAAATATCCAAACACCAATGGCATAAATAATCACGACATGATTTTTTATGCCATTGGTGTTTGGTCATAAAAAATCACGACATGATTTTTTATGCTATCGGTGTATGGATATTCATTTTTGCGACACATTCGTACATTGAAAGAAAAAGTATGTTAACAATTGAATCAACAGTTTGACATTCAATATTTTCTTGGATTTAAATTAACTATATATAGTTAATTTAAATCCAAGAAAATATGAAATGTTGATTCAACATAACTTTTCTCTTAGTAGACCAGGGTCGATAATTTTTGAAACAAAATAAAATTACAGTAGAATGAAACCCATTGGAAAAGGAGGAGAATATAATAAAAAAGAAAGAAAAAATAAATTACGGGCGATCTGACTTCGGGAAGTGGGAGGGGGGGGGCTTTAAGGGTAAAAAATGGTTTATCTCGATTTCCGGCAAAAATACAAGTCCTATGGAAAAAAGTTAAATAGCAAAGTTGTAGGTAATAAAAAGATCTACAACTTTAGTATTTACAATTTTTTCACATAACCTCAAAATTTATGTGAAAAATTCAAATAACCAAGTTTTTGGTTTTTTATTTTTATCTTTTTCAAAAAAAAAAATTTTTCCACGAAATTTGGTGAAAACTTACCTTTTTATGTCCCAAATACACTGTAATTTATTTGATTTGAAATATTTATTATTTCGCCTTATTTTGACTTAATATCAAAAAAGCACCCTAATTTTCAATCGAAAATTCTCGCGTCAAAATATCAGCTTTTTTCAAAAAGTCGGTGTGCTTTTTGTTCGATGAACTCTCTACTTTCTGATGGTGTAAAAAAAATATACATTACTATGGTAAATGTTCTCAGAAAATACAAAAAATATTATAATGAATAACGTAATCAGAATGAAGTATCTAAATTCAATAGTATGATTTACATGTATTTTTATATTTTATGAGATTTTCTGACATAAATGCTATTAGAATTTAATAAATAAACTTTTTAACTAAAAAAAATTGCAACAATCACATTTTTTTGATGAAATTGTACATAATGATTAAAATAAATTTTCGAATTCGAGTTTTTTTTCGTTTTTCATTATAATATTTTTTGCATTTTCTGAGAACATTTACCATAGTAATGTATATTTTTTTTACACCATCAGAAAGTAGAGATTTCAACGAACAAAAAGCACACCGACTTTTTGAAAAAACCTGATATTTTGACGCGAAAATTTTCGATTGAAAATAAGGGTGTTTTTTTGATATTAAGTCAAAATAAGGTGAAATAATAAATATTTCAAATCAAATAAATTACAGTGTATTTGGGACATAAAAAGGCAAGTTTTCACCAAATTTCGTGGAAAAATTTTTTTTTTTGAAAAAGATAAAAATAAAAAACCAAAAACTTGGTTATTTGAATTTTTCACATAAATTTTGAGGTTATGTGAAAAAATTGTAAATACAAAAGTTGTAGATCTTTTTATTACCTACAACTTTGCCATTTAACTTTTTTCCATAGGACTTGTATTTTTGCCGAAAATCGAGATAAACCATTTTTTACCCTTAAACCCCCCCCCTCCCACTTCCCGAAGTCAGATCGCCCGTAATTTATTTTTTCTTTCTTTTTTATTATATTCTCCTCCTTTTTCAATGGGTTTCATCCTACTGTAATTTTTTTTCACTTTTTACCATTTTTAAAGGCTTCGGCACTGGTCTATAGTGTACGAACGTGGCGCAAAAATAATTATCCAAACACCGTTGGCATAAAAAATCACGACATGATTTTTTAGGCCATCGGTCAATCGCAAACAGCGATGGCATAAAAAATCACGACATGATTTTCATTTCTCACGCAGTGACATCCGGATGATGTCCGTATGAATAAAATTTGTGAAAATCACGACGTGACGTTCTTATGATTTTCATTTATCACGCGGTGACTTCCGTATGATATCAGTATGAATAAAATTTGTGAAAATCACGACATGATGTTCGTATGAATATCACGAATGTTGTCCGGGTTATATCATTTTTAGAACAATTTGGACATTCTAGACAGTTTTAAAATAGCTGTGACAGTTGTAAGATAATTTTGTACAATATGAAAACAGGTCTAACAATTTCAGAACGTTTTGAACAGTTTTATAACAAATCTGACGTTTTAATGACATTTTAACTGTCAAACTGTTCTGGCAGTTCTAAGAATTTTTTAACATTTTTTATATTTTAGGACATTTTTAGACAATTTAAGCAGTTATGTCGGTTTTTCTAGACAGTTTAATAGCTCTGACAGTTGTAAGATAATTTTGTACAATATAAAATCAGTTCTAACAATTTAAGGGTTCTAGAACAATTTTTTCTTTCTAACAGTTTCAGAACGTTTAGAACAGTTTTAAAACAAATCTGACGTTTTAAGGACATTTTTACTGTCAAACAGTTCTGGCAGTTTTAAGATGTTCTAGAAAGAATTGTTTAACATGTTTTATATTTTAAGACATGTTTAAACAATATTAAAGCAGTTATGTAATTTTTAGAACAATTTGGACAGTTTTAGGACGTTCTAAACAGTTTCAAAATAGCTTTTATAGATAATGTACAATATAAAATAAATTTAAGGGTTCTAGAACCGGGTCTAACAATTTCAGAACGTTTTGAACAGTTTTAGAACATTTTTAAGATAGTTTTAAAATTAATCTGACGTTTTAAGGACATTTTTACTGTCAAACAGTTCTGGAAGTTATAATATGTTCTAGAATGTTTTATATTTTAGGACATTTTTAGACAATATTGAAGCAGAATTTTAGAACAATTCGGACGGTTTTAGGACATTCTAGACAGATTTAAAATAATTATTACAGTTTTTAAGATACTTTTTAGACAATACTAAAGCAGTTCTAACAATTTTTAGACAGTTCTAAAACAATTTATAACCAGGTCTAACAATTTCAGGACGTTTTGAACAGTTTAATGACATTTCTATACAATTTTAACGGTTTTAGAATTTGAAATTTTAAACAGTTTTTTTTCAATTTTATTATGTTTTATAATGGTTTTTACAGTTTTAAGAACATTTTTACTGTATTTACAGTTCTATTACATTTTTTAACAATATTAAAGCAATTATGACGTTTTTAGAACAATTTGGACTGTCCTATAGGACATTCTAGACAGTTTTAAAATAGCTCTGACAATTTTAGGATTATTTTAGACAATATTAATGTGGTTCTAACAATTTAGGGGCATTTTAAGACAGTTCTAGAACAATTTATAAACAGGTCTAAATATTTAAGAACGTTTTGAACAACTTTAAACAAATCTGACAGTTTTAGGGACATTTTTACAATTCTGGCCGTTATAGAAGTTCTAGAAAAGCGTGAAAAAGAACAACAGAAGAAAAAACAATTGTATAAAAAGAATTCACGATTTTTTTTATTTTCTGTCTGCGGAATTTTAAAACAAGAAGGTAAGTTTGGTAAGTTTTATTTATAAATTTTAAATTTTTATGGCGTAAATATTTTCCGGTACGAATTGCAGGAATCAAGTTTTCTCTGTCACTACTTTTTGGCAAAGAACGGCATAGAAGACTGTTTAGGTCATTTTGAACGTTTTAAGTTTGAAACATTTTAGACGATTTCAAGTATTGAATTGCTGATAGATTTAACCGACGCGCTGAAGTCGAACCCCGTCAGAAGCGGGGCTACGAACCCCCCGTACCCCTCGCTTCCCTTGTAGTAAATTCCCGCGCCCTGAAGGGGGCCTTTCTCCGCCGTAACTCCCACCACTTCAAAGAAAGGCACCGTAGTTTGGGCCACGTCTTTGTCGATGTCCGTATGAGTGAATTCAACGTATGTATCTCCAAACGCTCGTTTTCTGAGCTCTCTTTCCGGGGTTTTTAGCCTGTCCCGGCACGGAATGTCCGTGTTGTTCAGTGGAATTTTTCTGCTGAAAATTATAGTTTATATAAGCAATTTAAAATGTAAAGACAATTACCTTGGATATTCATTGGGGTTGGAGAACCAATGGGGTTTGTTATTTATACGTCCACTGAAATAATCGTAAGTTGTACCCTGAACTCTAAGCTTAATAAGGTCTTTATCGAATTGGAATCTAACACCTTAAATAAATACATTTGTACAACTGATATTTTAAACTGGTGCGATTTAGCGTCTATTTACTTATACCCAGAGAGCCATATCACCCTTTCACCTTTGGAAAAGTTATAAATGCACAATATAGGATTTTTGTGCAATCGCGATGGCCAACAATAAATGATCAAATTGTGCCCAATAATATGCTAAAGCAGTTTGGAAGTTAGCTAGGTTACCGTTGGTTTAATTTTTGTTGATGTTTGGGAATGGAAAAACGATGACAAATTTGTTATGTTTATTTGGGCAAATATTAGGCTTTTGAAAAATTTACCATGACATGATATTGGTAAATATTTGAACAAATCCAAATATTTACAAGAATTATAATTATATTTAAAAAATGAGTATGAGTATGGGAACGTATGGCAGGCCCCAAAGGCATTATCCTCCACTGATCTCCCAGGGTTATTTTACCCCCTTTCCGTTCTCCTGCGTTTCCCTCCAAATCGCAGCATAACCTGTGTTTGTTGTTGTTGTTTTTACGCCGGCTGGTAGATCCACCCTAGGAGGTCGTAGATGACAGTGTCTATGGTTAAGGCCGCTCCACGGATTTTTGTCAGCCGGGTCGGGCCATAAGTCCAGTTTAGGAAAGGTTTTTGGAGGACATTGAACTGACCCAAAACTAAGTACAATCCGGAATCCTCCTCAACCTGGGCCTTAGTAATAACCCCATTCAATTGGGATTCATGAATGGGGGTAGGTAGGTTAGTTCTTTGCTTACTCCTATCTTTGTTGGTTTACTTCCGGTTCGTCAGTGTCTGTGTCCGTCTCCGGGTCGGATTCCGGAAGTTGGTACAGTTTTTCCGTCTCCCCCCGCATAAGGTTTTTGTGGGTGCTGATTTGTTCCCAGCTGGCGAGGTCAATTTGTGAGAATTGGATTGTCTGCGCCAGGGTGTCGTGGAATGTGTAGCAAGGTCTACCGACTTTTTTTTTGATGAAGTCTAGATTTAAGGTGGCTTGTAATATGTGGTTTCGGCGTCTACGTTTGGCATGTGCCCAGTATTTATATTTTTTATAGTATAGTAGTATTTTATAGTGCCACCCTGACACGTTTGGTGATTGTTTTTCCTTCTAGGAGGACTCTGGGCGATTGGTTCTGTACGTCCGTTAGGTCTGTCGTAAACAAGGTGAGTATTTTGCGTTCGAATTTTCGGAGGTTTTGTCGGTTTGCTTTGGTCAGTGCGCATGTGTTCACTGCGTATGTCATCGTGGGGGAGATCACGGTTGAGTATATCAGCTTCCGGAGCTTCCACGGAAGATTATAGTTTTTTATAAACGTGTTTATCGAGCGCGCTGAGCGCGTGGCTGCTTTTATTTGTTTTATTGTTTTGCTGGTAATAGTCGGGAATTTGGGGTTACGAATTAGTATTTTGTTTTTTTGTTTGTTGAGATTTAGACCGTTTGCGTTCATATGCTTGGTAAGAACCTCGGTGAATCTTACGATTTCTGTTAGGTTGTTCGCGATGAGGAGTATGTCGTCCGCAAAAGCAAGCGTTTTGTTTGGGCCGTTTGTGTGATCGAGTTTCGTCTGAGTTGTTCCCACGCCTTTTTTGTCTTGTCTAATAATTTTTTGATGTTACTGGGTAGCGGTTCTGACGGTTTATTAAGAGTGTGGTTGGCCGCTAACTGCCGACTTTCTTTGATGCTTGTGTGTTAGTAGTGTCTCTTTTACCGCGTTTTTGTAGTTAAGATTGTCAGTAGGGTCTTTTAAACGCTCTGTATACCATTTTGTCGGTTTTATTGTGAGGCACTGATAGTCTTTATCGTTTATGGGTGGCGTCTGTCTCAGGTCGCAATAAAGTAATTTATGGTCTGTCTGTCTGTCAAGTGGCCAGGTAGCTTTGCAGGGTTTGTATAGACACCCGATAGTGCTGTTACGGAGCATGTGATCAATTTGCGATTCGGAAGATTTGTTTCGCCATGTTGTTAGTATTGACTTGTGTTTTGAAAAGGTGTTGTGAATTCGGAGCTTAAACAGCTGAGCCAGGTTAATAAGCTCTTGACCATTTTCGTTGGTTTCACTATGTACTAATTGCCTGCCTACCGTGAGTTTATCTTTGTCTGTGTGTAGTGTTTTTCTTAGGTGTGCGTTGAAGTCCCCTATAACTATCATTGCCCCTTTTTTGTTGTTTATGTCTATTTGTTTTGTTAAATCGCTGTATGTCTTCAAGTTGCGTTTATCTGATGGAATGTGTGTGGATATTACGCAAAGTCTCTTTTTGTTACAGGCTAGGACTATTGTAGCGATGCTGTCTGAGATGGGGTAGAATTTTGTCGTTTGGAGGGCCTTAGATCGTCAGGAGTATCGCTACTCCCCGTCGAGTCGAATTGTTTTGTCCTCCGCTTAAGTACCAATCGTACGTGTTTGTTTTTGCGCGGCCGGTTGTCAAGAATGTTTCTTGTAATGCCATTATGTCTAGATTTAGTTGGGATGGTGTGTCTTCAATTATTTCTCTCTTTTCTGCTTGCCTACAGCCCCTTACGTTAAGAGTGCCTATTTTTATCTTGTGTTGTGGTGTACTACTGTCTAAACTTGTCGCCCCGTTACCGGTCGATTGTGTTTGCTTGTATTCCCCGTTGCCGCAGGCTCTTATATTGATTATTTTTCCTGCCTCTGTTAGGCAAGGCACCGAGGCTTGTGTCAATGTTGGCCAGATATGTACTATACTATCGTAGTGATTGTAAGTTCCTGTCCTGCCTAGTCTGTAACAAATTGCGATTGACCGGTTGTTGTTCTGTCTGAAGGATATCTTGTCAGTACGCCCCTGTTCGTGATGTATTTCGATTGCGACGTTAAATATGTCCGATGCTGCTATTATTGTTTCCAAACCCAACCAGAAGCTGTTTTGTGCGTGGTCCTTTAGGTACGCCTCTGTTTTACGTTCCCAGTCGTTAATATGCGCGTAAATGCGCATCCTGTAAATATGGGCTGTATGTCTGAATGTGTGTTCTTAAGTGGTTATTTAGTCTTTGTCTTAATGCGTATGTACTTCCTATTGTTGACTTAGTCAGGCTATTGTCTAGTTGATGGGCCAAGCTGGCCACTAAGCAATTTCCGTCGGATGGAATTTTAATTATTCCCACCGAATGATCGATCGTATTTACTATTTCCATGTTTGTTATGGTTTGGGTTTATTTATTTATTTATGGTTTGGCGTTTATTTATGGGATTAGTCAAATGTTTATTTGGGGATGGAGCTAATGTCTTATGTCTGCCTTTTCTGTTTTGTTTATGTAATGATTTATGGGATGTCTATCTCTATAGGAATGTTTATTATCTGGTGCCAGCTGGGGTTCTTGGAAATTTACGTTTCGATGTATAATACGTTTAAGTTTTGATTTTTTGGAATAAAATTGTTTTTGTTAATAAGTCATGCAATTAGAAAAATTACTTGCTTGATTATTAGGCTATAATCCTGATGCTTTGTCTTTCACGGGCTGTCCGTTGTTCCTTGACATCGCCTGCAGGCTTTTGGCACGCTTTGATTGTGGCAAATCTCTGCTATCCAGGTGGGCCGGTTGGCTTATCGTTGTTGCCTAGCCTTAATTACTTATTCACTTGCACACTTTTACGGCGTTTACCGGGGTCCTCACGCCCTTGTTGCACTTTTCGCACTTGTTTGTTTATTTATTTATTTATTACCGATTACCGATATTTCCGGATACTTAGATTCGTTTTTGGTACTTTACTACGTTTGTATCGTATACGCTGCTTAGGAGGGATCTCGTTAACTATCGTAACGCTTCCTACCACTTCAAGTGTCAAGACCCAACTGTAATTATATTTTAAAAAATATTACTAAAAATTTTTTTTCTTGTTTACATTCAAATCTATTAATTATTTGGAGAGTATTTGAAAATCGGGTAAATAAAACGCTTTATATACGAGGTGTGTTCAGAAAATAACGGGAATTTTTAAATTTTGCGGGTTTGGAAAATCCGGTTGTCATATTATGTTGGTATACATACCCCTAAAGAATGATAAAAATTTTATATGTTTTCATTGTTTACTGTGGCAGCCGCTAAGGTTAGACGTGTTTTAGAGTATGGCGATTTTCGTTCGTTAAAAGAAATGGATCAAAGAGTATGTATCAAATAAAGTGTGTGAAATGTTAACAAAGGCCTATGGTGAGTGTGCTATGAGTAAAACAAGAGTTTATAAGAGTTTCCAAGATGGCCGAAAAGACGTTGAAGATGACGAACGCCCCGGACGCCTCAGCCCATTAACAACCGATAAAAACATGGAAAAAGTGGAAGAAATGCTTATGAACGATCACCGAATCACAATCAGAGAAGTTGCTGATGATGTTGGCATATCGATTGGCTTATACCATGACATTTTTTCGATTGTTTTGGGTATGAAACGCGTGGCAGCAAAATTTGTTCCAAAATTGTTGAATTTTAAACCCAATTTTTTGCCAAAAACAATACTGTAATGATGCCCCAGCCTACATATTCGCCAGACTTTTTCCTATTCCCCAAATTAAAGGGAACCTTAAAGGGCCCTCGTTTTGCAAGCATAAATGACATTAAAAGCGCATCGCTGAAAGAACTAAAGACTATCCCAAAGATCGTGTTTGAGAAGAGTTTAGAGGATTAGAAGAAGCGCTGGAACAAGTGAGGATATTGTGTATGACCCTCTCTAATAATGTGAGGATTGAAGTCGCTACAATAACGGCAGTTTTCTTTGTTCACCTTGCCATTTAAGTAGAAGGTGCACTCATCACTGAAACAGATATTTGTTATAAACTGGGGCTGAGCAATAATCATGTTACCTAGTCATAATTTCGCAAAACTCAATACGTATGTCCGGGTCATCATCCCCCTAATTCTTGAGTAATTTGTAGCTTGTATGGGTGAAATTTGTGAAGCTTCAATACTTTTCTGACTAATTCACGCGACAGTCCAGTTTGTTCTGCAGCTTGACGAAGCGACATAGTGGGAGCCATAGCAATTTGGCCAAGAACTTCAATCTGAGCGATCACATTGACCAATCTTGGCTCATTTCTCTTCTTAATACAAACAGATCCAGTTTCTTCAAATGTAGCTACTAAATCTCGGATGTAATTATGTCTAACATTTCTTTCTGGATGTCGATCATTAAATATGACCGCCGTTCTTGCGAAGCAACGGTTTTCCGCTCCATAAATAAAAAACATTTCAACGCGTTCTGCGATAGTTTAAACCATTTTAAGAAAAGGATACAAAAACACACAACTACTATAGCTTATTTTTACTAATCGATTCGGCAAATCAAATTAATAAATTTACACCGGGCGTACGAAAATACGAACTGCACTTATCACTAATTATATCATATATCAAAATAAAAAGTACTTATTTCAAACATTCCATACATTCGTGAGTTAATCCACTTCAATTTTGGTAAAAATAAATTAAAAAGAAATATAACTTATCTACAACTACATAAGGATTTCAAAAATGATTAAATAAATAGGGGTTGCTATTTAAAATTTTAGGGGTAGGAGCTCTGGAGGTCATGGGGTTAAATGTAATACAACAACAAATACCTCAAAAGTTGTCCCCCTTGATATGTAAATTGACGTATTTCGCCAAATTTTTATAGTGTCATTCAGTTAAAGAAAATTTCTTTTAATAAATTAAGTGCTGTTCGTTTTAAAATTGCCACCCTGTATATAGATATTACAAATAAATGTACAGAAAACAATTAAAACATTTTAATTAGGTATAATAAAAAAATATTGTTTTTTATAAAGAATCCCTCGAAAAGTTTTTTAATTTGTTTATTCAAGGCCACACCAAAGGACCTCTGAAACTCTTCAGCCCCAGGAGGGAGAATCACTCGTGTTCATGTAAAATCTCTAGAAAAAATACCTTTATATGTGTTATAATATTATGAGACAAATAGAATTACGATAAGGCTATCAAGAATTGTTTTATTAAACATTAACAGCTTATTGTAAAATGTTTGTTAATTGCTAATATGCTGTGAAGAACTTCTAAAATGAAAAAAGAAATAAAATTAAGATTCAATGCAAAAATTACAATTAACTTGCTCACTTCAGGCACTATGGATGTTTAAACCCAATATTTTTTTCCTCTGTGACATACAGGTAGAAATGTTATGTTTAAATTGTTCTGCTTGTAGTAAAAGCCTTTTACTCATAAACACTATTTACCTAAAAAAGGCAGTTCTTTTTCTTCACTGCAACTTCATGCAACGAGATGAAAATTTGTAACAATGAACAAAAAATAAATACATAACATAGAACTACTATTGTAAATGTATATTACTTCAAAATTAACGCTATGATATATAAAAAACTTGAAAACAACCTTAATTACTAAAGCAGTTTAAAACCTAACACACGTTTAGTTATGACACGGATTATTATATTTTTTGTAATAACTTTCACATAAGCACTTTTTTACGTCTTTCTGTAGAGAGGGTTTTAAAATATGAATTAACTTTTTAGTACGTTCCTATAACTCGCTAAATAGCGAGTTATATTGCGCATAGTAAACTGATTCTTTTTCCATTCTGATCAATTGTTTGCCAAGTTTCGTTCAATCTGCATTACAAACGCTTTGCCAATTTTCGACCAAACTTCATTACAAAGGAAGTTAGCCAAAAATAACTACTTAAGTCATGCAGTTTTTGTGCTATCGCGTTGGGAAATGATTGACTTAGTTGGGAAAAAGTTGACTACTTTCTTTCCCAAACCATGGTTCTCTGGGTAACAGTATTCTGATGCGATGGGTGTTTCAAAAAACTTACCTGTAACTACAAAACCGCTCGGCAATTTTGTATTTGTCATTTCCATGCTACGTTTGTCGTACGTTAACGTATGATAATCCAAATTATTGTAAACATTTTTACTGGTAATATGAAAATGTTCAGTTTTGACCCACTTCTTATCTCCAATTATTTCCCCAAACTTGGACAACTTTCCCTCTTGGATTTCCAAGTGAAAAATTCGGTTCTTCTTTGCTATCCTTAGACCAGTCACCACCCTTTTATTAATTTAAAATAAAATGCATTAAACTTTGTTCAACCCTTTTAAATGGAATAACTTACATATTATTAAAAACATTTGTCGTTACCGGTCGTAGACTTATATATCTGTCGGAAAGCGCATCAGTTTCCTCACAAATGCAAAGGCAATAGTCGCACCGTGCTATACCCAAAAAACCGCCATGAGTTGTAACTGAACATTGGCTATTGGGACACACGATCTTAGCACCTAAACGTTTTTTGTCGTCTAAAGACAGGTAATCATATCTTCTCGATGTATGCACGCTCTAAAAAAATATAAAGTATGCAAAACACATTGTTTTTGCACTAGGAACAAACTTCAAAAAACTTTCTTTACCCATTACTGTAAATATTTAAAAAAAATAAACATTCACCTCTCTAGAGGTTTTATTTTAAGTGCGTTCCACCAACTTCAAACACCGACAGACAGATAGACATATTTTGGGTCTTATCAATGTCGGGAAATTTGGTGTATGGTAACACACTAAAAACGAAAGACACCTGAGCTTATATACTGTCCACCTAAGTCAACCTAGGCGAGATGTAAGAACATCACGTGATTGCCGCAATCGGTGCATACATATGCATTTTACATAACATTATAGCAAATCAAATTACAAACATCGTTTGTAAATCTGAGATGCTTTTTATTAGAAACAGACTGTTTCAAACAGTCAAACTGTTTGGTAAAATTACAATGCGTGTAGGATTTATACATATAGATTGTAAAATTACAACTTATCTTCATATTAGCATAATAAGCTTCCAGAAGATGGATACAAAACTTTTTAAAAAGACTGCAAATTTTTTTAATACAAAATGTTCTCTATTCAACAGATTAATTTTTAAATCTTTAACGTGCTGTAATTTTATTTAATTTTATTTATTTATTATTTATATGTTTTTTAAAATGGCTATATATTTTTGATATTCTTTTTTTTATACATTTATTGTATATTGTATGTTGTAATATTTTACATTCTGCATTGTTGACACGCTTTGTAAATTTTGAAGGCTAAATAAATCTATCTCTACTTTCCAACATGTCTTGGAAGATTACTCAAATTGTATTATAATTTTGTTTTGGTATACACTGATTTGTAATTTAACTCATCCTTTGTTTTGCAAAACAATTGTAATTTTACAAAAAATTTTAACAGTGTAGGTACATGATTAAAATGATATAAAGTAAAAATGCAAACAAAAGTTGTATAAAATAAATAATGATTTGTATAGCAAATTTTGGTTAGTAATTTTATTGATTATCTTACTAAAATTAAATTCCGAATATGTATAGAAATATTACAAAATTTCAAATTCAATTCTACAATACAGAATTGTAAAATTACTATAAGTATCTGACTATGCAACTGCTAAGTAAAAATGTAGTATGTTTATGAAACGAAAACACGTCGACTCCGCGCATGTGACGTCACGTGCGAACCAGATTCAAATGTTACAAACAGATTTGCATAGGCATACGCTATGCACGGGTGCTTTACTACGATTTTTTTTTAGTTTTTCCGAAATAATTGTGTTTTTTAAGTAAAGGGTGTCCAATTAGGTACGCTCGATGTTTGATAGGCGGCTATGGCTAAGTCAGTACAGACACAGCTTTCAAATATTTTGAAGTTTTGTTGGCATATTATGACATTTGATAATGGAGCGTTACACGGTTGCTCAACGCATTCAAATTATTCAAATTTACCAACAAAATCAATTTTTAATTCGCCAAACGTTTCAACGGCGTCATTTCACGCGGCGGCGATATCCAGTGACCAACGAGATCATGCGATCTAACGCCGCTGGACTTTTTTGTGGGGCTACGTAAAGTCCCTTGTGTACGTGAATAAGCCACGAACAGTTGAAGCACTGAAGGCCAACATTACTCGTATAATAAATGAAATCGAACCCGAAATGTGCGAAAAAGTGATAGAAAATTTGACCTGCAGAATGCGCGCTGTAGAGCGCAGCCGCGGGGGCATTTGAAAGATGTTATTTTTCATAATTAATGCCATAGGATGTTCTTTTAAATAAATATATTTTTTCCTAATATCTTAAGTGTAGTTTGTTTTATTTCATTTTAAAGTTAGAGCACTCTTAAGTGGACACCCTTTATAAGCCACGCTCAATGGGTTTGCAACGTTTTTCGTAACGTTTTTACTGCATTTATTGAACAGCAATAACTATTTACAAGGTATTTATAAGCCACGCACGGGTGTTTTATTCTAGGTAATTAGGCATTTATTGAACAGCAATAACTATTTACAAGGTATTTATAAGCCACGCACGGGTGTTTTATTCTAGGTAATTTATTAAGTTTGTGTTATATTTGTTGGACTTAATAACCATTTAAAATATGCCGTGCTGTGTTGTAGCAGACAGCAAAAATATGAACAGAAACAACACCTAACCTAACATTAAATATTTTCTATTTCCAAAAAATAAAGATCTGGCAGCACAGTAGATGAATGCATGCAAGAGAAAGGATAAAATGAAAATAAAAAACGGTAAGTAATGGAAGTTTTTGGTATACCCAATTTTCTGTTAGGTACTTATAGTAACTTTTCACCCTAACCACATATTTTCTTACAGCTTGCAAAGTCCTTACTAATAATAAAAATTAAAACACAATTGTATCGGAAACCCGCTTCAAAAGTGTCACAAGTAAAAAAGCTTTTTTTTACTTTTGACACATTAAAGCGGGCGTGCGTTATTACTACCTGTATAAATGCATTTTTATAATTTTGTTACCTTTCACATTAAAAAAATGTAAAATTCGGTCTAGCGTAAGTTAAGTTAATTTAATTAACTAAAAAATATTTAAAAAAATAATAATAGGCCGTCCCTATATTTATAAATTTTCTACTACTATAATCGGCCCCCATTTCTCCCCATTTGTGTATGATATGACATGACATGACATGATATGATATGACATACCGATGGACAAATGGTTACGTCCTTTCCCACCCATTGACAGCTGAGAACTCGGCCTTTGCATCCGCGATTTTCGCATTTAGCAGGTCCAAAACCTGTTTCTCTCGTAACCCGATATTTATCGCAGGATTTCCAGCAGGATTTTTCTGCGTTTAAGTGCTCCTCGTTTTGCAGGAACCCTTGCAGAAGTTTAGTCACTTCGCTGTACGTTTCATCTAAAACAACATTTTTGTTTTGCTTTCCTAATATATTCTTTATAATATAATATATGTAATTATAATTACTTAAAAAAAAAAAGATTTGACAAATTTTCAAAACTGCTTTTTAAGATCCGTGTTGAAGAAAAGGGTTATTTAAAAAAAATGTTACCTTGTTTATCATATTTATCTATAGCATTCCATATCTCTCCTTCTCCATAATATTTCATGATCTCATAGTAAATGTCCAAGAGTTTGGTCCTATTTAAGATATACTCATTGTTCGAAAAAAGAATATTATCATAATATGAACCTTTAAAATTTAAACATACGGTGTTTTATATTTGCTTTTTTCATATACCAAATCAACCACTTTTGACCCGGACCCCTTTGGATTTGGCTAACCTTTTTTATTTTTTTCTACCCTATCCAAAACATTTTTCAGAATTTTTTCAATTTTTTTACCCAACCAATTTTTTTTTTAATTATGTCTTTATTTTTTAAAAATTGATTTATCGGAACGTTTGTTTTTAAATGTTTGTTTTTTATGTACTTTTTATAAAAGTATTAAAAAAATATAAATATAAAATTTTATTGCTTTAAAATTTAAGATTCCTAACTAAAAATTTTGGGTATAAGTATATTTATAAATTTCTGTTTAAGTGCTAAACTTTAATCTTCAAACTATTATCCAATAAATGCTGAAACGGCTTGCCGTACATAGATCTTAAACGTTTTTTTTTTAATTTTTGGAATAAAACGAAAATTTGACGATTGTAATTAGAAACATTTTCCGAAAATTCCCTGAAATTTTAACAGTGGCGTTTTTTCGTTTTAATTTTTTTTTTTCAATTGCATTTTTTTATTCAGCCTATTTCTCATAATACCACTCGGGATTTTTCAGGATGTAGAGAAAACCTCAAAGTTTAAAAAAAATGAAATTGAAAGTGGTATTCATCGAAAAAATTTAATTTTTCGAAAAAGTAAGAAAAAAAAATAGAAGATGGTTCTGTATAATTTTTTTATATATTTTAGATAATAACAAAATATTATTTGATTAATTTTTGGACAAACAGGCTTTTAAAAATTTGTAAGTGGTTAATTTGTGATGAAATGTTTTTTTGTTTAAATAAAAATTACAATTACAAAACCTAATTAAAATTACTTTAAAAAACAGTTTATTTATTGTATTTATAGCTAGTGTATATAAGTAGTGTTTATTTTCTTTGTTTTTAAACGGAGTTAAAAAAAAATTCAGAACCTTTTTAGTCTTAAGCCCGCTGCACAATAGCCCGGGAACGGGAACGGGAAAATAAACGGTAAAGATGGGAGAGACTCAGCGAACCCTATCTATCAACAGTGGTTTTTTAGTCTCTCCCACCTTTATTGTTAGGATTCCCGTTCCCGTTACCGGGCTATTGTGCAGCGGGCTTTAGGGGACATCCATTAATTACGTGAGGCATTTTTCTGGTAATTTGGACCCCTCCCTCCCCCTTGGTGAGATTTGGTGAGATGTGGTAGACCCCCTTTCCCTTACGTGAGATTCTAGCCAGTAAACTTTCATTGCGGACAACATGAAAAACCCAAAAAAAATTGATAACTTTTTTTGACAAATTTGAATTAATACTTCTATTCTTTCAACCCAAAAGTTGACGTGAGATTTTAAATGACCCCCCCCCTCCCTTAACATGAGATTTAGTGAGATTTTGCTAGACCCCTCCACCCCTATTTTTATCTCACGTAATTAATGGATGTCCCCTTACTTCGAAAAAAAAAATAAAATGTAAAGGGGTCGGGGTCAAAAGTGATCGATGTGGTATGGTATGTATAATGTGGAATAAGAAAATTAAACTTAAAATCGTAGCTAAAAGTTGAGAATGCTTCGTGCACTACTAAAATCCGTGTCTTTGCTTTGCCCAAACATCTCCGAAAACCTTTCTACCTGGTTTCAATTGCTTTACCCCCTCCACATCATACAGCTTAGTTTATACTTACCTCTGCTAGTTAATCTTAAAAAGTTGTATGAAAACTGCATTGTAATTTCTGCCTTAAGTTGAACTATGAAAAAAGCATCAAATAATATTTTGAACAAAATTTCAGCCGATTGTCCAAACATTTTCATAGTTTTTTCCCCCTTAAAAATTTCACTTTAATAAAAATTATTTCTTCTGCCAATATTTATATTGTTTTGTGAGAACTTATTGGCCCACCCTCGTATACCTACTTACATTTTTATCCAATAGGGACTTGAAAAAATCTGATTCGTTTGTAATAAAATTTACAAAGAGGGAATATCTAGTTTTTAAACTGCTCTCGTTGTTATCTATAGCGTCTTGGCAAAATTTTATTATTTCCACTTTTGTGTTAATATTTAGATTTTTAGTGGTTAAATACATTGTTGTATTGTTTATATCAATTAGATTTGATTTTAAAGTAGACAGTTTGGCACTGGATCCGATCCTTTTTTCAATCATTATATTTAATATTTGTACACCTAAAATACACTTTATGGACAATTTGGTTACACAATTATAGTTATTTTTCTTTAGTATTCTTTAGACCATCAATTTCAACCAGAAGCACCTGCAAGGCGGCAACACAGAATGCACAAACGTGTGGAAATCGGAATAAATATCATTTATGTAGTTTACTTACTTCTTTGAATATCATTTTCATACTCCCTAATATTATTTGAAATAGTTTTCAGTGAATTAAGAAAACGATTACCTAACCGTTCTTTAAAAACTTCACTGACAATATTTGGTTTGAATGGTCTCATGCAGTCTCCCATTTTTTTTAAGGTGATCTTTAAAATTTTTCGCGACATCGACGAAATCCAATTTGAATGTTTTTGAATGACATATTATTAGCAGCATTAAAAAACATTTGTATTTCATAGTTGCCACAAAGAAGGTATACTTGGTACTGATGTTTTATACTGGGGCTTATCAAGATTAGATATTTAGTAAAAAAATACTATCTTTTTCCTTATTTACCTAGTATTTTGTATGTAATTATATAATTTAAATACAGACACTCAGTATAATGACTAGGCGTGAAATAAAAAATTCAAAGAAATATTATAATAATTTATTTTTAACATTTTCTATTACTTTTAATTATGATTACTTAATATACTTACATATGTAAGAATATTTTATTAATAATAAAGTAATGTAAAAAATTGTATTTTGATTGCACGATACCGACCCATTAAAACTAAAAATATTATAATAAAATGAAATAATAGGTATCTTACAAAATTGACTAAAAGTGCAAAAAAGACATTTCAAAAGATTTTTTTTTGTCTGTTAAATAAAAAACTATTTTTGTGCAAATTGGTAATGATATTAACCTTAATCTCTTGTACCTCACCTTAATTCAGGAACTCTTTAAGAAATCTTAACCAGTTGTCCATACATGGGGATGTTAAAATAACATAATAATACAGCACAGTCTAGATTTCATTTTATATCGATTTTAATATTAAAAAAATTACCAGTACGATAATTTTAACTGCTATTAAAATAAGTTGTATTTTTCTCACCATGTCAGCAAAAAAGCCAATGTTTAAAAAAAATTAGTAGACGGCATTATTACAGATATCACATCCAAAACTCACTTTGAAAATACATGTTTTACTAACTAGTTTTTAAATCACAGGCTGTTTAGAAAGTCAATGACAAATACTTGCCATTGTTTTTCAAACACCCTGTATGTGCACAACATTTAATAATAAATTTCTTATTGGCCTAAAAAAGCTCGAGTTATATTTTTGAGTTTGCCTTATCGGTATTTTAGAACAAGTATCACTCCATAATCCTATCTAATATACCGGGTGTATTATAAGGGATGACTACAATTTTAAACGTTTGGGGAAAAATCCATCACTTATATGTATTTTAAGTAAATACTTAGGCACTACTTTAACGAAGTTTTTGATTTTATTTTCTGAACTGTATTTTGAAACCGTATTTTTTTATTGCAGCCTAGATTTATCTATGTTATCTATTTCGGCTATAGAGAACCCCAAAATGCTTTGTATGGCCCTAAGATGACCCTGGCTGTTTTCTCGGTCAGTAAGGAAATAGTAAATTGCCGATTTTAGAAATTGTAGCGTTATTTCCGGGTCGATTTTATTTTTACTTTTGGCCTCCATCAGTTGTCTATACATCGCCTGCAACAATGCAAATAAAAGTCCTTTAAAATACTTACCATTACGTATGTTTAGTTTCTACAGTTTTAATATGCAAAACACTACGTGTACTACAAAAGTAACCATTTAAAAGTCTTAACAAAATAAACGTCTACTACTTTTTTAATTTTGTGGATAATTGTGGGTTTTTTAAATGATCTTAAACAAAGTATGGACATTATTATATACAAGGTGTGCCTGAAATGCCTGTACAAAATGAGCAAGTTCATTTTTGTGAAGACTTTTTATAAAAAACGTCAAATGTATACCAAGAAAGTGCAGCGAATACCTATATGCATGCATTTTAAGGTGAGGATAATGTTTTTCTGCGTTAGTTACCTTTCTGGCACCGAGTACCCAGAGCGAAAGAGCTTCTTTCGCGCTCAGTAACGGTTGCGAACTCTTAGAAGTCGACGCGTATTCTACGTCCTGCAAAAAACGCGCCAAAAAGACACGTGGTTATGAATACGAAAGCCACCAAGTTAATATTAATGTACAGGGTGTAGCATAAAGGTTGGGAATAAATTATATGGTTTCTAAGTAAAAAAGTGATTTTTGTTAGTACAAATTCGCACAGCAGTTTAAAATTAAAAAAAAAAGTGGGAAAAACTTAAATTTATAAATTGTGGAAAAAATTATTTTTATTTTTTTAACCATATAAAAACTGTAAAATTGTATTGTACGTATATTAAAATAATAAAAAATGGTGTAAAAACTGCCCCCATCTACCCAAAGATGTGACAAAGATTTCAGACAAAAACAAAACAGTTGAAGCTTCATTATAATGAATTTTGTTTTTTTTTTCAAAAAATTTCCATAACCTAGAGAATTTTTTTCCTAACAAATCACAAAACTTTGGGATACATTCAGTATTTTATCTTGCACTATTTAGCGGTGTTGCCAAACTTTTTTTGTTTTTAATTTTTTTATCTAAAATTCTCAGAACCTTGCCAAACTATTTTGCACTATTTAGGGATGTTGCCAAATTTATAAATACTTTTTGCTTTTTTAATTTTTTTATAAATTTTTTTGGATACAATTTTTTTAAACTTTTTTTGCGGTGTTGCCAAATTTCTAACAAATCCCAGAAGTTTTCAAAATCTTTGGGAAAGATTCAGTAATCTTGCACTATTTAGCTGTGATGCGCTGTTTTTTTTGCTTTTTAGATTTTTTTAACTTATTTTGTTTTTAATTTTTCCCCTAAAATTCCCAGAACCTTGGAATTATTTTTTGTTTTGTTTATTTGCTGTGTTGCCAAATTTTTCCCAAAAGGAATTTTTTTAAATCTTCAGGATACCGTAGTAGTATATCATATGCACTATTTAGCGGTGTTGTTAAATTTTTATATACCTTTTTTAACCTTTTTTAAATTCATTTGTTTTTTAAAAAATTCCAGAACCAAGGTTATTTGTTTTTAAAAAAATTAAGAACCAAGGTTATTTATCGATGTTGCCATATGTATACATACGTTTTTTACATTTTTTTATACCTTTTTTGGATTAATTGTTTTTTAATTTTTTGCGGTTGAGCTAAATTTCTAAAAAACCCAGAAGAATTTTTGCAAAATTTTCAGGATACCTTCAGTAAATCATATTTCAATATTTTAACTTTATAGTTTTTAATTTTTTTTCCTACAATTTCCAGAACCCAGAAATTTTTTTGTGTTGCGAATTTTTTTAAAAATCCCATTTTTTTAAATCTTCAGTAAGTCATATTTCACTAATTAGCGGTGTTGTCAAATTAATATATACTTTTTGTTTTGTTTTTTAATTTTTAAACGTTTTTGGTTTTTGAATTTTTTATACATTTTTTGGATTCAATTTTTGGTGTAAACAAATTTCTAAAAATCCCAGAACTTAAGAATTTTCCAGATACCTTCAGTAAATGATCTTGTAATATTTTAACTTTTTAGTTTTTATTTTTTTCCCACAATTTCCAGAATCTAGTATTTTTTTATTTTTTTTTTGCGGTGTTTCTCAAAAATCCCAGAATGAAGTTTTTCAAAATCTTTAGGATACCTTTGGTAAGTTATCTCGCACTATTTACGGGTACAGTTTTTTTTTGAGATGTCAAATTTACAAAAATTTCCAGAACCTGGGAATTTAAAAAATATTGTATTATATAAATTCTGAAATACACTAACAGGCAAAATAATCGATCCACCAAAATTTTCGATGAATTTCAGTCGCAAATAACTTTTTTATTTGATTTCGGATTTAAACAAATATTAAAGAAAAATGTAGATAAATTAATGGAGAATTGCTCACATTTTAAAAATTTACAAAAAAATAGACTTATGTTTATAATATACAAGTTTAAACAAAAATATGTTTTTTACCAAAAGTTTAAGTAGAGTGGCAAAACCTTATATTGTTCTAAATAAAGTTTTAATTATCAAGTAACATCTATTTTTAGCAGTTTTGTTTTGGTTCACCTTGATAGATTTATTTTTGTGAAAAATATTGATTTTTTAAAAAAACATTGCACTTTTCAATATTTTTTTTGTGCGAAGAACTAAGGTTGCTATGGTCCATCCATAGCCTATGTAGGATGACAGTGACAAATTGTTTTTTGTAAATTAATGTTTTACTTTTAAGGTGTCTTCTTACTTTTAAAAATGGATATGTCTCCGACTGATGTTGCCATAGCCATTGCTTTAATCCAGGATGGACGGTCACAGTATTACGTGACAAGTGTTTTAAAGGTCACAAGAAGTAAAGTACAAAGGGCAGCATCAGTTGGAGACATATACATGTTTAAAAGTAAGAAGACAACTTAAAAGTAACACATTAATTGACAAAAAAAACAATTTAATAGCTTTTAATAGCCGTATATGACATGCCCAAGTATGGGATGATTCAACAAAATTGTCACTGTCATCCTCCATATGCCATGGATGGACCTTAACAACCTTAGTTCTTCGTACAGAAAAAATATTGAAAATTGCAATCCATATTTTCCACAAAAATAAATATATCAAGATGAACCAAAAACAAGACTGTTAAGAATAGATGTGACTTGATAAATAAAACTTAATTTAAAACAACATACGGTTTTACCACTCTACAGTGCACTGTCTTAAACTTATGGCAGTGTCTTAAACTTATGGTAAAAAATTTCTTTTTCTTTAAACCTGTATATTATTTATGTACGACTATTTTTTTAGTAACTTTTTAAAATGTGAGCGATTCTCCATTAATTTGTCTACAATATTCTTTAATATTCGTTTAAATCCGACATGAAATAAAAAAGTTATTTGAGATTGAAATTCATCGAAAATTTGTGTGGATCGAATATTTTGCCTGTGAGTGTATAATATACAAATATGTATATACACTGTATATACATATTTGCAAAAGTGCAACAGATCGACCTAATTTTTTACATAGAAATTAATTTTTTCTAATTAATTTTTTGTAGCGTCGCCATATTTTCCAAAAATCCCAAAAGGGATTTTTTTTAAATCCTTAGTATTTCTTTAGTAAGTCATATTGCGGTGTTGCCAAATGTGCATATACTTGTTTTGGCTTTTTTAATTTTCTTATACCAAGTTTGTTTGCGGGGTTGCCAAATTTCCAAACTCTCAGAAGTTAAGAATTTTTGAAAATTTCATTTTTTCATAAATTCACATATCAGTGTTTTTGCGAAGTTGCAAAATTTTCAAAATTCCTTCAGTAAGTAATATTGCACTATTTAGCGGTGTTGCCAAATTTATATACAGGCATAAATCCTGAAATATATTTGCAAAAGGGTAGTAAATTCTATAATTATTAGTTGGGCACAGTAATGAAATTTAGTTTTATTAAAACATGCTTAAAAATCAAAATGAAAATTTGGATTAGTTTGGTCTAAATAATTCTTGTCACACCTTTTTTATTCGACTATTAAATAAAAAAAATATTCTTTGGTTACCTTAATTTTCTCTAGTTCGTTTTTGGTGACTTGTAACTCCTGTAAAAGCTCCGGGAATGAGATTCTACTCGGGTTTTGGTGAGCAAGTTCCATTAACTAAAAAAACAGACAAATAACATTTTTTGATTTTTTCTGCATATTTTTAAGAAATTGCAAAAAAAATTTTACCGTATTTTCATTTTCAAGTTTGGCAGCTTCCTGACCCTTGTTGTACATCTGAAGATAATTCTCTTTCTGCTTATCTTCTTGTTCCTGTAATTTTGTACTTGCCTCTTCTAATTGCAGCTCCAACTCCTTGATTCTATCTCTAGCTGTTTCCAATTCCGGTACCAATTCCCAATACCTAAAAAACCGGTGAAACCGACAAAATCTAAAATAAAGTTGACATCTTCATACCTTGAATTTATTTCGGTGATCCTCTCGAGCAACTCTTCGATTTTGTCGTTGTGTTTTTGTTTCAATTGATAATTCTCCTCTTCGTGGGTCCTCACCAATTCTTGCAGTCTTTTTTCGTACTCCATTATTAATTTGCTGTGCTCTGAATCCAGCTCCAACGAGCCCATTTGGGCGATGGTGCCCTTTTCCGATGTTTCCACATCTCTTCGTCTGCAAGGCTGAGAAAATGAAAACGTTTTGGTTGAGCATTGATAATTTTATTGTCGATTCAATTAAAGGTTACTTGGGATGTGGCCACCTTACAGCCCGAACCTTGAACCATCAGACCACTTACCGATCGAATGCTGTCGTCAAACAGCACCGAATCCTTCGAGTGCACGGACGAATTGGTGCAGTCCTCGAAGTGTCCGGAATCGGCAAAGGAATGGTTCATGTCCGCGCCGCCGGCTGCGACGACGTCGCTGGCGTCCCGACGCTCGACGTGAACGCCATCGAAGGCGTCCTTCTCAGGGCTGCACTCTTCGCTCGTGTTTTCTCGAACTGTGACGGCATCGCTTGAGTTGGACTTGTCTTCCGGCGAGTTTAGAGCCGCCTTGTACAGTCTTAACTCTACAACCTCACAAGAATCGAAAATTGTAAAACCACTTAATAAGTTAAACAATTATTAGAAATATTTCCCAACACCAAACCAAAACACAAAGTACTTTTCGCCAACGATGTTGGCATCTTCAAAAGCGAAGCGTAACTAAATCTAACTGCTAAATCTACCATATTTATACTAATTATAAGCCAAGGTTGACTGAACCGTGAACGGACACAGTTTACTAATCCGTGGACCGTAACCGCTTCAGTGAACACGTAAAGAGAAACAAACAAACTAATTTATACAAACTAGAGTTGGGTACCGGTCCGTTATCGCTATTTAAAGATTTATTTCTATTCTTATAGATGTATAAACTTTCGTAAATATCTAGCAGACTTGGTTCCCTAACTTCCTTAATAAGTTTACAACACTTGATTTCTCTGTCCTACCAAATCTAGCACGGATGGATTGTTTAGTTTGTCCAACATATTTCCCCAAGCAGCATTTTAAGTAAAAGCGTAGAGCTTTGAGTCAATATTACTTAATTTAAGTAAAAATTTACTTTCAAGTAAAACTTTTTTTAAAGTTATTTAATAAGTTTTATTTATGTTATTTTTACCTATTTTAATAACCCTTAAGTTTCAACACTTTAAAGTATTATGAGGGACGTAACTTTTACGAAAGAAAATTACTTAAGTAATATATATAATATATATATATATATATATATATATATATATATATATATATACAGTGTGTATCAGCCAAATGGAATAAATTCGATAATACATAAATGGGGGCATGTTCCTAAAAATGCTCGGACACGTCGATTAGTATTTTTAGTTGCTCACTTTTTTCAACAAAATCTTTTTGTACAGGGTGTCTCATATATCAGTGGCCAATACCAACTTTCAAATTTTAAATGGAACACCCTGTATTTTATTCAATTTTTGGATTCTTCAGAAAATTATAAACCTATTTCATGTACAATATCCTATACCTATCTTCAAGTTTTTCGGAAATATTAAAAAATTAACGTTAAAGAACGATTATTATAATTATTTGATTACACACTCAATATTTATTTCCCATTTAGATTTTAATAAGCAAAAACCATTTTAGTGGACCTGATATGAAATAAAAAAGCTATAAATAGTTTTGTGTTTAAATTTCGTTAACTGCACATCAGAAAAATGTTTCATTTAATTGAAATGCACAAAATATCAATTCTACAGATGATTGGTTATGAAGATAGAACACGGACACAAATGGAAGTTGTTCGCTTATTTCAAGAAAAATGTTCAAATTTACCTCCTATATTCCAAGGGACAATGAGTAAAATAGAAAAGCAGTTCGCGAGCTTGGACATGTAAAGCAGATGAAAAAAATAGCTGCAAAAGTAATAAGTGATGATACCAAGTTGGATATTATGCTTGAGTTTGAGGAAAACCCACATACTTCTAGTCGAAAAGCAGCCCCAATGTTCGATGTTAGCCATTCATTAATTCTTCGAACTTTAAAAGAAAATAAAATGCATCCCTATAAAATGATACCAACTCAGGAGCTCACGGAAGACGATTTTGATAGGAGAACGTATTTTTGTGAAGAAATGATGGCAATGTTAGATAACAATGTGATCCAATTACAACATGTTTTGTATTCTGATGAGTCCACCTTTACACTTCACGGTCAAGTTAATCGTCAAAATTGCCGCTATTGGTCTAAGGAAAATCCTCACTTGATGAGAGAAGAACATACGCAATATCCTGATAATATCATAGGTCCCTTTTTTATTGATGGCAATTTAAATGGCAATAATTATTAAGCACTGCTCCAAAATAATATCGTGCCTACTGTAACAAACTTATATCCTGATCCAGCAAACACACAAGTTCCAGCGAATATGATTTGGTTTCAGCAAGATGGAGCACCGCCCCATTATGAAATCAATGTATGGCAGTACCTCAACCAAATATTTCCAAATCGGTGGATAGGGAGAAGAGGATCGATGGAATGGCCAGCACGATCCCCTGATCTGACGCCATTAGACTTCTTCCTAAGGGGATATGTCAAAAGTATTGAATACGACCAAACCCCTCGACTTAGCTGACTTAAGAATACGAATAACGGTGGCGATTAGATCGGTCACACCTCAGATTTCAGAATTTAAGATTAGGATGTTGCCAAGTCGTTCTCGGCGAGCATTTTGAACATCTCCTACATTGACAATTGTTCTTTTTTGTTGTTTACAATATCAAAAAATAAACAGTATAACTTATTCGTTTTTCAGTGTTGTAGCGATTTTATGTAATTAAATAATTATAATTATGATAATTATCGTTCTTTAATGTTAATTTTTCAATATTTCCAAAACAGTTGAAGATAGGTATAGGACATTGTACATGAAATATGTCTATAATTTTCTGAAGAATCCAAAAATTGAATAAAATACAGGGTGTTCCATTTGAAATTTGAAAGTTGGTATTGGCCACTGATATATGAGACACCCTGTACAAAAATATTTTGTTGAAAAAAGTGAGCAACTAAAAATACTAATCGACGTGTCCGAGCATTTTTAGGAACATGCCCCCATTTATGTATTATCGAATTTATTCCATTTGGCTGATACACACTGTATATATATATATATATATATATATATTATAATTATATATTATAATTATAAGTGTTTACCTAAAGGAAAATTACTCATAAGTCATAATTTTACGATATTATAATATATGACCACTTTATAACCGTAAATAATTCCTATTCGCCTGGTATTTTTTAGGGTTATTAGTGGTAATAAATACTATTCATATTGACTAAACAAGGAAAAATAAGCTTAAAGTGAAAAATAAAACTTTTAGGGAAAATTTTTTTCAGTTCGCCATAATGAGTTTTTTAAGATGGCATCCATTACTTATCTAAACATTTATATAAAATTTTTTCATAAATATTTTTCTAAAATATAATAAGGAAAGTTTTAGTTATTAAAAAATGATTCAAACTAAATGATTTTTAAAAGATTTTATAAAATTTTGTACCTAGGTTTAAAGTTTTGTTGAATTTTTACCCAAGCAATAATTTTTCTTAAAACCGTAAAATATTTAGAGGGCATATATTTTTTAAGATGTATCGTGTCTATTTTTATCAATAAAATAATGTGCATTTGATATGCAAAATATTATTATTTTGACAATTTAAATTATATTTTTTTAATTTTACTATAGGGTGGCCTTTATTACTTTGTAAATACCATTTTGTAAAATATATATAAATTAAAAGAAATTACGAATGTCAATGTTTTAGAAAGAGAGAGCAAACAGTAAGTAATTATAGCGTTATTTTTAAGTAAATTTGTGGTATTTATATTGTTTTTATTACGTTATTCTCTTAGTATATCGAAAAGGTTATTATGTAGGTAAAATAACGAAATAAACCATTCCCCAAATTTGCAAAATATTATTATTTTGACAATTTAAATTATATTTTTTTAATTTTACTATAGGGTGGCCTTTATTACTTTGTAAATACCATTTTGTAAAATATATATAAATTAAAACAAATTACGAATGTCAATGTTTTAGAAAGAGAGAGCAAACAGTAAGTAATTATAGCGTTATTTTTAAGTAAATTTGTGGTATTTATATTGTTTTTATTACGTTATTTATTATTCTCTTAGTATATCGAAAAGGTTATTATGTAGGTAAAATAACGAAATAAACCATTCCCCAAATTTGGTAATTTTTCGTATCTATACCGTTTTGGTTAACCGTAAAAAATACTTTAAAGTTGACTTAGTAGTAAATTTGTAGTTATTTAAACTTAAAATGCTGCTAATTAGTATAAATATGGTAGATTTAGCAGTTAGATTTAGTTATACACTTCGCTTCTGAAGATGCCAACATCGTTTTCGAAAAGTACTTTAAGCACTTTTTGTTTTGTTTTGGTGTTGGGGAATATTTCTAATATTTGTTTAACATATCACCAAAATCGTCCTTTTTCAAGTAGCACTTATTAAATTATTAAGCAGAAAACTTACTTCTTTGGTCAATTTCAATATATCACTATCTTTTTGCTCCAAATCCTTTTTAGCCTGTAGCAGTAAAAACTTCAATTTTTTTACTTGTCTATGAGCTCTTTGGGTTGGGGTTAAATAATCTTCCCCTGTGGCCCCTGAATGTTGATTGCAATGAAAAACGTACCTAAAAAAACAACATTATAGCTGTTTTTGCTACCAGCTTTTCGACATTTTGCTGTTTAAATTTATTTAGAACAAAAATGAATTCGTGATTTTTATCAATTTTTAATTCTTATTCCAAATTAGTTTGGGCATTAAAAGAATGATCTTTTATCACGCTAATAACTAAAGAAAAAACTCATCATTATTATTCCAATTATAAAGGCCAGAACATTATCGCGTGTTTGGGAGCTTTTTTCAGTTTGGTTTTGTTTTATACCATTTTTAAAATTGAAATAATGTATTCATTCATTTATACGCATTATATTTTTTTGATAAGCAAAACATGTTGACAACACAACAAAAATAAAATAAATAAAGTTTTTTAAATATTTAAACATATTGAAAAAACAAACATTTAAAATATTAAATTTGCCACTTAAGATAAAAACACCCTGTATTAGTGCAACTGAAGTGGTTATAACAGAAACAGAAGCGGAAACATAATATGTCAAAAGTAATTTTTTGCGAAATCGTATGCGGAAGTCGATGCGGATGCGGAAGTATAAATACCATAAAATTATTTTAACAGAAGCAGAAGCGGAAACACATGTCAATAGTGATTTTTGGCGGAAGCGGATGCGGATGCGAAAGTATAAGTACCATAAAACGCTTCCGATATAAAAAAGCGGAAGCGGATATAAAATTATAAATCTGAACAGTCTTAAAAATATGTTTATGATTGAATTGATTTAAAATGTGGTTTTGAAGAATGTGTTTATGACATTTTTTTATATGGTTTCTACAAATAAGTTCTGAATTGTTTTATTAAAATTTTCATTCGGACATTCTAAAATGGGTTATTTAGAAATATTATAAAATGTTTGACATTCTCTATTCTGTTTTTCAAATTCTTAAATATGTTTTTCTACTCCCACCTTTAAAACGCCGTTTATCGTACATGTTTCCATGACACTAAGTGACCTTTTAAATACACATTGACAAGTTGTGGCTTTACGGCGCTTTATTCACGGACTGAAATTAGTTTTAAGTTAGTTGACAGTTGTCAAATGTCATACAATCGTTAAAATAAAGTGCCTTTCTTGTAAAATAATACTAAATGTGAAAATTATACTATTATCTCAATACAAAAATATTAAATGGTTTCTCAACGCCAATATTTGAAAAGTTTATATGAACATTGTACTGACCTTTTAATTTCGCCGGCAGTAAACTATAACTTAAATTCGGGCACGGACTCTACTGTAAAGTCCTCATAAAACATTTCCTTTACTTTCACTGTGAAAAACTGTCAATTTTCAATATACATTTCGATTTATAACATTTATAATTGTGTTTATAAAATGTAAAAATGTGACATTTGACAGTTTCCCCTGTTGTTTCATAGATGGCGCTCTTTACAAATTTTTGATTTAAATCATTTTAAGATAATAATAAGTATTTGTCGTAGAAAAAGTATAGTATGCACCATTGGCGGATCCAAGGGGGGGGCGATGGGGGCGATCGCCCCCCCCGGAAGTAAGTTATCAAGTTGAAATTGAACATAACTTTTTAAATTAATATAGAAAATAATAAAAAAAGGAATAAGTTTAATTTCAACTTTCTTATTATTTACAAAAATTTTCAACTCCGCCCCCCCCAATGACACATTCTAGATCCGCCCCTGGTATGCACCTCGTTTATAAACTTTTCTATACACTCATAAATTTAAGAACTCGCTCGCAAGCTCGTTTGTGCCTAAATTAAATTCATGTATAAAATGGCGTTTATCAAACTTGATACATAATATACTATTTTGTTATTTTGTCAATTGAGGAGCATCCGTGCAAAACCGGCTAAATCCATTTTATTCAGTTTTTGTTTTTTTTCTGATTTCGCATCTTTGGGTTCATTTCCATCGACAACCAAGATAATTCTGTTTAAATACTATATCCATCTTAAAATCACATTTAAAAGGTAGATTTAGGAGCAAAACCGGCCAAATCCACGTTTTTATAGCAAACCCGGCTATATCCAATAAATAATAATGATGATGAGCATGTGGCTTTTATATGTCGATACTACTACTAAAATTTGTTCTGTTTTTTCATGTTTGCACTAAATTTATTTTGTTAATATTTTTTGAATAATAAAGGTTTTTTTTTCACATTTTATTCGGTTTTTGAGCAAAACCGGCTATATACAAAACATTTTTTGAAATTTTGGCCTTAATATAAAGTTTTTGAAAACGAAAGTCTTATAAATCAAGTACCACAAAGCCCACAAAACTCAAGTTTGCTTTTTCTTTTATCTGTAAAGGCTTGGAAACCGGGAGTTTTTGCCATTTTCCCAACATTTTATTAAAGTGGATATAGCCGGTTTTACACGGATGCTCCTCAATTATTGTATAGAATAAGAATTTATTTAACATTTTAAAATTGGTTTAAAATGTGTTTTTACATTCTAAATTGTTTTATTACTTTAAATTCTAAAAATCTTGTTCAAAAATTAAATAATATAGTCACGGCCAAATCTATATGGGTGCACGTCATCAATGAGATATAATGACGTCAGCATTACCAACTTTGAATTGTAAAGTTACTGCCGTTAAATTTGCTTTTTTAAGGCGTAATTCTGATGTGTTATTAAAAAGAAATCATTCATTTGTTTGTTTACCAAGAACTGGAACAATTTCCTTGTTTTAAAACGTTTTTTCGCGAAATTATCAAAATAAAACCATTCACTTAGTAATTTTTGTGTGTGCCAGTTGGTAATAGCTTAAGGCTGGCGCGCACCGTTCAATATTATTGATGGGTCGCTGTCATTTTATATTTGACGTATTTTTGTAATTGTGACATTTCGTCCGGAAGCATCGTTTGTTGCAAATTATTATAAATAATATTATACATTATGTTTATAAGATTATATCCCTGGATTGTGCAAACAATGATATAAGGCTTGTTGGCAACTAGCCGTTATTAGATTTCGAAGACATTGCGCCCTTAATAATAAATTTGGGGAAATAATCAGACTTCAATTCTGACCTGGTTTGCTCTGATGACAAGGACGACTGGTATTTTATTATTTTTGTGTTTCTGATAATTTAGTATTTTTTTGTTATGTGCATATGTAATAAAAATTTAATAAACTCCGTTTGTTTTCTCTTTAAACAAATTTAATAAAAATTTGCCTGTAACAAACTCCTAATTAGTTAGTGCAGAAGATTATAACAAGGACGTTATAATTCCATCTTAATAACAGCCCCCACCGCTATAAACAGTCAACAATACACGAGCGTTAGATTGTGTCTGGGCACGTATGAATAGACCTTAACGCTGACGTCATATGCCGTTGATGACGTGCACCCATACAGATTTGGCCGCATAAAATATATTAAAAAAAAACATGTTAATCCTAAATTCGCCATTTATTATAAAAACACCCTGTATTAGTGCAACGAAAGTGGTTATAACAAAAACAGAAGTGGAAACATATGTCAGAAGTAAATTTTTGCGAAATTGTATGCGGAAGTCGATGCGGATGCGGAAGTATAAATACCATAAAATCCTTAAAACAGAAGCAGAAGCGGAAACACATGTCAAAAGTATTTTTTGCGGAAGCGGATGCGGAAGTCGATGCGGATGCGGAAGTATTAAAAAATTATTAACAGTAGGTACTTACTTCATGCTTCTCCCGGAGAAGGTGGTGCCGTTGCGGGCGACGCTGGCGTGCTCGCACGAAGCCACGCTGCTGCCGCCCAAGCTGGCAACGCTGCACGAATCGTCCCAATCCTCGGCTACCGAGTCGAAATCGGCCGACAGGTTGTTCGAGTGCGTTCGGCAACTGTCGGCTGGGGATCGGGGGGATCCCAACGAGTGCTGGACGTTTGGGGATCTGGGGCTATTTAGGCGTGTGTTGGACAGAGACAGAGACTGAAAGTAGATAGTACCTATAAGTTCATAGGAGTCTATGTGTGCGTGTTCTGCAACAACCATGCTCATTCTTTATTTTATTTGGCAGAATCTCTGAAAAATCTTTTGAACCTTGTATTTTTTTAAAACTTGACTTAAACTATAGGTAAAGGCAATATGCGAGATATGCAAATCTTTTAATTAGCACTAATTTATTTAAAATTATTGATTTATATAAGTTAATATTCTGACTAGGTTTACTGCAGTTTCTTAATTTTTTAAAGTACCTGCATATACGAGTATAAACACTTTACATTGTAAAATCATTTTACATAACAAATTTCACAATACTTTACATACATAAAAAGTGCATCGCACTTTTTATGTACGTGGGACCTGAACTAAATATTATATAAACAAATTTTCTCACGAAAAAAATTGAGTTAATTAGTTATTTTAAGACACCATTCAAGCATGGAATTTTATTCATTAAATTCGTGAACACAATATTTAAAATTGTTGTTAACTAACCTACACCATTTGTAACATTAAAAATGTACCTATGTAAAAGTAGGGCATTTATTGAATTAAATATAAGCTACTCGTATTTTGTCGTAATATTCTTTATCTACATCTATCTACGACTTATGAATCTTTTAGGTGACCTAGCTACACCACATTGAACTATTACCTTTACCATTTAGTAAAAACTAAAGAATCGATAGTTACTGTGTGCTATTATTAAATGCTTAAAAAACTTACATTTTGAAACATCAATATAAAAATTCACAAAATAAATCAAACCATAAACTCCACTTGATATTTTAAAACTGTTTGGCGTCGTAATATTATAATTTAAAAGTTATGCTTGATTTAAATCCTAGACAAGTGAAGCGTACCTGCATGGTTAATATTACCAAAGAACCTAACTACATGTTATCTAATGCAATTTTTATAACCTAAGCATAACAAAGTGGTTTAAAAAGTTTTATTTGTTAACATTTTAAAATTAATTTAAAATGTGTTTTTGACTTTCTAGAAAGTGTTTATGAAATTTTATATATGTTTTTTCTACATTCTGAATTGTTTTATTAATATTTTAAAATTTGCCCTTGGGCATTCCAAAATGTGTTTTGGTAGACATATTATAAAATGTTTTACATTCTCAATTGTGTTTTTCAAATTCTTAAATATGTTTTTATGACATAAAATGTTGTATCATTCTAAAATTGGCTTTTGATATTGTCAATTGTGTAAAATAAGATTTTAAAATTGCTTTAAAATGTGTTTTTAACATTCTAGATTGTGTTAATGCATTTTAAATATTGTTTTTGCATTATAAATTGTTTTAACAACAAATTTGCTTTCGGGTATTCTAAAATGTGTTTTATAGAAATATTATAAAATGTTTGACATTCTCAATTGTGTAAAATAAGTTTTTAACTTTTTAAAAATGATTTAAAACGTGTTTTGGACATTCTAAAATGTGTTTATGACATTTTTATGTTTTTTTTACATTTTGAATTGTTTATTAATACTTTAAAATTTGCTTTCAGGCATTTCAAAATGTGTTTTGTAAGAAATATTATAAAATGTTTGACATTCTCAATTGTGTTGATCACATTCTTCAATATGTTTTTTATGACATTTTAAAACGTGTTGTATTATTCTAAAATTGGCTTTTGATATTGTCAATTGTGTAAAATAAGTTCCGAATTGTTTTATTATTATTTTAAAATTTGCTTTCGGGAATTCCAAAATGTGTTTTCTTTGAAATATTGTAAAATGTTTGACATTCTCATTTGTGTTTTTCACATTCCTTTTATGACATTTAAAAACGTGTTGTATCATTCTAAAATTTGGTTTTGATATTGTAAATTGTGTAACTTTTTAAAATTAATTTAAAATGTGTTTTTACATTCTAAATTGTTTTATTAATATTTTAAAATTTACCTTCGGGCATTGCAAAATGTGTTTTGTTGCAAATATTATAAAATGTTTAACATTCTCAATTGTGTTTTTTATATTCTTAAAAATGTTTTAATGACATAAAATGTGTTATCATTCTAAATTATTTTTTTTTGATATTGTCAATAATTATTGTGTAAAATAAGATTGTAACTTTTTGAAATTGATTTAAAATGTGTTTGGGTCATTCTAGAATGTGATTATGACATTTTATATATGTGTTTTTACATTCTAAATTGTTTTATCAATACTTGCTTTCGGGCCTTTAAAAATGGGTTATGTTAGAAATATAAAATGTTTGACATTCTCAATTGTGTTTTTGACATTCTGATATATGTAGTCAATTGTGTAAAATAGGATTTAAACATTTAAAAATTAATTTTAAATGTGTTTTTGACATTCTAGAATTTGTTTATGACATTTTAAGTGTGGTTTTGACATTCTGAATTGTTTTATTAAGATTTTAAAATTTTCTTTTGGGCATTCCAAAATGTGTTTTGTTAGAAATATTATAGAATGTTTGACATTCTCAATTGTGTTTTTGATATTATCAAATATGTTTTTAATAACATTTTAAAATGTTTTTAATATAGTCAATTGTGTAAAATAGGATTTTAACATTTAAAAATTGATTTAAAATGTGTTTATTACACTATAATTTTTGTATGACATTTTAACTGTGGTTTTGACATTCTAAATTCATTTATTAAGGATTTTAAAATTTGCTTTCGGTCATTCCAAAATGTGTTTTTGATATAGTCAATTGTGTTAAATAGGAGTTTTACATTTAAATATTGATTTAAAATGTGTTTTTACATTCTATATTTTTGTTTATAGCATTTTAAGTGGGCTTTTGACATTCTAAATTGTTTTATTACTTTGACTTTCTCAAATATGATTTTTATGACATTTTAAAACGTGTTGTATCATTCTAAAATTGGCTTTTGATATTGTCAATTGTGTAAAATAGGATTTTAACATTTAAAATTTGCTTTAAAATGTGTTTTTGACATTCTAGAATGTGTTTATGACATTTGAAGTGAGGTTTTTACATTCTAAATTGTTTTATTAATATTTCAAATTCTAAAATGTGTTTTTTAGACATTATCAATTGTGTTTTTCAGTCTCAAATATATGTTTAATGACATTTTAAAATATGTTTTTTATCATTTCAAAATTTGATATTCTAAATTGTGTTTTTAATATTAAAATTTTTTTTTTTGAATTTTAAGATTAATTTAAAATGTGTTTTAACAATTATTGTTAATATAATCACTATAGAAAATATTACTTAGCGATCAAATGTATGTAGACAAACATGCAGGAAGTAAATTAATCAATTTTTATAAATTATAATTATTAAGTAAGTAATAGTATAAAAAATTACCTTTTTAAATTGGAGAAACTTATATTAAAAATACAGGGAAGTAAAGAAATAATTAGGTAACTAGGTTAAGTCAAAAATCCTGCTCCTTGCAGGAGTCTGATAAATTCTTATAAATATATCAAACTATAAAAATGTACGTTTGTATATTCCTGCTACAAATAAGCAAAAAAACATCCGGCAGGAGCAGTCAAAACATAAATAAAACTAAATGCACACTCACCAAACTTCTGATCCTTGCAGGACTCTGCTGGGTCAGCTGTCTCACTCCCGGAACACTTCCGTTGGCACGTTGCTGCCCGGTTTTCAACGACTGCGGCCCAACGGGCACAAGTCCAAACTTTTTCTCGCCCTTTTCCATAAAGGACCTGCCCCTATGCAGAGGGCTCCCGCCTGCTAACTGACTTCCTGCCGAAAACTCGGCAGCGTTCTCGTCCTGCTGCTGGCCGCGCCGTTGCCAGCTTTCCGCGCCGCTGTCTCCTGCAACACAGAGTTACCGGTGTCGATTGGGGGGAGCGGTGTTGCCATGTTAGGCGGTAGGGTGGGTTTTTAACCTATTAAGTTGCCATCCTTTAGGGGGATGAACATTTTTGTATTAGAACTACTGTTTTTTAATACAAAAAATATGAAACTTTTTTGACAAAACTAGCCACTGGATGTCACTGACCTATCCCTGATAGCACACTTTATTCTAAGAATGTTTTTTAAACCTTCCAGTGAGAATATTCTTAGGATCATGCTATATTTCTTCTAAAGAACATGCTTAAAAGAAATATAGCATGTCCTAAGAATATTCTTACTGGCTTATAGGCAGGTTCTTAGAAGGTGCAACGTTTTAATGGTAAAATTAGTCTACTCTAAACATATGCTTATAATGTTAAGAAAGTAATTGCTATAGAAAGTTCATTTCGGAATATTCCTATTAAGCATATTTAGTTCAGTTACCTATATAATAGTAAAATATACCATACTAAAAATCACAATCCAAAATATTTTTTTATAGTTATTGTTCAAATTAAAACAATATTCGATAACAAAAATACTTTTACTATAGGTATTTTATTTTATGTTAAAAATAAATATTTATTAATTTGAATACCAATTTTTTATTTCGGAATTAACATTTTTATGTATAATAATCCTAACTATCTTCAACTTCAATCTAATCTGACTTATCCCACAAAATTTTCCAATTTTACTTTTTATGAAATAATGTCATAAAACTTAATCTTAGAGGTCAAATTGTTTATTTAATATTTTTAAATAAATATATATTAATATGTCGCAAAATTTAAGGGGACGACAAATACATTTCACTGTCATATTATGACAGTGAGGCCAGGGCTCCCAGCAGGTAGTTTTTTTAAAGACTTGTCTATATTTTTGTCTTAAGTCTATAAAAGTCTATTTTTTTACCTAAAGTCTATAAAGTCTATATTTTCTGTTAAAATCAACTATTAAAAAATATTTTTTTTAAATATAAATATTCACAGTTTTATAAATATCGAAACCACAGTAAACCAAGTGATACATTCGAAAACTTCGCAGTTTACATTTAAAGTTCCTGCCGTCCAGACCCGAACCGCCCGCCAATATTATTGCTGAATTGTTTCTGGTTTGGTCTAGGGTTTCGTTTACGTTTATAGTTTCGGTTCGCTAGGTTAACACTACCTATACAGGGTGCCCGGAAAAATGTGGGAAATATCTCGGATTCAGATAGAATATGAAAAAATAAGATGACACATTCCTATAAAAAAATTTCCTACTGGCCCTCCTTACGGAGACATGGGCCCCGAAAGGACGCCCCTGCAAATTGGTTTTCCATGAATAACTTTTAAAGTATTGAATATAATTTAATAAAAATTTAATATGATGGACCCTTGTAGGGACCTCTTAAAGTAGTGTTCTTGAAACCTGTTTTACTTTTTTTGTTTACCAGGGGCGGACTAAGTTTTACACCTTAATGCTTAAATTTTGAAAACCCCGTATGTAAAGACTTAAAAAAACTAAATTTGCGTAGCGTGAACCTTAAACTAAAATAAAGGTACTCTTGTTTATTGTCAATAAAATAAACCGTTTTCGAGAAAAAGAATAATAAACGAATTATTGTTTTATATTAAATAAAAAAACCGTTTTCGGGAAAAGGAATAATAAACGAATTATTGTTTTATTTTTAATAAAAAAGACCATGAAGAACGTATTGTTGCAAACAAATAAAAATGTTAAAATATGTATGGCTCAACTAATGTTTGAAGGGGTGAACCATCCCAAAAAAGAAGCGGGGAAAGTAACTTACAAGATTAGTCGTCTTGCCCAAGATTTAGAAAAACGAAAGGCGAAAATTATAGATCAGCTGCAGCCCACCAAAAAAAATATAACCCATTAAATGACTGATGCCAGTGCCTTTTATATAAATGTGATTCTATTTATTATAAGTTATAATTTATTACAAAATTTAATATTTTTTATGTATTTTATATCAGTTATGGTTACTTGTTAAATTTAATTCAATAAAAATTTATAATTTCAAGTTATCTCTATATATTTTAAATTCAAATTTAGATCTTTTATCCCAAAAAAATGTATACCGAAATAACTATAAAATGGCCATTTTATAGTTATTTCGGTAATTAATTTGGTCTGTATTTGGTCGTTTATTTTCTATTAAGTCACTATTTCTCGCAACATGGACTGCTGGGAGCCCTGCAGTGAGGCGTATTTGTCTTCTGAAGAATTTTACGAATGTAGAATACAACATATTAGAACGTGGGTATACCCAGATATATTTGACATATTTAGAAAAATTCTCAAAAGCTTCCTAGAAGCTCCATAAGAAACCTTCTAAGAACATTCCAAAAACGTATTCTTAAAATGTTCTTAGGATGCTTTTTAGGAAGGTTTTAAGAAGCTTTTAAGAATCTAATTGCAGCATTAAAATGGTATCTATTGAATGTTTTAAAAGTCCCTAAGAACATTCTTAGCAATAAGGGAAGGTTCCAAGAATATTCCATTATTCCGGGTCATATCTTCATAGAAGATTCTTAAAATCAAATTTTGCTATCAGGGATCCTATATATCATAATTGTTTTTACCTCTAAAAACAATGATTTTATTCATCCAAGCAACATGCTGGGGCTACATGGACAGTTTAGTGTACCAGAGCGAAGTTGATACATTAGAACAACTCCGCAAACTTGTCACTGCAGAGGCAAATCCGAAATCATCCGGATATGATAGCAAGAGCGACACATCATAATTTTCTACGCCGCTGTCAACTTTGTGTGGATAATAACGGCGGGATAGTTGAACATTTATTATGAATTTGTGGAACACTTAAAAAATAGCTACATGAGCATCAATCGACGTAAAAAGTGAAAGGTGACATTTAAAATCGACGGGAAAACCACGGAAACTTCGAAATAGCTGAGTATGCAGTAATGCAGTAATCAATGATAACTCAAATGTAAATTTTTAATGAATGTAGATTATTTCCCACTGTGCAAGCGTATTTTGCGTCAGTTGTCTTAGGTCAGGAAAAACCAGTGGCGGCCAAAATTTCTACTTTACAAATTTTAATGATTTTTTTTATTAAAAAATGGCACTTATGCAAAAAAATCCCTTGAAGGATGACAACTTATTTGGTGACACCCTTTATATGTTTTTTTTTCAGATTGTTTTTTTTAATTACCTAATTTTTATATGAAAATATTAATTTATAATTTAATACTCAAATACAATCTTTGACAAATAAAATGACATTCTTAATTGTGTTGTTGACATTCTAAACTGTGTTTTGTCAATTTCTAATATTTGATGAAAGTTTTAACAAAACATAAATACAAGAAATTAACCTAAAAATAAAAACCCAATAGATTTTCATACCATTTATATTTGTGAAGGGATTTTCTCCGCTGAGTCTTAGGCTCCCGCAACGGCGTAAAGGGGTGGGGCTTGGTAGGGGTATCCTGGAGTATTCCGGTGATTTTCCGGGCAACGTGGCTTTTTGTTGGGCGGAAAACATGTTTGCGCTCATTTTTAAAAGTCATCTGAAAGTAAAAACGTTTTTTTATATATTTGTATATTATAATACCCTATGGGGTGATTTGTTTGCACTCCCAAGCAAAATATTTAAGTATAAATCAAGAAAAAATTGCCTACAATATTATTTTTTGCCTTTTACAACAGAACGGTTAAAGATACAGGTAAAAAAGATTATAGGTATGCATTTATTTAATAAAATGCATAGTTTAAAAAATTTAATAAATTAAACTCAAATTTTAATAGTAAACCGTAAAAATTACTAAATGCTCTATACATACAGTAAAAACTGTAAAAAATCTTTAAAACACCTTTATTAATCTATAAAATTTTAGATTAAGTAAATAAAAAATATGCTGTGAAACATCGTATTTTTTTTAGTATACCCTTAAAATTTTGTACAAATCAAATGAACAGTAACGAAGCTACAGATATTGTCGTCAAAAATGAGCACTTTTCAGCAAAATAATCAAAAAGGGGCAATTTTTACCGACTTTGAAGCGCTGTATCTTCGTTACTGTTTGTTTGGTTTGTACAAAATTTTCAGGGTATACTAACATAAATAGGGGTTTTGACAGCATATTTTTTTTATTAAAAAAAAAAATCCTAAAAGTTATTTTTCGAAGATTTTTTCGTAAGTAATATCATAAGGGCATCTAATTTTTCCGAAAAATATCGAAAAAACACGTTGCTAAGTAATATTTTAACAAAAAGCATGAGTGCTGGTGGCAATAAAAATCCGAGTCGAAGAGGAGGATTTTTGCACCTGCACGAATGCATTTTGTTAAAAAAATATTACTTAGCATTGTGTTTTTTCGATTTTTTTCACAGGAAAAATTAGATGCCCGAATGGTATTTGACAAGACTATTTCATGAGTAACAGTTAACAATTAAAATATAAATTGCAATTTTTGGTGACAACAGCTGTCAAGTTTTGCCGCAGGTAAACTCGAAAAAACTGCTGAAAGGTGCTGTCACACAGTTTTTTCACCTAGAAACCATTTGTAATTCAAAATTGCGCGTTTGTGATTGGTGGAAATTAAGACGAGGGAAATAGTCATTATTAAATAAAAGGGCTTTAAAAATATTTTCTCGAAAAACCCTCGAATACGTAAACTGAGATATAAGTAGAAGTATTTTTATTCAAAATTTCATAAAAATTAATAAAAGCGTTTTAGAGTTACATTTTTTTTACAGTTGTTGCCTTAATTATGGCCGATACTATACATTTTATGGCATTAATGCATAAAACTATTTTTCTAGAAAATTAAATTTCCTATAAAAATATTTTTTACTTTTTACCTGTAACTTTAACCGTTTTGTCGTAAAACAACGTAAGACTAGTACGTTTATCAATATTTGACAGTAAAATTAAGTGAATGCTCTATATCTGTGCTATGCATTTTATTGCATTAATGGACCTTTTTTGTAGAAAATTGAATTAACTATAAACATGTATTAACTTTTTATCTGTAACCTTAACCGTTTTGCCTTAAAACAACATAGGACGAATTAATTTATCAATATATGACACTAAAATTAATTAAATTCTCTATATCTTTCAAATTATACATTTTATTGCATTAATGCATAAAACTATTTTTGTAGTAAATTAAATTTCCTATTTCTAAAATTAGTTTTAATTAGTGCAATTTATTAAATGCTCTATATCTTTTAAACTATGCATTTTATTGCATAAAGGCATAATACCTTTTTGTAGGAAATTTAATTTTCTACTTTTTACCTGTAACTTTAACCGTTTTGCCGTAAAATGCAAAAATACTATACAGGTCTAAATATATTAATTGCATTAAAATTGTTGCAAGTGCTTTAAAATCAAAATATTAAAATGAGTACTGAAACTTTAAAGGCATATTTTGCTTGGTCAGTAACAACAAGTAAATTACCCTAGTATAGTATACTAAGTATACGGTATACTGTATACCTAAAAAGTCTTAAAAATCATGGAATAACAAAAACACATTTAAAGATTCAAAACTAATATATTTCTTTTAATTTGAAACTAAAAATTTGTTTCATTTATGAGATTTTAGCCAAATTTTATTATTAAAATAAAATTAATAAGATTTCCCAAAGCGTAATACTTTTTTAATTAAAAAATCTGACTAACAATGTTGTTTTAAAAACTTGATCAAAATTTATTGCACACGCGTAACTACTAACTATCTTTACTGTTTCTTTACTGAAAATTAAAATTAAGCACCTTACCACACTCAATCTTACCACCGAAAACTCGTTATCATTTGGCCACCCTGTATAGTATTTTAAATAAGCAATAGTCATCTCATAAAATATACAATATTAGGAAATCCTGTTTTTCTGCAATTTCCTTTAACTTTCCTACACACGTACAACACGTTTTTGCTTTCTTTTCCACCAACAACCATATGATTTATTATTAAATTATAAATATACCATAAAAGAATTTATTTTTGTAAGTAATTGTGAACGCAATTGGAAAAAAAATCAAACACTTTCACCACATTTGTAACTGGAACGTGATTATAATAAATAAATCGTAGTGACCATTGAGAAGTTTCAAAGGTTCCCATGATAATTATCGAATCGCTTCACTGAAAGCAAATCCACAATTTTTTCTCCCGATAAATGTTCATAAATTGTTTAAATTTTGCTTTGAAAGATTTGTTTAAGTCTAAAAGTGTATATATATATATTCGACATCTATACAACAATAGAGTAACCAAGTCAAATTTTCCTGTAAAACTCGAAAATTCTCGGCATAACGTCACAGCTTGTCAAAATACAAACAAAGTACAAACAAATATGAAATTTAATATAAATTTTATTTAAATAAAATTATATATTGTTTCTTTCGGTTATGTACAGTTAAAAAATTTTATGACGCAAAACATGATAAAAAGTTCATTAGAATAAAATTCAAAAATTACCAATACATATTTATTTATTTGATAAGCAATTTTTTATAAAAACAAAGTTTATTTAATTGTTATACTTAATTATTAGGAAATCATTTTTTTTGAAATTGAATATTTTATAAATAAAACCCTGAACTTTTTATTTAATTTCGGTACTAATTTTGCAATATCTTACGACCTTGGATATTACTTTTTACAACAACTTTTATTAAAACAAAATAAATACACAAACACAATATTCTATAAACGAAAAATTTAAAAAAAATGTTAACGTTAACGTTTCTGGGAATTAGATTGTGAACTGGTGTAGTAATTACTGCCCCAATTAAAATATTAATTAAATTCATTAAAACAATCACTTCCTATTACGATATTTTCTGTACATAAAACATGTACAGAAAATTTCATATAACGATCCCAACTTGAGAATACCTCGTGCACTAATACTACTTCGAGCTCCGTAACCAATTATTGCTAAAAAGTAAATGTAGTTTATTTATATTCTGTTTTTTACATACAACAATTGTGAGCTAGTTTTATAAAAGATTATTTATAATTATATAATAGTTGTTAGGTTACCACGCCTGCTATTTCAGTAGATTGTCTATAGATTAATTTATTACAAATCAATAATTAATTTTATCTCCACGCGTTCTATAATTTAAACTTTATTGTTGTCAACATTCGATAAAGAAATACCTTGTTATGGCCTAGGCCGATAAAAATTTTTATGAGGCAAGTAATTAGTTCGATTTTTTCTCGCTAGGGGTATTGTTTTGACAAATTAATCCTTTTCTAAGAAATTAACGTACTAAACTGGTTTAATTTATTTATAATAAGCACTAATTTGTTTGTTTTACTGTTTTACTGTTTATTATTTTTCATTAAATAATTGTAAAATTAAATATGAATAATAATACAAAAAGTGAGGTTAGGACATTGCAATTTGACGTTTCTGTCGATTTCACAGTTGTGTTTTCTTTTTCTACGGTTTAAATTATCTTTAAGTTTTAATTTGCTTTAAGTTTTCAGTGAAATTAAATGTTAAACACAGCATAAACATTCCAAACTACCTATTTATTTTAATAAAAATGCAAACAAATTGAAATTAGACCTATTTATTAAACAATTAATTGAATTCAATGTAATAGCAAGGGTAAGTAAACCATTTTCTTACAAAAATCCATTTCTACTTAAATCATGTTGCTAGGTATTGTCAAACTATTACTGCTTCTAAAAGCAATAATAATTATTGTACATTTAATGTAATCTTTAGCTAATAAATAAATGAGATTTAAAAAAAGTGAGGTTAGGCCGCTTTCATGTTGAATTAAATTGACCTATATAAAGTGCTTTGAAGATAAAATGTTGTATGCCATTCGGCCAAGAAGTGTCTTTTTGTGCTTCGCTCAATTGTAGGCCTCCGCTACGCGTCGGCCTTCAAACTTTGAGCTTAGCACAAAAAGCCTTACTTCTTAACCTAATGACATAAATAACTATTTATTTTGCGTGTACAGTTAACTTTATATGCATTTAGGTATCTATAGATAGTTATAACTATTAAATGCATGATTTATTTTACTACATTATATTTAATTATTTTTTATTAAATTATATTTACCTAACTGTATTTACATATACAGGGTGTTTCCGAATTCCATCCAATTAAGGGGTAATTTTTAATTCAAATTCATGGACTATAAAAACACTTGTATTTGTGTTTTAAAATTTCAGTAAGTAGGTAAGTAAAGTGTTTAAATATAAAGAAATTTAAACTGTGTTATTAAAACACTTTCTAAACAAACAATTAAAAACTTATCTTATCTTTTATTAGGTAGGAACCTACCTAAGTAAAATATATTTTCATTATACTTAATTATAATTAAAAAATACATAATATGTAATATAGGTACCTATTACTTATAATATCGATAAAATAATAAATCAACTCACCTACTTTAAAAAACACACCATAACCACCAAATCACAACAAAATTAAAAACATTATCATCACTCCATACTGTTCAATTTCAAAATCACTTCAAATGTCACTGGAAAAACGCGCACAATAAATATATCAACGTAGGCTCAGCAAAACTTTGCGTCGTCTATTGGTTTAAATTTGTCGGAACTGTCACTTCCCCTCCTTTCGATTTTCAAATGTTTTGCACGGCATATTCCTTTTTGTGTTTTTCTTACTTTAAACTCTCTTTTTTAATGATAATGTACGTATAATGAAAGCTAGCGCAATGGTGTGTGACATAACAGAGATTATTATTTTGTAATTATTGGTGTTAGTGAGTGCGGGCTGTGCGGCGAAATGCTAACTGGGTTGCATAACTTATCTGATAAGGTAAACATTTTACGTTTTATAATATTTACTTGATGTCCTAACATTTGTTTTAAGCCTCGACCAATGCATAACGTTTAAATTTGCTTTAATTCTTAAATATATTTTAATAAATAGTTTTTTCATTTGAAGGGTTTGATCAGAGATAAAGAGGAGCCTACACAAGGAGCCCGAACTTAAAAGGGGAAATTGACAAAACCTGCCCTCTAAATTGCACAAATTAAGTTTTTTTTTCACCACCAGCGGCGCTGATTGTCAATGCGTACTGACCGTCAGTAACTGACGTTTGCTCTTTTGGTAGCGTTTCGGTGCAAATTATGCAAGGAATGCGGTCGATGTTGCCAATGGTAAAAAAATAAAATTCCCCATTGGGAACATTCAATTATATCACGTTGGCTACATTGAAAATTTGAATTTCCCGCACAAACTAAATTAATTTCCATCTTTTTTTTTTAATAATAAATAATAATAATTCCCACGTTTGAAATTCGCACCTTAATTTATTATACAACATTGGAACTACCTTCTTTATCTCTGGGAACTACTAGAATGTATGTCAGTGTGTGCGGGAAATTCAAAATTTCAGTGTAGCCAACGTAATATAATTATATTATATAATTATAATTGAATGTTCCCAATAGGGAATTTTATTTTTTTACCATTGGCAACATTGACCGCATTCCTTGCATATGGTCAATTGTTTCAGAACAAACGGAACACCAGCGCCCTCTTATCTTAGGAAGATTCTTGTTTACATAAAGTTCGGACTCCTTGTGTAGACTCCATGGGTTTGATAAATAAATAACAGTTGGCCGTTACAGCAAATTCTTTATTACTAATTAGGTAACGTATCAGTAGAAACTAAAAACAACATAAAAAGTAAATAGGAAGGTATTTTTGACTTCCACTGTATACTAATGTAATTACCAATTCCATTAGTTTTCGGTTTGAGTGTTTATATCTATCTTTATCTAATCTATGGTTTATATTCTGTGTTTATGTTTTCTTAATTTAAAGTTCTTTTAGATTTGAAGTGTTTATTTGGTAGATATCGTTCGTTTTTTCTTGGGGCCGTTTCTTTAATTTATGGGTTTAGTCTTAGTAGTTTCTTATTGATAGATTTATTGTCCTAGTCAGCTTTCCTGTGACCGAGTTAAGAGTTGGGGCGGTTTTGTTTTGTTTCTTGTTGTTGTTGTTTTGTTACTATTTTCTTAATGTTACTAGTGCATTTTGTTTATTTTTATTTATTTTTTTTTGTTATTTTTTTGGTTATTTTTGTTAGTGCCTCATTTAGGGTTTTTCAAGATACCTGTCATGGTGGCAAATAATACATTAGGTCATGCAGATGTTTAAGGTTACTTATCGAGAATTGAAAATTGGCCATTCCTCCCTTGTTTGTCTCGTGAAAAGCATCAAAGGTGTCACTCTACACCTCCACTTCATGACATCCCTGGTCTATAAACACACTAGGTGCCACACTACAGATTGTTTGGACTTTATAAACAATCATTGCGAGCTTTGCTGTTTGTAAGTTTCAAGACACGGCAAGATGCGACTAACTTTGACGAGTACTCGAACGTGACTCAACATAAACAGTAAATAGGAAACAAAAAAATTTGTTAATTTGTTGTTATATTGGCAAAATTCAGTTTTAATCAAACTTTTGTGTTTCTTAAGTTGGCAGCACGAAACTTGAAATAACCATTTTAAAATGCTGTTTTTTGAGATTTATTTTTAAATAAATGGGTTCTTAAATAAAATGGATGTTTGTAAACTTTATTTTTTATTGTTATTTAACAAAAAAAACTTCTTTAGAAGTATAATACATAATATTAATACATATGGATATAGGGATCACAGATCAAAATCTTTATTGTCATTTTATCATAATTTAAACCTACATAAGTATATTTCGCATTTATGCATTCAGAATGCACTCAGAGTCTAAAAAATACAATTATTTGTAAATTTCCTCAAAATTTCATAAATGATTCATTCATTGATTTTGACCCTTAGGTACTCGATATATGAATGAAATCCGGGAAAGTTTTTTTGATTAAAATCTCATTGGTATTTAGTCTTTATAAGTAATGAAAAAAAACTAGGTAGTATTTTTTTTCTCTTCGTTCTGTATCATGTGGAGTTGTAGCTTCTCCAGCCAACTTCTGGGGTTATAGGATGGTTGTTCCCCGCCCATTTCGGCCGGTAAAATATCTCTATGGACGTGTTCGTGCAACGTACTCAAATTATTACCGTGGACGTACATTCTATCTTTGATTTTTTCCTTTAGAAAGGGTTTTATTACCGTTAGAGCCGCCTCCACGTACCTAGAAATAGATGTGTTAGAGAATTGGTCTCATCGGAGAACTACGGCAACACAGTAAACAGTCAGCGCCATCTACCTTCCAGAACCTAAAGCTCTTACCAAGGTTGTCCTATGAAGTGTATTCCTTTAAATCTGGCGGGATAGCAGTCCTGCAGTCCTTCAATCATCAGCCTTAGAGCGCCAGGTTTCAAATGGGTCACCTGTCTAAAAGTGAACTCGGTCCAGTCGACTATCACTACGAATCCGTTTGCTTGGTTGGGAGTATCTTTTATCAGGTGTTCTAAACTAAATAGCAGCGCCCTGTATATGCTGATTATTGTGTAGTTGCTGCAGTCCCAGTTGCTGGCGTTAAATACAAAAACCGAACGGCCTTTTCTGTCTTTTGAAGGTAACACTCCTAAAGATAGTAAACTATGTTTAATTAAATCTCTTTTTCTACAACCAACACTTAATCTAACTATATATTTTTTGTTTTATTCGCCCCAATACAGGGGTTATTTAAATAAAAATACATTAGGAAAAACCGAAAGGAACAGCCGGAAAATCAAAAAAATCGAAATTCGTACAACTTTGAATTAATTTGAATAGATGGCGTTCGTAGCTGCGCTTCAAATTAAATAACTATTAAACTCGGAAATGGCTCAACCGATTGAAATATGTTTTTGTTTTTTTCTGTTCACCTTAATACAGGGGTGATTTAAATAGAAAAAACCGAAAGGAACAGCCGGAAAATCAAAATTCGTACAACTTTAGATTAATTTGAATATATGGGTGATTCTCCAGAACGGAGCAAATATGCTGAAACTCTTAAATAAAATATACTAATGAAAGTAGTTAGCATTTAAATAACACTACAATAGACAGTTTATGTCTAGCAGTAGAACGTACTTAACCAAAAAAATAAAACATTATTTATTTTATTAATTTGAATTTGCTTAAACGCTTTAAAGTCAACTCCATGGACTGTCACCACCTAGCGTAGGGACAACAAATCATCCATATACTATTAGACTAGATGCAATTGTGAAATGATTCTTTCATATTGCATTTCCTCTAACTTGGAATGTATAAAAAAACACAACCAAAAGCAAACTTATTGATATTTTAACCCAAAATGTCGAATAAAGCATGAGACACCATTTTACAGCCAAGTTCTATGCAGTCTTTTAATATATGATAAATTCCCTGTATAAAACGTATTTTAGTAATGTTTGAAGAATTCGTCGTTTGAGTGATTTAGTGTTGATTTGTGTAAACAAGGAAAAGGGGGTGTAATATTTAATAAAAATAAATAAAGAACAATTATTTGCGAAAAAACGGGTAAGTATTTTTATTAAAGATCAACTCCATGTCTTTAATAACAAAGGGATTTAAATACAATTGAAATTTAAACTTTCTCCAGGTGAAATAACCAAATATGCTTTGCTTAAATTACAGTTAACTAAAGATACATTATGTACCATTTTCTAAAGTTTGTGACTTTAACTATAAAAACATCAACTCCATGGACATCAACTCCATGGAGTTAAAAGGTATGTCCATGGAGTTGTTTACTTTCTTATTATTGCCCTAAACTCTTAGCTCATATAAGTTAAGGCATTATTAACGATAATTAATAATATATAGTTAAATTATAATAAATTTAATTTAATTATTCTTTAAAAAAATTCTCTAATAGTATTATTATTATAACTATATACAGCATATACATATAGAGATGAAATGGATAGTTGTTTGGCCAGACACCGGATCCCGAATATCCGGCAAGAATCGAAGCCGGATATCCGGCAGTTGAAAGATCGAATTTTGTTTCCTTTATTTGCATTTTTAAGAATAATATTATTGTATTTAAATAAAAGTATTAATAGTATATTAAAGTACAAGTGGCGAAAGGCACTGTTTTCCCGCACGAGTCCGAAATTACGGCACGAGACGCGAAGCGTGCGAGTGCCGTAAAGGACGAGTAGAGTGCGGAAATGTCTTTCGCCACGAGTGCTTTATACTATTTTTTCTATTTCCGTTAATTTCTATTAGTTAGTTATGGATTAGGAAATTTTTATGTTAAAAATCATTTGCAAACATTTGCTAAAAGATGGTTCTTTTCTGACATCTATTCAGATTCAGATTCAGAAGATGATTTGCCGTTATCTTATCTAATTCAGAAATCAACAGAACAGGCAATACAAGGTTAGATTTGTTGTTTTTATGTTATTGTGTCAACTCCATGGTTCAGAACGTCAACTCCATGGACTCATTTATTTTTTGTTAAATAATAGAAAAGTATTAAGTTTAATTTATAGCCGCCTTGAAATTACTTTATGTTATAATGTTAATATATTAAGAAATACACATTGAGGTATTATTTTGTTATTGTTTTATTAATCTTTGCTTTTTATTTTTTACCACCCCAATTTATCCCCGTTTTGGATATTCACCCATATAGCGTTCGTAGCTTCGCTTCAAATTAATGAAAAAAAATAACCACAAATTCATTCATTCAATTGTTTTAGCGAGAAATTAGTAAAGTTCTCAATTGTTTAAATAAGTTTAAATAGTAAAGTTCTCAAGGTAAGTTTGACAGATTTGAGCGGCTGTGAAAACAATTCCGTGTCGTTTTACAATGTTCAATGAATTGGAGTTGAAAGGTTCATAAGGATTGATAATCGCTTATAAAGAATTTTAGGTGAATCGAAGTTCAGGGGGTCATCTAGTCATAATAATAAAAATGTTTTCTCACCTGGCAATCCGTTTTCTAAGGCCTTTACTATATCGAGAGCTTGTAGGTTAAAATTCTGAAACAAGTCCATGTTTCTTTTTCGGTAGTAATAGAAGTTTTTCAACAAATCGAAGGATTCTTGTACGTCAAATTTTCTGGCGTACAGAAATTTTAAAAGAGTACTGTCGTCTTGGGGTGCATTGTTCCTTAATTCGAGGTCTTCACATTGCCTAAGCATTTTTCTAAGTCCTAAAAAAGTTGTAGTTTGGAGATTTTATTATTATTATTATTATTTTTAAGAAATTTCGGCTAATTTTTGACATTAATTTACCTAAAACGGATTTGTTCCTGTCAAAAATCTCTTTTGTTTGTGGAACGGTTTTTAGAATTTCGTTTGATAGGACTCCAGTCCTCCAATCAAACTCCAAATAATCCGACATGGTCGGATTACGGGTGGTCCTGAAAAATAAAAATATTAATACAAATTAATAATTTCTATTAAAAAAGATGATGTTAAAAATGCTGTATAAGGGTTGTATTTTGTTAATAAATAAAATAAAAATCTAACCGGCTGATATTCATAATAAAAATTCCATAAAGCGCACACATTAAACAGTTTAAAACTGTAATAATCTAATCTGTGGACTGAACACATTGTAAAAGTGAAATTAAAATTTATACACTAATTATTTTTTACAGACAAACAATCTAAAGTAAAATATTGCTAAATTTATGACGAGTAAGTAAACAAATCATTTATGTTGTTTTGTATACCTCAGTACTTTTTAAATGCTATTAAAAACATTATAATCACTAAATTTGTAAATTTGTCTGAAAAACTTTTTAGTGAAAAAAATATGTGCAACAGGTTAACAATAAAGTATACAGTAAGCAGAGCTGGGCACGAGTACTAAAAAAAGTATTCGTAAAATTTTAAGTACGAGTACCTACTTAAAATATTTACATGTAAGTACCTAGTAGGTACTACCTACTTTACTCGTAAGTACATTTGTAAAGAGAGGTTACGGGTACGAGTAGTAATCGTGAAAACACGAGTACGAGTACTTTTGAAAAAAAAAGTTAGTTAATATGATTGATTATTCTTTAAGTATACATTATACATACTTTGGTCCTGAGCTATAAAAATACAAATACAAATTTATAATAGTTTATTGTGTATAAAGTTTGACAAACGCCATTTTAGGCACGAGCGAGCTTGCGAGCGAGTGCTTAAATTAATGCCTATAAAAGTTTATAAACGAGTTGCATACTATACTTTTTCTACAACAAATTCTTAAAATGATTTAAATTAAGTATTTGTATAGAGCGCCATCTGTAAAACAATAGGGGAATCTGTATTAATGTCAAATGTCAAATTTGTACCTATGTTTTATAAACATAGATAATAAATCAAAATGTATTCCTTGAAAATGGATTAAACAACAGCCTGACTTTAAGTTATATCTAGTTTACTGCCGGCGAAATTAAAAGTACAATGTTCATATTCTTTAAATATTGGCGTTGAGAAACTATTTAATGCTTTTGTATTTTTGTATTGAGATAATAAAATAACTTTAGATTATTTTAGAAGAAGGGCACTTTATTTTAACGATTGTATGAAATTTGACAACTGTCAAATAACTTAAAGCTAACTTCAGCCCATGACTAAAACGTTGTAAAGCCACAGCTTGTCAATGTGTATTTAAAAGGTCACTTAGTGACGTGGGATAATGAGCGTTTTAAAGATGGGAGTAGAAAAAGTTATTTATAACATACATAAAATAATAAATAAAAATAACAATTCTTAAATAGTTTATAATTTTACCTATATACTTGTTATAAAACCTATAGGCTATAATATATTATATTATACTACATTGAATTTGGTTTGTAAGTACGAGTATTAAGTTTCAAATGAAAAATATTTATGAGTAAAAAACTACTCGTACTTTTTTACTCGTAATTGAAATACAAGTAAAAGTACTCTGTACTTGGCCAGCTCTGCTGACAGAAGTACCACAAAAAAATATGTTTTTTTTATAAAAAAAACATCTTTTTTTAATTTATTTTACTCAAGGTGCATTATATTTAATTTTGTAATTAATTTGATAAGTCAGCTTTCTCCAATGACCTAACCTAAACTCATTTCCTATAACGTGATACCTACTAAAAAGACGAGTTGATAATTAAAATTTAAACCACCTTTAGAAATTAGACCACATCATTAGTGGAATTGGTAGGCAATAGAAAAACATTAAGACAGCCTGCTTCGGAAATATCGTTATTTTGTCAGTGGAGTAAATGTATTCTCGAAATTTAGGTAATTTTGAAAAAAATCGTAATTTTTCGAAATTATTTTGTTATCGTAATGTTTGTGAATTTTTGAAGTCCCGAATCAAATTAATAGTCAAATATTTACCAATATTCAGTGTCCATTTTGCACAAAACATAAATTCGTAGATTTGCTATTGGAAATGTCTGTTAGATACTAAATAATAAATCAATCATTCAATGTGTTCATAGATTAGATAAAAAAGATAACAAGGTTTTTCGTCGTCATTTTAATAAAAAAAAATTGGCAATGGAAGTTATTTGAAAATGTATGTTCATCCTAAAGGAAGACCCATGTCCTTAAAAACTACTTACAAATAGTAGAAACGGGAAATCCATAACTTTTACATGTTAATTTTCATGACCCCTTTACCATTTCGAGTACATAATGTTTGTTTTATAGAGTGTAAAAACAGTTTTCTTTGAATTCATATTCCATGCAACATATAATACAATCAATTTACCTTGAAATGATACAGTAAACCACAATGGATTGTGCAGTAAACATTATACAGTGTCTAAGTAACTTTTTATAAAATTGATCAAAATTGAAAATGCCAAATAAAAAGTTGTTATATCAAAATATATGAAAACAATGTTTCTGCATTTAGTTCCTAAAAAGATATATGGCGCCAAAGTCAACATTGTTTTCAAATATTTTGATATAACAACTTTTTATTTATATATATATACACAAAATGTTGAAGATTTAAAGCTCTATATTTTTTGTTTTAACACTTCCTATCAAAATGCATTTTGATAGGAAGTTTATTGTCGCCTGTATATAATTTATACCTACACTGTTAAGGAAGTCGATAAGTCTTTGTTAGAATACCTAATAAAAATATCCAGGGCCGGATATCATAAAAATAACATATTTCGAAAAAAATAAATTGTGGTACTATGGGTGATTCCAGTGAAAGGTCTTGATATACTAAATGAACACAATATGGTGGTATAGTACACTACCAACATAATTACGAAGCATTTATTCGCTTTTTTTATGAAGAAAAGTTCCCAACATGGCGTCAAAAATGCTTTATAACGCCCAATAAACAATTTGTATTACTTATGGTAACGATAGGTTATATAAAAATGTTTTTAAAGTACACAAGGTTTAATAAAATCCCATTTAGTTTACGAGTTTTATAATTGTCATATAAGGTTACTGTAACCTCTGGGTATATAATTGTTTCTACAGACATTTTGTATAACCCACTAGATGACCCGGTAACAGTGGCGGCCCGTCAGGGGAGGCAGGTGAGGCAGTGCCTCATCATAGAGAATTAAAAAATTAAGTATAATTTAAATATTTTACTTTCTATAATATACTATAAATTTTTAATACTTGGATTACATGAATTGTAAAATAGTCAAAAAAATTGATTGATTTTATACGTGGAATACCCAGCAACATTTAAATTATTTGAATTTGAAACGACCGCAATTTAAACTAATATTTATAGATGATTGGCTCAGAAGCATGCCTGAACTAATTTAGACTCACGATTGGCGTTAGCCTTGTTGTCTCGTTCTATTACAATGCGATATCATAGTTGTCTCCTTCTCTCGTATTAGCATACGCGAGGCAGGCACGCCTACATCCAAGGAAATAAGCAGGTGTTGTGGCAACACTGTTGCGGAATTTTAGATAAATTATACTTCACACGTTATTCAAAATTCAATAATAAATGGTTTTATTTTTCTTATAATAAATCGATTTAATCGAAATTATATTTCTATTCTAAAATAAACATATTTTAACACTATCGCCATCTTGTAGCCATCACAGTAACCAATAAAATAAATACAGATTCCTTCTTTAGGTTTGTTTTGGTTATAAAATTCTGAACTGTTTAAAGAACAAATCTGTGGTTATTTACGCAATATTTTGTTTATTCTTTTTCTATGAGTTTGTCTATTTTATGATTCTTTTGTAAGTGGTTTATTCTGTGAGTTTAGTTAATTGAACTTGATTTATGTGAATTTAGTCATTATGGATATTACGGTGAGAAATTGTACCGATATTACACCTCTACACCCCTACACCTTCACGTGGTTCTTGCTGAGCAATGAAATATTAATTAGACAAAAATGAGGTTTATTTAAAATAAACGTCATTTTTACAATAAAATATATTTCACTGACAAAGTAGATGATTCCTTCCCCACCACAGTCCAAGTTTTTTACTTAGTTTTAAGTAAAGGTTGTAAACTGCGACGTCAGTTTTTTTAAGTTGGGTTTAAAAAAATTTCTTCGCCTTTAAATGAGGGCGAAACCCTGCCTCTGCCTCACCAAAATGAAATGTCACGGGCCGCCACTGCCCGGTAAACTTCGTTCCATCTAAAATTCTTTAAAAGCGATTATCAATCCTTATGAACCTTTCAACTCCAATTTATTGAACATTGTAAACTATAGTTATAAATTATAATTTAAACAATTGAGAACTTTACTATTTAAAATATTTCTCGATAAAACAGTTGAATGAATGAATTTGTGGTTATGGAGTTTAAAAGTGTTACCATGTGTTACCATGTGTTGCAACACATATATATATATATATATATATATATATTTGTATATACTTTTCTAGAATTTTAAAGAATTGCTGGTGGGGATCTTAATATGGTGACGCCATGATCTTAATATATCAAATCCGGTCCTGTAAGTTTCTATAGGTTTAGATATAACAATCCATACAATTAAGGAAGTTCGTAAGTGATACATGAAGGTCTTCATGATATACTAAATGAACACAACATGGTAGTATGGTACAGTAGAAACATAATTACGAAACATTTATTCACTATTTTTATGAAAAAAAGTTCCCAACATTTGGTCAAAATGCTTTATGTATTACTTATGGTACCGTCAACACGGGTGGCTTTGCACCCCGCGGGTGACTTTAACCCTTTTATGAAAAATCTTTTCGCGCTCGATAAAATTAACATTTATAATTTGTTGATTTAAACCTGTCAATTGAGCGATTCTATAGAGTGTATATTACAGGAAAATCAGTTTTTAAAGAAAAAAATGGGATACTGTATATATTACATCAGTGCAAAACTCTTAAAAATACACGCCTTACAATTTCTATATTATGCGAAATCCTTTGGAATGATGATCTTTGGTTAACTGCAGGCCGATTTTGTATTTTTTTAACGGTAATCCCTTGCAATCGCTGCTAACATGTGTCTAATAAAAATAAAATAAAATATTGAGTTAATTTTATACGGAAAATACACTGAGACAAAGTTACCCGCAACCAGGGGGTAACTTTGCACACCCAGTTATTAATTTTTATTTTTGAAACTCAGCCCTACGTAATATTATAACATACTTATTATGAAAGAGCAACTTAAGACTCAAATTTTGGTATACAATATTTAATGTTTATGATTGTTAAAACCACAAAAATTTTAAGCTCAAGTTTGAAAGTGAGCTAAAGCCATTCGTGTTTACGGTAACGTTAGGTTATATAAAAAGGTTGTCAAAGTATATAAGAGTTTAACAGGGTTTTATAAAATCGCATTTAGTTTACGAGTTTTATAATTGTCATATTAGGTTACTGTTTCCTCTAGGTATATACCTAATTGTTTCTACAGACATTTTGTATAACCTATTTTTTTGTTTTTTTTCAGATTTTTTTTCCTTGTTTTTTTCAAATGTTTTTTTTTCACATTTTAGGTTTTTTTCACATTTTAGGTTTTTTTCAAGATTAGTCCCATTTGCCTAATTTTTTAGGTTTCATGGACTAAAATTAGCCACTAAATGACAATTAGTAAATGTAAATACAGTCTCGCGCTATGCACGCGCCACCACCACCGAATTGACCAATAAGGGCCGCGCTTCTTTTGATTTGGTCCTAAAAAAGTAACTACATATAATATTTTTGATGCAGCGCTTGATGTAGCGCTTGATTTTTCAAAAAGCTACCAAAAGCACTTTTTTCATGATTTTTCAAATTCATGTAGATTAGGGAATTTTTTTTTCAAAAAAACAATAGCAAATTGTAGAACATTTATTCATTGGTGGATAAGTCAGAACATTCCGAGGACCAGAAAGCTAAAAAAGATCGATTTTTTTTATTACGGTATTTGTTAGGATTGAGCGTTGCACATTTTTTATCTAAAAATCTCAAAACTAGAAACTTCAAGCTTCAAATTGCTTTTTTTACGGCTCCAATACGACCATTTTTAACAAAGATACAGCTATCCGAAGAATCGCAAAACAATTTTTTTTTATCGTTTAATTTTTTGTATTGGTGTAGAAGTTTTACATTGCTACGGGTTTCTAATGTGGAAACTAACAAATAATAAGAAATCAGATTTTTTAGTCTCGGGCAAAATTTTCAATAATGAAAAATTTAATATATTCTACATTTCACTTTATTATTAATATATATTTTACTCAAAATTTCATTTTGAAAAAAAAACCTTTTTTTTGTAGTTTTTTTTTTCATGTTTTTTTTTCACATCTGAAAAAAAAACCGTTTTTTTACATCTCTACCTATAGTTATCAAACGTTTTACTATTTAATAACTTGCCATTGTGCTATATGGAAAAAGTAAAGCTTTTATGGAGAAAAGTTATATTATACATAGTTTTGGAAAATGTCGTTTATTGCTTTTTGAGTTTTTGCAATTGTCATAGATAATTGCCAAAACTTTTTGCATCTATGACAATTGCAAAAAGTATTTTAACTTTAATATTATTTTAATTAATAAGGTTTTTCAACACACGAGTGTTGCAATAACTATTTATACCACAGACTGTGATTTATACAATTACCTGCAAGTCTACAAAAGTATTAGTGACACCTTTTAATGTGAATAGCTACATACAACTCTTAGACTTTTTACAATATAAGATAATTGCTAAAACTACTATAATATTTAACTTTCCTCTATAAAAGTTTTACTTTTTTCCATATAGCACAATTGCATGTTTTAAATAGTAAAACGGCGTTCCATAGTTATCATTAGGTTTATATAGGTTTATAAAAGAGTTTACAGTTTGCGGTAACAGTTCTTTAAGAAGTTATGTAGTGATTTCCAACATATCTTCAGTTATAAAACTGGGGTTTTATGGTGTTACTGGCACAGGTAACCTTAACTCCCTAAATAAGCTCTTTAAG